GTCGACTTTCCTGGGCTTCGAGGCCGTCTGTTGAGCAAATCCGTACGCAGTACGCCGTCGCAAAGCGACCGGCGGTGACAGGGTAACGACACGGAACATGATCGCCGTTCGTCAGCTGCCCCCAAATATCACAATCCCCAGCCGTGCCAACCATTCCAGCTGCAGGTTAAACCGGGGCGTCGCGATTTCGCCAATGTTTTGGGATGTGAACCATGTTGGAATCCCCCTCATGACGGGCATGTCAAACCATGTCAACGATCGCACACTTCTCCAGTTTCCCCTCTCTCTGTGTTGCCCCGTCCTAAAACCATAATGCACACCGCTTCAAAAGTGCGAGGCAGCGAGTCGGCTGAGACGAGGCCAAGACATTGGGCAGGTGTTTGATTAGGTGATTATTTTGGAAATCACCCCGGCCGAGCCAACCGTTCGTCGTTGATTGAACTCTGATGGACGAACGACGGGGCCGGCATCGTGAAGCGCATCACGTAAACCAGGAAAATCTGACTGTTGCGCGGACGAAACATTGGCATGTCTCAACTGCTTTTGGAATTGCCTCCGATTAAAGGTCTGTTTTCCCGCAGATTGAGCTGAAGTTCTCAGGTATTCGACGCATTCAGCCGGCGAGGTCAGTCCGTCCGCATCGAGACGTCATGTCGACGAACGAGCTTTCCGTGCGGATATGACAATTCTCGAACCATTATGAGGCGGCTTCTTGGTTTGCGACATTGGGGCTGCCCGGGCGACGAGTATCAAGAGATGAAAGCAACAGGTGGTGGGCCGAGTGGCTGAACTGCATGATGCACGCAGCTGTGTCTCTCTGAGAGTCTTGGATGGAATCCTTGTCGTGAATTGCAGCCCTACAGCACAGCAACCTTGAGGAAGCAATCTCGCTATCGCCTTGTCCTAGCTGAGCTGAGCTCAGCTCACGTTGCAATGCTCCTGATAACGAGTGATGAATCACAGGAGGTTGACGCCTCTTTGCGCTACTTTTGCAGATCCTAGCAGCTTCAGGTAGGCTGTGTACGACGGATGGCGCTTTTTAAAGTGTATGTAGTGCATCCTCGGTGGGAGCTCGCAATAGCAAGATAGCTCGTTTGGTGAGAGCTGATTACCATAAAGGGCATCGTGCTTGCATTATTGAGTGAAGCGAGCGGCCGAGAGGTGTCACAGAGTATGCAGTCATTCCGTCATCGATTGAGCGCGGCTGGCGCGTCGCCGCACAGCCTCTCGCGACTTTTCTCGATGGTGACATCGCCCGGAAAAAAAGGCTTGGAAATGAGTCGATGGAGTGTGTGTTGCTTGTCGCGGAAGTACGCCGCACAAGCTGACAGAAAGGTCTTGGGAGGCTGCTTCATCGACTGAGCGACCGTAACACTCATCTCATGAGTCTAAGACAATTCGTGTTTGTTCGATGGGCTCGCAGAGCCCCCATCTCATCCCGCGCACATCATGATGGTTTCAGTGACGTTATTTCTGTTCGCCACGAGACTCAGGACGAAGCCCGCATGGTCATTTCCGCGTCGCTGTTTCTGGTTTCCGCTTCGCAGACGGCCAAGGCAGAATTGTCGGCAGCCTCGGCATATTCAGTCTGAAGAGAAGGCGACCGAGTTGCTTTCGTTGAGCAACCAATGAGAGTTCCCAAGCAGCAGACCATAAAAAGGCATCTGAAACAATGCTCTCTTTCTCGCTCCGCAGTGACACGAGTGCGACGCAAGCCACCCCGAGATGACAAAGTGTGTGAAGCACACACACACTCACAGGAGGGCGAGCAACGTCCCCACGGCCGTCCGCTAATTCGGTCACTCACCGTATTTCCCACGTGGAGGACAAGGGGCGGGCTGACGAAGCGGATGACCACCCCTGACGATCACACCTTGAACAGGGGCGTAACGGACGACTGCGACGCCCGGGCTCGAATCAGGTAGGGATAAACGGAGAGGTGGTCGGTTACACACAGCTCAGTGGTTGACAGGAGTTGAAGCTCAGCGTTCTGGTTTGCTGCACTGCGTTTCTGCATCGCGATGCCCGTGGTTTGCTGATCAGCTGGCGCAGTTTAGCCCCCAATAGTGCCTTCGCAGGACATCTTGGCCATTCCAAAAGCCACAGACAACCGCTACTGCAGGTACGGTGGCAAACGGCAATGATTCGACTTTGTCATTCCAATCTTTTGTCCAATTTCGCAATTCGCCGCTCTCGCTTCACTCGCTTCTCGAGACGTTCCCCCTTGACCCCTTGAAGTTGATTTCAATTTCTTCAAGCAAAAGCTCGAGCAGCAAGGGGACTCCACGGCGGACATCGGGCTCGGCGGACCAAATCGGCCTCACCCCGCGGACGATGACCCCAAGATGTAAATGAGGACGAGGGCGATGGTCCCTTCTACCCCATACGATTGCGGCGCAATCGTGGTGTCGATGGCCCACCGTATCCTTATGTCGTACGCGATCTGTCGAAAATAGGCAATCCGGAGAAGACAAAACGCTGCCATTTAAGGCAAAACGAGAACAGTCACCCCCGTGCTCTCAAGTCCGGCCGCCGTACCCTTGCGTGGGGGATTCTGAGACGAGAGCGCTGTCCATGATGTCTGTCTGCAACAGAATGGTGCCCGCACGTCCCGTCAGAACGGTAGCCTCTGCACTCGACTGATAGAGAAAACGGTGGAAATTTGCCGATTCTTAGAAACGCACCCACCCCGGCCGGCCGGCTGGGTGGGGGTTAGAAACGGTTCGCCCGGCGGAGGTCTGGAGGCGAGCATGCACCTCGACACGTTGGGACGGCCATATCGCACGCCCATGTTTCCGCAGCTTTCGCTATCTAGCACGTCAATGGCTCGATAAGTTGACATGTTCGTGCTATTCCAGTTCGACGATCATCCACACCCTCCGTACAGCTGTCCATGGCCACATGGGAGGTCATGCGCCCAGGAGACTGGGTTGCGGTTCGACGGACGATCTGCTGTGCCGCGCTGACACCATCTGCTGCAATCAATTCTAAACCGTCAGCTTAGCGGGGTAACGGGCAAAGATCACCATCTTATCGAATTCACCCTGCAGGCTGCTCCTGCAATGGCGGCGTTGAGGCTGCGATTCCTTATCAGATTACACCCTCTTGACCGCCCGTCGACAGGAGCTTCAAGCATCTTCACACCCGGTGGGGGCTTGAGCAAGCGTGTAATCGGAGCAGCAGCACGGCCTTTTCGGAATTGGGATCGAAGCTGCTTAATGGATCATGGCCGCATTGCCGTCCGCGCCCGCCAGCATGGCGTCAGAGGCCCTCGTCAAATCGTCCGACTACTCCGTCCGTGCCTGTGCCGGCGGCCTAACGGGAGACTGCCGCGCTTCTGCCTATTGATGAGCCATACTGCGTACGTAGCCTGGTCATGATCGGCCGAACCAAGCTGCAGCGCAAACTGCCGTTATCACGACCTCCAAGCCACCATCGCCGGAACGGGTGGTGTGCAGCTGAACGGTCAAGGATATCCAACACTATTGCCTGGTATCCATGGTTGTGAAGCTCGGGGAGGCAAAACGTTGGTTGGTACTTGGTCGAGATGTACACTTCTTGAACAGAGTTTGGTACATGGGATTAGTCTTCCGTTGCGTATTCAGCAAGGTTGGCGTCAGCGTCCCATCATGGAACAAGCTGTGTAAGGCATCCCAGTCAGAGTCCGATTCGGGAGTCCGTGATGTCCAGACTCGTGATGGACCTTCCAGTGAACGATCAGTCCGTCAGCGACAACCTGGCATGGGCGACTCTTGAGACAGCCGACGTGCGTTTAATGGCCCTCGCAAGACGACATTCAACCGCGAACCGCCCGCCGTACTATCCCTGGTCGCTTTCGGGTCCGGCAGCTTCGGCGACCACCCTTAAGTGCGAAGCTTAGAAATGTGACGCTGTTCGGTGATTACCTACCATACGACCGCCTCGGTCCCGGTTTTCAGGTTAGGATGCCTCGTTGGCGCAGCAGTCGTCATCGTCGATGTCGTTCAGTTGTAGCAGTTTTGGGATCAGCAGTTCACGCCAAGGCAAACACCGCGACAGTCAAGAAGAGGGGAGAAACCCAATTCTAAAGATGGCGCACGCGCCGGGTTGATGTTGACTTGTTCGGACTGAGTAGTAGGAAAATCGTTGAATTCTAGCGCCGTCTTGGCAGCGGCGTCCAAACTAACACGTAACGCTGCAAGCTCCATCAGCCACAGGCGATGAGGCTGGGCTGTCGTCTGCCAATCACCCTGTGTGCCATCGACTTCGTTTCAGTTGTCGCCGGTCATGTCTTGCCGCCAAGCATCGTCAACCGTGCGCGCGCATTTTTCAACAACTGTTGCCCATTGCTCTTTGGAGATCGACGACTCGGCACCATGCCGTGACAGAGCGTTGGCAACCCGGGGACTTTCCTGGCGGGCTATACGGCGCCCGTCCGCGCGGCCAAGCGCCGTGTTGGAAGCCGGAAGATCCCTCCATTATACGACACGGACGGCCAGTTGAACAGTCCGAGGATCGATGCCAGGATGTCCATGTACTTCCCCAGTGTTACCCCAAGGCTTGGCCAGTCTTGAACCCTGGGCACACGTGTCGTCGACGTGATTCTTGAACCATCTGGCTCTTGTCGTGGCCTTGGGTGGGGCTTTCTCGAAACAACCGCCCCCATGATACTCGCCTATACTTGCTCACGAGTCTGTGGAATTCTTCAGATCTCGATCCGATTGATAATAGAAACTCTTGTGATCGTTGCGTGGCCTATCCCGAGATGTGCTATGTGGCGTACGCAGACACACGAAACGATAGGATGACAGTCTATCAGTAAGGCCGTCGCCCAACGACTTAGAGTGCGTCCCAACACATGACAGAAGTGTCAGGCTCGATCCGAGGCGGGCTGTCATCGTACCATCGCGTAATCATGCCATTGCCGGCATTTAGTTTGTCAAGTTGACAATATCTCGTAATATCATCTCGTGTTTTGTGGCTCGTATATGCTTCTGCCTTGTTTGTAGCCTGCTTGCGCCTCATAATGCTTCTTCTTCGGCCTCGGGATTAGGCATCTGAGTAGAAGTGATCCAATTCTCCATGCTAGCTTGGCCGGCCGGCTGCTTGGCGTTCACAGAACTGCTCGACGATGCCATTCTCAGACCTTGGCGTTTCTTGACGACAAGACACAAGACGCGTCCGTAAATGGCAAACCCCTCATACGAGACATCCATGGCCATTTTCTTCTTGTCATCTTCTTGATCGACATCGGACCCCGTTGTTTGTTTCTTGAGACGCTTGGACGGACGGGGAGGAGCATCATCATCAGAGTCGATCTCAATTGCCGAGGCCTCCCCGCCGGCGTCGTCGTCTGAAGGAAGCTCGAAGTCGCTGTCGTGGTCACGAGGTGCCCCGCGCTGTCTTTTCGACCGCCGAGGCCGAGTTGTTTCATCGACGACGGGGATACGGGAAAGGCCGGCGGCGTCTTCTTCGGACTCACTCTCATTGCGAATTTGCAGCGTCGTACTGGATCCCTCGGCCTCCATATCCAGGTCAATTGGTGTGTCATTCGTTTCTTTGATGAGCTTATTAGAGTTGGACTGCAGTTTGCCCGGTGCGTTGTCGCGGAAGTGCTTGTGCTTAGTGAGCAACGAATGCCGCGTGGTAGTTTCGGTCAAGAACATGGAGACCTCAAACTCGTCTGGTTAATGCAATGGTCAGTTTTAACGTTCAGCCAGACCGAGTTGTCTTGGACGAAGCAGTGGTCTAGACTGGGCAGGTTGCGACGGTAGAGACGTGGATGGGCTTGAGGTGACAGCGGGTAAGGCTGCGAAACAGGACAACAAACCTTCGACGACGACATCCTTGATGCTCTTCTTTTTGGAGCTCTTCTTCTTGGTCTTTTCGCGTTCCTTCTCTTCGCGAAGTTTTGGTAATACCAACGGACGTACACTCTCGATGACCTTGGGCAGGATGGGATTCCGTGGATTCAACAGCCAGCTCTGTGCCAGGGCAGGGTTGTCGAGATAAATACGGCACTCGAGCACCGAGTACTTTGTGATTCTCAGATAGCGGCGAAGCGGCGCCATGTTGGGAGACGGAGGCAATGCCCAGCGAACAGTGTTGTATAGCACGACGTCGTGGCTCTTCGTTGGGGGCGGTGATGTGCAAGGCGAAGGTTTGTGGTGCTGTGTGATGGATGCGACCAAGTTGTTGAGTTCAAAGCCAGGTCGAAGAAGCCCAGGCAAGTTCTCACCGAAGTTGCAATGGACGAAAGAAGCAGAAGGTGACGAAGTGAGGTTGAAGAAATGGTTGACTGAGGAAGTGACGCTGGAAATGGGAAGTCTTCTCTGTGCCAGGCCAAGTACCTTCTCCAGTTCTGTGTGTGTAAATCTGGTGAGGAAGGAGGACTGGGTACTTGTGCTTTCCCAAGAATACTTTACCAAGCTTGGCGACTCTCTGCCGTCATTACAGGGGACTGTCAGCCTCGCAGCAGTGACACCCGCCCTGTGGCTCATGCGGGGCCGCTGTACGACACCCGCAAACCCGATGAATTCAGGCCCCACTAAAACTTTTCCAACGGCCGCGTCCAATTCGTGTCGGCTTCGACTCGGAGCTCAACATCGACAGCTACCTACCTCCCTCAATTGACATCCCCGCGCATAGTCTCCCGCGGTGATGCTGACGAGGAGATCATGTCGAAGTCATGGGCATCGACGCTGAGGTTGCCTAAGTCTACCTTCCCGTAAGCAACCACCATTCCGTCCGATCAGCCGCCCTCCGCTCCGGCCTCAGCTGACCCGGTTCAGACCGCGCCCGCTACCCCAGTTCCGCGCCGACTACATTCGCCGATGCGCCGATGATTTCTACAAGTGGCAATCGTCCAACGAATCCCGGCCGGGCTTCACTCTCCACGATGGACCCCCGTACGCGAACGGAAGTCTGCATGTCGGCCATGCGCTGAATAAGGTCCTGAAGGACATGATCTCGAGAGTCAAGGTCCAGCAAGGTCAGAAACGCTGACCTTACGATATTGAACGCTCAAGGGCTTACCGATTCGTGCGCAGGCTACCGCGTGACTTACAGGCCGGGCTGGGATTGCCATGGTCTCCCCATTGAGCTCAAGGCTGTCGGCACGTCCGGGGGAAAGGACATGAGCGCTGTCGATATTCGAAAGGCCGCCAGACAGCTCGCCTCGACGACGGTGTTGGAACAGATGGAAAGCTTTCGATCATACGGAGTCATGGGTGATTGGGACGCTCGCTGGACGACGATGGACCCGGACTTCGAGATCAGACAACTGCGTCTCTTTCAGCAAATGGTCCGTCGAGGCCTCATATACCGCAAGAACAAGCCCGTCTACTGGTCACCCTCCTCCAGAACCGCGCTCGCCGAGGCGGAGCTGGAGTACAACGAGAATCATGTTTCGACAGCGGCATACGTTCGATACCCCATCATTGACGGCCCGGCATTGAACGGCTTTTCTGGCCAGCTTTACGCCATCATTTGGACTACTACCCCTTGGACACTCCCCGCAAACAAGGCCATTGCCATTCACGACGATCTGGAATACGCCGTCATTGCCGTCAACGGAAGCGCATATCTTACTGCGGTCACTCGTCTCGATGCTGTAAAGGCTCTCTTCCCCGATGCGGAGCCCGAAGTAATCGTCTCATCTATCGAAGGCTCCGAGTTGAGAGGACTGAAGTACCACAACAGACTTCAGGGGTTCAGATCAGCTCCTCAGCCCATCATCCACGGGGACTTTGTGTCCGCAGACTCCGGTACTGGACTCGTCCACATTGCTCCCGGTCACGGTTTCGAAGATTATGAGGCCTGCGCCGAGCTCGGCATCGACGCCTTCGCCCCTATCGACGACGAGGGACACTTCACGAGCGAAGCCTTCCCTGACGCACCCGAAAAATTGACCCAGTCCTCCTCGATCCTCAAGGGCGGCAGCAAAGCCGTCCTCGCTTTGATCGAGGATGACGTCCTGCAAGCCGCCAAGTACAAGCACAAGTACCCCTACGACTGGCGCACGAAGCAACCCGTCGTCATGAGGTCTACGGCTCAATGGTTTGCCGATGTCGACAGCATCAAGGATGACGCTATCAACGCACTGAAAGATGTCAAGTTCGTCCCTGCGTCTGGAAGGACCCGTCTCGAGAGCTTCGTCGTTGGTCGGAGCGAGTGGTGCATCTCTCGCCAGCGCGCCTGGGGAGTGCCCATTCCTGCCCTCTACGACGCCAACGGAGACGCGATGGTCACGGAGGAATCCGTCGACCACATCATCTCTGTCATCCAGCAGCGCGGCATCGATGCTTGGTTCTGTGACGCCCCCGACGAGCCCGCTTGGGTTGCGCCGTCACTGAAGGGATCTTACCGCCGCGGCACTGACACCATGGACGTCTGGTTCGACAGCGGAAGCAGCTGGACCGAGAGCAAAGGCCAAGCCGATGTCTACCTCGAAGGATCCGATCAACACCGCGGATGGTTCCAGTCCAGTCTCTTGTCGTATGTTGCGGCACAAAGAGCAGAGAGCGCTTCAGCGTCCCATGAACAACCCAAGTCCCCCTTCAAAACCCTGATCACCCACGGTTTCACCCTGGACCAAGCCGGCAAGAAGATGTCCAAGTCCCTCGGCAACACCATCACGCCCACCCAGATCATGGATGGCACCCTCCTGCCCCCCGTCAAGGTCAAAGGCAAGAACAAGGTCCCCGGTGCCGGTCCGACATACGAAGCCCTAGGCCCCGACGCCCTCCGCCTCTGGGCCGCTAGCTCCGAATACACCAGGGACGTCGCCATCGGCCAAGCGGTCCTCAAATCCGTCAACACCGTCCTGGTCAAGTACCGCACCATCATCAAAATGCTGCTCGGCTCAATGCACGAATCGGCCCGCACCGCTCCCACGACAACCCTGGACCACATCGCCCTCATCCAGCTGAAGGACGTGATGGAGGAGGTCCAGAAGGCCTACGCGGCCCACGAGTTCCACAAGGGCTTCAGCGCCCTCAACCGCTGGGTCGCCACCGACCTCTCGGCCTTCTACCTCGAGGCCATGAAGGATCGCCTCTACTGCGGCGACGGCGGCGGCGTCCTCGAACCCATCTTCCACGGCCTCCTCCGCATGCTCTCCCCCATGACGCCCCTCCTGGTCGAAGAAGCGTGGGACCACCGCCCGGCGTGGATGCAAGCCGACGACACCCTCACCCACCCCCTCCGAACCCCCTACGACCACCCCCTCCACAACGTTTCGACCAACGAAGCCTCCCTCCGCAAGGACATCCCCGTGCTCACGTCCGTCAACGGCGCCGTCAAGGCCGGTCTCGAAAGGGGCCGCCTGGCCAAGGTCCTCGGCTCCTCGCTGCAATCCTCCGTCGTCGTCACCACCCACGACCGCGGCGTCGCCGGCGTGCTGGAAAAGTACGCGCGGGACCTCGAGGCCGTCTTCGTCGTCTCCTCGGTCGAGCTCAACGGCGGCCTCCCCGCCGAGAGCGAGTGGCGCTTCGACGAGCCCTTCGAGGTCAACGGCGCCAGGGGCACCGTCTCCGTCCTGCCGCCCCAGGACCACAAGTGTCCGCGCTGCTGGCGGTACGTCGCGCCCAGGGAGGAGGATTTGTGCGGGCGCTGCGAGGACGTCGTGGCGACGCAGTAAGGATGTGTAGAACACGATCTATAGATGTATTATAGCCAGAGTGTTGAAAAGAATAAGAAAGATACCCCTCACCTCTACTCCTTTCTAATGAGGTTCAAACTTGGAATGTCACTACGATTTAGGATATGTTTTGACGCCTCGACAGCAGTTGAAATAGAAATTACAACGTCTGTATAATGCATATCAGACAGGAGCTTGAGGAGGCTAGACATATCGCGTCGTGGTCTTGTAAGAATTTTCTGATATGTAAAGCTTCCTTCCACAGGGCAAAGGAATGAAGACAACCTCTTCGATAATAGTCAGGTCTAATATGATTTTCCCAATCATATCTCACGAGCCAACAAACATGGAGTGCAAGTAACGAGAACAGTGTTTCAAATTCGACATCCTCAAAAAGAAGTCAAGGGTATCAAGAATACCAATAAGCCTACACCCAAAAAAAGCAAATCCTAACGACCCAATGAACCCGCCCAAACACCACCATTGTTATCTGTACAGTTCAACCAGTGACAACTCTCCCAACTCCGAGGACACGTATCCGCCCTTCCAAAACCAAATGCTGCGACTCCCCATGACTCTCGACTCAGTTCAAGCGGGGGCTCTTCCTCTTAGGTCCCATGCTCTGTGAGAATGAAGTGGGGGGCATGTTCTCCCGTCCCTCCAAGGGCAGAAGGCTAGTCTGCTTACGGGGTCCCTTCTGCGCGCCTCTGGTCGAGGTGCGCTTGTTGAACAAGAGGGGAGCCGTGTTTTCGTTGATGGACATCATGCTCGCCGAGGGGTCGAAGGTAAGGTTGCTAGTCGTGTTAGGGTTGACTTCGCGCAGACTCATTGTAAAAGGGGGCATCTCCGAAATCATGCTGAGGGTCGACATACGGGTCGACTGGCGCACCGGGGGCGAGCGGTGGATGTCACTCTGATCGATGTCGGGGAAGACCATCGAGTCGCTGACGGGCTTGGTCGGAGTGGACTCGTCCTTGAGATTGGCCAGGAGGGATTCGTGTGCGTCGGTTCGGGGAAGCTTGGTCGGGTACTGGTACTGAACCTTCATCGGGGTCTCGCCCGTGGGTCGGTACTCCTGGATGGTCGTGACTTCGATGTCCTCACGGAGATTGCTCAACGGCTTGCACAGATCCTGCGTCAGAGGCTCAAGACCATCCTGCATCTCCTCGGTCTCGGTCTCCATCTCCTCGCCAAGGTCCTTGACACGGTCAAAGGTAACCTTGAAGTGGTTTGAGATGTTACCAAAGGACTGCTCGACGGTTGAAGACAAGCCTTGCATGGACTCGCCGTGACGCTCGTGATGGGAGGCGTTCTCGGAGCGCGCGCGGGTGACGAAGTCGTCCAGTGCCTCCATCTGGACGTCGAGGTCCTTGAGCTGCTCGTCGACAACGCGGACAGTCTCGGCGTGGACAGACTTCGTGGTCGCCTGGATGGCGGTGCTGTGATCGTTCGCAGTCTGCGAGGGTCAGTATTTTGCCTTGTGAGGGGTGAAGAAAGTCTACTCACGGTCCAGTCATCCTTCAACTTGTTCTTCATGGTGTCACGGGACTTGGCCACTTCCTCCAGAAGCTGGCCCTCCTTCGAGTCCCACGCTGTCATATCCTCAGAGTACTGAGCAACACTGCCTTGGAGAGCAGTGTTTGAGTCCAGGACACTCTTCTGCAACTGGGAGGTCTTCTCAGCCAGACGAGTCTCCTGGGTTTCGGCCTGAGCGTTGATAAGAGTGGTGATTTGAGCCAGAAGGTTTTGGCGGTCCTTCGCGGCTTGCTTCCTCTCCTCGTCAAGCACCTGTTGCATCTGAGCGGAGATATTGGCATTTTGCTCAACGACAGTATCGGTCGCGTCCTGGAGTTGCTGTCTGAGTCTATCAGATTCACTTCTCTGCTCGGTAATGTGTCTCATGAGTTCCTCAAAGATGCTCTTGAACTCCTTGCCCAGAGAGCTGTAAGAAGAGTGCAACTGTACCCGTGTTAGCTCCCAGTCCATCCATGTTCGCGGCATTCTTACCTGGTTGTGGAAAGTGTCAAGTTCGCTGAGGACATCCGCCGCGATGCGCTCGGCAGCGCCAGCAATCGCCTGAAGGCCTTCGCCGACTTGCTGCTTGACGGTGTCCCGGATGACCTTGATCTCCTCGAGTACATCGTCCATTTCATCCTTGGACTTTTCCTTTTGCTCCAGGAGCTCCTTTTTCGACTCGGTGAAAGACTCCAATTGCTCGTCCAAGAACTTCTGAGTGTCAGACAGCTTTTTCAGCTCTTCGCTAACGAAGACATTCATGCGTTCGGAGATGCCGGTGATACTCTCCCGCTGCCTGCTCTGGAAGCTCTGCACTCTTTGCTCCACTAGGGATGTGACCTCAGCAACCTCGGCCTGAGCAGTGCCCCAAGCGCTTCGGTTGATGGACTGGAGGTCAGACTTGCGCTTGTTCTTGGCCCGAAGCCCATCGACGTCGTGCACAGTCTTCTGCAGGGTGGCAATGAGTTCACCGCCAACATTGACCAACTTCTCCTCAGTCTCTTGGTGAGCCTTCCGCAAGTGCGTCTCCTCAGCCAGGCTCTTACGCGTAGCCGCGAGGACGAGCTCTGTCTGATCGAGAACACCATTCGTCTGGTCCAGTTCTGCCTTAGTACCCTCATGGTCCTTCTTCAAGCCCATGAAGCTGGAAGTCAAAGCGAAAAGCTCCTGAACCTTGTTCTTGAGGTTATTCTCGAGGGTCTCCATCTTGGCCGCTTGCTCTTCCACCACGATGCGTCGCGATTCGCTCTGTGCCGTCATCTCTTCGTAGGACTCGTTGGAGAGGTAGACGCCGTTGCGCTGCCGAGTCGTAATCAGCTCGCTCTTCAGCCTCTCGATCTCAGTCGCGAAATCCCTAAGTAGCATTTTCTTATTGATCATGGCGTTGAGTTGGGGCTTGTTGCGAATGTTTTTGGCGCGGAAGGCGTAGTCAAGTGTTGATATCGTCTCCTCGAGGTTGCTCTTGGCGGGCGATATCGTCGCGATGATGCATGTCTTCGTGCGACCGCCCAGAGAGTCTTGCAGGAGTCGTGTGAGCTTCGACTCTCTGTAGGGAATGTGTTGGCTGCGGTCGACCAGGGCATTGATGACTCTGCCGAGGGTCAAAAGACTCTTGTTGATCAGGCCTGCCTCGGCAGCGCGCTTGTTCTCCGCACCGGATCTTTGGATGTTTTCGCTACCGGCCAAATCCACCAGGTTCAGCTTGCCGGCACTGACATAATCCTCCTCGCCGTCTTCGCCCTTCTTGCGGACGTAAGCAGTGATGGTGAAAACGGTGTGACTTCGACTGCTGAGGTCGTTGCACTTGGTCGCCGCAACTTGGCGCTTCAAGCTTCCATCCTGAAGAACCTTGATGCCCTCGGAGGCGGTCCTGATGTGTCGCTCCTCCATGCCCTGAACGACTGTGGTCGCGTGTCCCCTTCTCGATGTGTCGTCGTAGATCTTCAGCTTCTGACGGTCCTCCTCGACGGAGATCAGATCGCGCAGGTCTTCGTTATAAAGCTCGATGAAGGAGCACTTGACACAGCTCTCGGTATCATCGACTTCGAGTTTGTTAAACAAGGCGTGGAGGACTCTCGGGATGATGCCGGCGTTGTCATTCAGGAGGCCAAGAGTCTCGGTCATGTCTCCGGACATGGTGTATGTCTTGCCAGTACCTGTTTGGCCGTAGGCGAAAATTGTGCAGTTGAAACCAGCGAGCATCTATCGGCATGTTAGGGTGTTGGCGCGAGCCATATGTTCGAATGACATACCTCTTCCAAGATGGGCTTGACGACATCGTCGAAAACCATGGTCTGGTCGGCCGCAGCAGAAAAGACGCGGTCGAAGTTGTATGTTTTGTTGCTGAGGGCATTGGCGCCGAGAGACAACTCGACGTTCTCGCCCTTTGCGCCATCGGCGCGGACAACTTGAGCACTGTTTTCGCGAACTTCGCGCTCGTTGCGGCCTCTGCATCTTACGACAACACTGATGTTGGTCTCTCCGGCAGTAGACCCCTCGTACTCGAAGTCACGCTCCTTGCGCTTCGTCGCAGTCGTGGCGGTGGATGCGATCGACTCGGCAGGTGAGGTCGCGCGGCTTCTGTCGACTTTGGAAGGGCCATTCTGATAGCGCAAGTTGGAAGTTCGCGTCGTTGTCGGGCGCAAGCTCGCACGACCGGTGGCGCCTGTGCGGAGGTTCGACGAGGCGGTCCTCGCCAGCTCCCGTCTGGAGCTCATGATGTGATTTGGTGTGTGGTGGGTTAGTACTGGTTATCGGTGGGAAAAAAGACAAACTGAAGACGGCATGTGTAAGGTGTAAGATCTCCAAGAAAGTCGACGAGGGTTAGTGGTGGTGCGAATGATGTATTGAAAGTCGGAGGTTTGTGTGCTCCAGTGTTGACAGGTGCCAGGGTCAAAGTAAATAGAGCAAGCGCGCTAAGTGGGGGAAAGCTCTGTGGTTGGCTGACAGTAGGTCCGTCACCCGGGCAACGACCCCACTCACACTCACCTCGCTTGTTTTGGTCTTGATTTCCTTTTTTGTCGAGCTTCACCGAGCATCGGCAAGCTCACCGAGGCCATGACCATGCGTTCGCGCTGATTCTGACTTCTGGCAACAGCTTCCCTGACTCGGCTTTACGAGGATTCATCCTTCAACTGGGGATGATCCGTGCAATTTGAACGACAATACCTAGACATCAACATCACATTGATTCTTCGAAGAAAACGCGCAATCATGAGGGTTTCCTTGACAGGTCGCTTATTGGACTGCCATGGGTGTTGCGGCAGTCTCTTCTAACTCAGCAAGTTGAAATACTGAGCTCGAATACTGCCAACAGTCAGTCGCGAATATTCAATAACGCACTTGACCTTAAACCAGCCGTTCATCCCTTCGCCGTTCAAAGGCTTCTTCATGCTGGACTCGGGTCGGAAATAGTGGTCTGATGGCCGCCGAAGACCCAATCGAAACGGCGAACTGCTACATTCGGCGGACGCTTTCTTCTTCCTTGGAGTTTTCTAGCCGCTTTCCCGCCATGCAGAGGTTCCACGATCGTGTACTCACTCTATTATCATATCTTCTCAGCTTCTCGACGGAAACGCTCATTTCGCCTCTTCTGGCGTATACCCCGCTTGTGAATGTGAGATGCCTGGGAGGCGGATGGTAGCGCCGTGCCAGAACTTGGCGTTTGCCCTTTTTGACGATGAAAGGAGCGTTTTGCTGCACCATCGTGGAGCCATTCGTAACGTAACCCTCGTCGGTCAGATCCGGATAGACACAGGCGCATCTCGTTGGGCTGAGCAGATTGGCCTGCCGCGGACCCTGGCGCCAACAGCTGTTGGTCTAGGCTCGCCTGATTCTTCGATGCCCCTCGTCGCTTCCCCTCTCTCTTTCATTCCTGGGACTCTTCCCCTCTCCTCGTGACTTTTGATATTATACTTAACTTCGTCTCTGGTCAATGACTCAATTCTTTCTCGACAGAAACTTATTCGACACTCGCAAAGTTAACGAAAATGACTGACGCTTCAGCGACTCATCCAAGCTCCCGGGCCGCTGCGGCAGCCACATCCAGCAGCCTACCCGGCGAAGCACCAATAGCTACGGTCAACGAGGGGGTCCCTGACACTCTAGAGGCCGAGGATCCAGCAGCTGTTCGTTTCAATGGTAGCCCATATTGACTGAACTCCTTGCTGACCAGACTGTCCAGGAAACAGACGATGGGGCTTCCATTGACGATCGAATGTGCCTTGCCTTGATCTCATCTGTCTCATAGAGTAATAGACTGACTGAGCCTGAAAAGTTCCTCGTATACCGCTTCATTGGCGTCGAGCGCGGTTGACTACCCCGTCGAGTACGGCCGACGCTACCATGCTTTCCGCCCAGGAGGTGAGTGGGACAATGTTCTGAGGTCTGCTCGATAGAATGATGAAGAGTTAATGGTCCTGAAGCGTACTTTATGCCGAACGACGACGTGAGTAAAGCATGACTGTCGTGGCGTTTCGACAAGTACTGAAGTTCGCAGAATGAGATGGATCGTCTTGATTCGACACATGAACTTGCGCTGAGGATATTGGGGTACAAGCTCTATCTGGCGCCCCTGGACAAAGATAAGGTCCACAAAGTCCTCGACATTGGTACCGGTACCGGAATTTGTGAGTTCCTAGATGTAATTCTCTTCAAAGACATGAATAGGAAGACTGACACTTCCTCAGGGGCCATGGAAATGGGTGATCTCCTTCCTCATGCAGAGGTACTGAATCAACAATGTTCTCAGTCGTTTGATAGACTGACGTGGTAGCTAGATTTACGGGAATGACTTGAGCGCCATCCAGCCAGAATGGTAACTTTGGGTTCTTGATTACCCAAACTCTTCAGTTAACTAACTCACGAACAGGGTTCCTCCGAACGTCAAGTTCGAAGTCGACGACGTAGAAAGCCCGTGGATCGGTGACAGGAAGTATGACTTCATCTTCTGCCGCTACATGATCGGTTCGATTGCGGACTACCGCAAACTGGTCAAGAACGTCTATGACAATCTGAACCCCGGCGGCTGGGCCGAGTTCATGGATATGAGCGGCAAATTCTACTCAACGGATGGCAGTCTCAAAGAGGAGCATTCTACCCACAAGTGGGACTCTATGCTCATGGACGCCATCACGTCCATGGGCCGCGAAAGCCGCCCTGGCCCTCAGCTTGAGGGATGGGTTCGGGATGCCGGATTCCAGAATGTGACACATAGGAAGTTCCTCATCCCGATTGGGCCCTGGCCGAAGGACCAACACTACAAAGATATCGGCTTGCTCAACCTTGCCCAGATACTGGAGGGCCTCGAGGGTTTCTCAATGAGGGTCTTCTGCGGTGTACTGGGCTGGGAGAAAATAGAGGTAGAAGTACTCCTCGCCCAGGTCCGTAAAGAGTTGAAAACACTCCACACGTTTCACGCTCAGTTTGATAAGTAAGTGGCTCTGAGAATATTTGGAACGAATGAACAATGAAGCTAATGGGACTCGTTTTCTAGTCACAATGTGGTTGGTCAGAAGCCCTTGGAGGAAACCTCGTGACCATTCGCTGGAAGAGTACATGTGTAATGGTCGCTTAGACTATCTAACAGATAGCATGCTGATAGTAATATCCGTACTGGGCCGTTCTGCGCAACGATTGGATTCCTTGAAATGTGCATCTATGTATTAGAGGCGTACACCTCACACAGCTGCAGCTGCCAATAGGGATTATTGACTGGGGTTCTGGCAGAGCGCAGCTTCCTTGGCATTCCATGAGGGGTCGGGCTGCGCCGCAGTTGCAGCCTGCTGCGCAGCTTCCCAACATAAATAAATGAAGCCCCTCTCGCACCGGAGCCTGCCTGATGGGCTTACGGAGGCACAGCCCAGCATCTTCGACCTACAAATTTTCAAAGACGGTGCCCGAAACATCGAGCCAACGCAATCCAAAGACACCTCGGAAATGGCGATGCCGGAATACCAATACACGCCACTCGGCCATGCTCAGATTCGGCAGATGATCCTTCTACCAGGGCGATTTGACGAGCCAATCCAAGTCCAGGTCAAGAAGAGCTACTTCGAACCACCTCTCATTGTCCAGAAGTACGAAGCTCTATCCTACGCATGGGGCTCTCAAGAAGACCCAGAAACTCTGACGATAATCGACGCCTCTATTCCGAGCGAGAAACGATCGCTTTGCATTGGGCAGAACCTCGCCTCAGCTCTACGACACCTTCGGAATAAGACAAAACCACGAACAATTTGGTGTGATGCTGTCTGCATCAACCAGAAGGATCTGGCCGAAAGAGCGGCGCAAGTCCAACGCATGGGAGACATCTACCGCCATGCGGACAGAGTCGTTGTCTGGCTTGGGCCCGGCGACGAAGACGCCTACCGCTCAATGCAAATCATGAACCAAATTAGCTCGCACATCGACTGCCACCCGTTTACAATCACACCTCGGGATGAGGAGGGAAGACGCTACCTGTACGAAAGCACTGGCTTGGCTCTGAGCAGGAGCGACTGGGAGGGGCTGCATGCCTTCCTCTCCCTTCCTTGGTTCACCAGACTCTGGGTCAGACAGGAAATCATACTGACCAATGATTCGGCGATTGTGGTGAGCGGAACGCAGCAGCTTCTTTGGACACGCGTTACCAATGCTGTTGTCCTTTTACATTTCTGTGCAACGCGATACGCTCCGGACCTGGACGCGAAACATGCGTTTGATTTCATGGACCGACTCCAAAACGCCTATCAAATATGGGAGTGTAAAGTTGCTATCGGCAGATACGATGAACTCATCATAATCGGGGTGACGCAAAGTTGCCATTGTACAGATCCGCGGGACAGGATATACGGCGCTCTTGGGCTTATGGCAGGCTTCAAACTACCCATTGACTACAACAAGTCTATCCGAGAAGTGTACATGGACTTTTGTATCAAATATCACAGTCGGAGAAAGCATTCTCTTCAGTTCCTTCGGTGGTGTGAGGCGTCTGAAGATCCTAGCTGGGTGCCGGACTTCGGGCGACAGAGACCAGGCTTGCTGTGGATGGCCCCAAAACTCAGCGATGCGATGGCACCAGCTGTGTTCAAGGTTTTACAGGACCGATCATGCAGATTTGCCGCTATTCGATGCGGGAAGATTCAACAACACACGTCTCCATTGCCACTAAACCCCACCACGGAAGATGTACGGATAATCTGCAGGTCCTGGATACTTGAATTAGTTACCCAAGGCAAAGAGATGGATAGTGTCTTGATTGACGAACTAGTAGCAACACTTACAGTCAGTGAGGTCAAGGAGTACTACGACTCGATGTCTTATAAGCTCCTTGAGGCCAGGCAGGTGCTCACTCAAAACATCATGGGGACTCCAACATCAACACTGGATCAGACTGCCATACAGATTTTCAGATTCATAGAAAGATATCTGAATGGTACAGCAGTTTTCACAATAGACAATGGCCACTATGGAATTGGGACGGGCCAGGCGCGTGAGGGAGATGAGGTCTTTGTAGTGCTAGGATGCAACACACCGATTATCTTTCGTCCAGTCGGGGATTCGAAGTATAGAGTGATTGGCTGTTGTCACATGCCTTATAACTGGCGAGGTGAGACCCTTCTTGGATCTACACCAGCCGGATGGCAGATGAAGTACGGTTTGAATCGGTATCCTCACTTCGTAGCTCCAGATGGTCGTCGCACTTTTGATGATCCTCGCATTGAGATGCTATGCCCAAATGGCTGGGAGCGAGAGCAGGATGAATGTGGTTTAGCTTGGCGAGAAATTGGGGCCGAGGAATGGCAGAGAGCTGATCCTCGCATCACCCCTGAGTTTCTTGAGGCTCGAGGAGTGAAGATGGAGATGTTAACCGTGGTCTAGTCAATTCAGGAGTTTTCTTAAACTTACAAACTGATGTTCCATTCAGATGATACGTGTCATTTTATGATCATCTTAGTCGCCAAGGTTCAACTGCATCAAGACCCCAGGCCAACTCGATCCATTCGCCCTCCTCATCTCAAACTCAGCAACGACACTGAACCCCATCTTCTCATACAATTTGACCAACTTCCTCTCATTCCCAGCCCAAGCATCCAGATAAAGCACCCTCTTCCCCTTCTCAACCCCATACTCCATCGCCCTCCCAACCAAAGCCCCGCCAGCCCCCTCCCGCATCTCACCAGCCCGATAATCCGTAACCACAACATCAAGAAACACAAAGTCCTCCCTCCCCTCCAACGCATCTCTGATCCCATCAACGTGAAACTGCTTCCCAATGTGATCAGGCACCCACCGCTCCCTCACAAACGCGGCCCCGACGGCGAGAGACCGCGCCCCGTCGTCCTCGGCAACCCGGCAGCGGAGCCCGTGCGGGGTGGCCCCCGCCGCCGCCGTCGCCGCCGCCTCCGTCCCGAGCTCGACCTCAGCCACGAAGATCCGCAAAGCCTCCCCCTCGCCGGTCGTCCTGTACGTCTCCGATGCGCGGACGTCTTTGGCGGTCTCGTCGGCGAAGCCGTCTTTCTGCGAGAAGGGCGTGGGTCCCCACATCTCGCCGCTGCCGACGGCTTCGAGGTGGGGGAGGGTCGAGTCGAATGCTTCGACGATGAAGGTTGCGTCGTCTGGGGAGAGACCCGCGTCGCGGATGTGAATTTGGGGCATTTTTGGTAGGGTTAGAATGCGTTTGAGTTGTTTGGAGTGTGTTGCGTGTTATTTGATGATATGCTGTGAGGGGGGGATGAGATTTCTGTTGTTGGTGCAAAAGTTCTTTTGACGGGTAGGATTCTGAGTACTCGGCGGCTAACCGAGTTCATTGGCGCTCTTCCAGTGTCTATCAACGCTGTTATCTGCGACTGAAGTGATCTACTTGATCGGACTAGCCCGACATATTCATCTCAACACACAAATAGCGTCCCACTCGATTCACAGATTGAGCCCAGTTCACATCGCGGAAGTGAGATCGCAGCATGTTCAAGCCCTCACTGTCAAGCGATAGCGACAGCAGAGAACGTACAGCGACGTCATAAACAGAAAGGACTGAACGGAACGACACTCCAACGGCCTTCTCTCGACGTTTTACAGACTCACGGCCATGTCCATCACGTTGCCGACGTCTGCAACCCCTGACGGATCGACATCCTGCCAGGTACGCAACCGATATCATTGAATCTTGAGTATCGAAGTGCACTACATTTCCAGAAATCCACACTCAAGTTGAGCTTCACTCAATCTGAATCTCACTTGACGCTCCTGTGATACACATCGTACCGAGTACCTGGTCTTGAATCGAGCAAGTTGAGCATGAATGTGGAGCCGAGGGGTCAAAGCCGTCGCTCATGCTCAGGGAGTCAGGAGCTGACGCCGACAGCCGACGGCTCATGCCAAGGACGTAGTTCTCGACCATGAAAGAGAATTGTGAACTACTCATGACATTGCGGTTCTTCTCTTGTACGGACTAGCCGTGTCGAAGATCCACGTCGACGGTTGCACCATCGATAGATTCAAGGGGACGCCTCATCGTCTCGAACGCACCTCGGATGGACCATTTCTAGATCGGGAGGGACAAGCCGGACCAAGACTTGGTTATCCATAAAGTGGTAGGTGCTCTATCGCGACAAATATAGACGAGAACAGCGGGCCTTGATGTAGCAAACGGAGCTTCAACAGTCTCGGTTGGACCCCCCACGAATCATCTGCAATCTCCGGAAACGATAGAATACTGCGGGCAAGGTCAGCCTCGTTGACCGGAGCTGTAGTTCATGCATGAAAGACTGCCACATTCAAGCGGCCTAGTAAGCCTCGTACGGACTAGGACTGGGGCAGGTTGCGAGAGTGACGGCTCAAGTCAACGCAGAAGAGACCCACGAAGCCAAGACTAGCAGTTGATACCTAAGGCGTAGACGAACGCCTCATTAAAGCTGTCTTTTGAGAGAAATGTGTGAACTCGCTGGGCAGATTGCCGTGGAAGGGTTGAGGCGATCTCTGTGCGCAGCTCGCACGGCCAAAGTACACATGAGCCATGAAACCGCTCGTTGATGCCGATAATCGCCCTTGATGTAAGAGTTGAGAACCTAGGAATCGAAAATCAACTGCTGATTCAAAAGCCGGAGTTGATCAAGAAGCGACGGCGACGGGCATTCTGTCAACAGCAATAGCGGAAACGCGGCGAAGTGCTCGCGGCAATTTCACGGCGCTTTGCAGAAGATCCTGTCCGTGAATATAGTCCGACACGAAGGAAGATTGCACGTGCGAGGTAATGCTTCCACTTGGCGTCGCACGAACTGGACGGACGCTCATATGGATGCAGCGCCTTCAGGGCATTCAAGACGGCCATCATGGAAGTCGTCTTTGAGCGAGACATGCGACTGGTATCGGCTGAGGTGGTCTGATCGAGGATCTGCAGGAAAAGACTCAAAACTGCCTCATTTCCGATGAAGTCGAGAGTCCATAGGTCGACTAACCGCATCGAAATCGAGGTGCTTTGTTGGAGGCACAGTCTCCCGTCCGTAGGCGCACGAGGGTTCAACTTCCGCACAGCTGTGGATTATTCCGTTAGCCGCGATGTCTGTGAGACGAGTTGACGTGAGATTCAGGGTCAACAAGACCGTCTTGCTTCATCTAACGTGGACCAAGACATCGGCAGACCGGGCCATGCGCTAGAGTCTGATTCCTCTCTCCAAACTTCAACTCAGAACGTAATGAAGTCGCTCTTGATATTGATCCAGATTCGAAAGCTGTGAGGAGGTGGTGAAGAGCAAGATTGGCGGCGGATGACGATACCATCTAGCCATGGAATGACTCCACAATCCCGTTCAAGAAGGAGTACCCATCTTGTCTCAGCGACGAGCATGTCCCCGTCATTCTGAAATTCTGTAGCTCCATTTGCCACAGCTAGAGGAAAGTCAATTGGCAACGGTGATCGGCCTCAGGCCGCAAACAGAAATCCGAAGACGAAATACGAGTCGGAAGCCGGATTCAGTGGCGCGATTCTGGTGGTGGAAGGCTGTAGGGTGATTGTAAGCTCGAGAAGGAGAAATTTGGTCAAGTAGCTTGATGCCGTCGATATCATGCCCTAAAGATCTCGTCATGGAAGACAGCATATGGCCAAGACTTGGTCGAGACGATGATAGTGGCGGTAGGACAGTCCATAGATCATCAAGATGATAGGCTGAGGGCTTCCTTGTGGTGTGGTCCGGGCGAAAGGGCGCATACTTGAAGGAAATGCGGCACTTTGAAATTCGATCTTGCCTCCGAACAAGCCGTAGTGGAGGGCTGGCAGAGTGGATGGCTCAAGATGGCTTTTGGTGTTGAGGGCTCATCCTTGAGATGTCGACAGACTGAACCTACATGAATAGGTGAAACCAAGCGAGAGTTCGTCGAATGAAGGCCCGTGTGCGTCAAGCGTTGAACTTCCTCTGTGCTCCTCTTCAGGCGGGAAGGCGACAATGCCAGATGCAGGATGCTGTTGGCTGGTCGATGTCAACATGATGCACAAGGAGACAGAGGTTCCTATGCGGAGACGGGAAAGAAATTATTGGCGGGTATGGTGGTCCGAAGATGATTTACCAAGCTAACTGAAAATGCTGGTCCATTGCCCCGGGTCGTTTGATGCATGCTGTTTCGATGTATGGTAGTCCAGGCTGATTGACTCCCGCTAGATGCGTTGGAGAGCGTGCGGAGAGAGTTGGAGGTGTCGATGGAAGTATGTTGGAGATTCCAGATGCGCCTGCCAACATTTCTGCCAGATGCTCTTCAGGTGAGACATCCGCCGTTATCTTGGCCCGATGTTCTAGACCGACTCTGACGTGAAGACTGAGGCAAGTGTTGGTTTGATGTGAGGTGGTGACAGATGAAGTGGCTGCCCTTGAAACCTCTCCTGTCCTTCTCCAGCAGGCAGGTACATGCGATAAAGTGAGTTAGGTACGTATCGAACTTGTGTGAGCTGAAGGAGGAGGTGCCTGAGGAATGGCATGTCGTGGTGCCTCAGCTTTTCGATGCCGATGCAGCAGGTGCCAACAGGTTGGGGATGGGATTGTGGGAAGGAGCGAGTTTCCCCCCGTTGCCCCGGTCGCACCTGCCTTATTGTCCAGGATGGCTTGCTGATAAGATAAGAGCTCCACCCCTGCTGACAAGTGGGGCGCATGCACCTCAGTCGATGGAGCTAAGTGGACTGCTGAGGTCAGCTCGGCTTCTGACTGGCTCAGAGCTGGCAGTACGTACCTCACCATGTACCTCTGCTAACCGAATGACGTCCCTTTCCGACCCCACGCCCCGCTAAGCCGTTGTCACTGCTGAAGCATCACATGAACCCCTCTGTCGGACCCGTGGGCATCTGTCTTCCTGCACTGCTTCTGCCTCTGCCACTTCGACCTCCGGAGATTCCTCCTACATTCCACGATACCCCCTTTGCGCCGAAAATTATCTTGCATAAGCACCGGATATTCACATCTTCTGATTCTTCAGACTCGCCAACTCCAACATCTCCCGCCCTGAGCACCCCGCGGACCCCACGTTGAGCTACGATCGCGTTTGCTGATCATGTCGCTCTTCACCGCGCAACTTCACCCAGGGCGGGCTCTGGGCTTTCTCGGTTCGCATGAACTCTGCCTTCTAGAGTGTACTCTCAGACGCTAACTCTATTGTCGTCGCCTAGTCCTCGGAGCATCCTTGCATGATATCTTGACGCGACTGAAAGCCGAACCGCAACGTTTTCCGCAACTCGATCTTGCCTACTCCCGCGAGCAACCCGTTCAAGAACCCGTTACCCTAACTCTCCCTGCAAACGGTATCCGCCTGCGATTCGATGGCCCCGAACAGCGCTTGCGCTTGATAGAGATTATCGATTTCACAAAGAACCATGTCACCTTCAAGGATCGTGACCTGGTCAAGCCCGCAAACGCGCAAGGGCCGCCGTCTTCTCCTGTTCCCGGAGAATCCAGCTCCGGCCCAACCTTCAGACACATCTACCACAGGCTGCTCGGGCCAACATATGGCGGAGAGTACATCCCACCCACGCCCGACGCCGCCGACAACCTGGGTAACTACATACTTTCTTATCCCGGCGTGGCCTTTACCTTCCGACTGGCCGAATCCGCATATTCTCCCAACAAAGACGTTGTATCGCTGCTGTCGTCCGCCACGAGCCAAGTGGCCACATCCATGGCCGTTTTCAGCGGAGACTCGTGGGCTGAAGCACGAGAAACTCTCTGGACTGAAATCCTGCCAAGTGTCAAAACGGTTCCCGTGCTTCCAAGGGGGAAGGACGTTGTTCCAGACGAGATTTCTCTGGTCAAGATTCATGGTGGTGGCAAGCTCCAACTGTTCCGGAAGTGGACCAACTCATCAATCTGGATCATCCTAGGAGAGACCAGTCCTCAGGAACTGATTGCGGAGCTTGGCCCGCCCAACGCTACATATCGGAAGAACGACCAGAGGATGACAATACACAAGCTTCGGACGGCGAGTCACAGCCGTGCCCGGTCGAACGGTGTTGATCTCAGTCGTCCGGACGACCTCACCGATACTGACCAGTCGTCTGCGAACACAGGCTCAGACGATGATAACGACGAGGCTGTCGAGGAAGATATCGCTGGCAATGTTTCTGGAGAGTGTTTCTACAATTACTTTTACCTGGGCTTTGACGTTCTCGTTTCGACACCTTCTCCCCCGTCAAGACCGCCACCGGCTCAGAATGAGTCTCAGGTGCCGCCCGGCAAGCCCATCAAGTCAGAATCGCCAGATCGTCTGGTTGCTACCAAGCTGGTTCTCCATGGGAACGTGCCTGGGTCCTATGAATTCAACAGGCACCGCCGTTGTCGTTGGGAAGTCAGCTATCTCGACGAAGGCTCGCCAAGTGCAACGGCAAACTCGGAGACCAAGTTCACTGAGATCAAAGACAAGCTGAACGAACGATGGAACAGCGCATATCCCGACGGAGACTCCAGGGCTCCCCAAAGAGGTATGGTCCTCAACCGGGGATGGGGGGACAGTCCCGGTAGCAGTTGTGAGTTTCTTGGGGGTTGGGAGGATAGCGGCGCCAAGAGGCTCGATGGCACCGACGATTCAACCACTACTCTGTTTGGATTCCCTGGTCTGGTGTTTGAGGTTCTCAAGAACGATCATGTTAATACGGTCACGGTGTTTTAGGTTTGGAATGAGCATTAAATTTGGGTCAGATGGTAAGCTGTTCGGTGGGCAGCTTTCTTGCATCCATTGAACCAAGCTGCTGGCCGGGGAGACGAGGCTATGTGTTGACTACGATATCCCTACGAGCAAGATGGGGTTATGCTCAAATCAATATGCTCTTAGACACCACCACCTTCTTTTAGCCTCATTCTCAAGAGTGCCAGCCAACTTAACGTGGAACAGCTGTGACGTGGCTGCTAGTGGATATCCCATTGGTGAGGCTTGTCTCCCATCCCCTTGCAATAGTCCGTCTGATTTTGAATTCATGCAGGACAGACATGGGATATTTCAGCTTTGTCCTCGCTTTACTTTTATCGGTCTGACTCGGGATATGTTTCGGGAATCAAGGGCATTACCACAAGCACATACCATGTTGTAAAGCTCCAGCAGCTCCGAGAAGGCCGTCAATCTCGAAGAGCTCCGGAGCTACAGCGAAAACAATAAATAATACAGCTCGAAACCTCCAGAGCAAATCTCACTTCAGCAGCATAGAACAGTCATCGTCCTTTCGAAAAATACCCAGAGATACCCCCCAAGAGATACCCAATACCCCCCTCACAAGTTTTCGCATCCCACCCAACCAAAACACCCATCAAAATGAAGGCCCCTCCAGCAGCCGCGAACGCCAAGCAGAACGCGCTGGCGCTCAAGCGATACCTCCCCCGCAAGCTCCGAGAGGCGGCCGAGGACGAGGCCGAGGTCGAGAAGGGCGTCGGGCACGACCTGATCATCTACAGCTTCGACCGCCCCAACGGCCAGTACGGCTACACGCCCTTCACGATCCAGCTGCGCCTGCGCCTGCGCCACGCCGGCATGCAGCACAAGGACCGCGCCGCCAACTTCTTCCAGGCCCCCAAGCAGCGCGTCCCCTACGTCAAGCTCGCCGACTCGGACGAGCTCGTCGGCGAGGCCCAGTTCGTCATCCAGCGCCTCGTGCAGACCGGCAAGCTCCCGGATCTGAACAAGGACCTCGCGCCCGCTGAGAAGGCCAAGGATGCTTGCATCCGCGCCATGCTGGAGGATCGCGCCTACTTCCTCGTGGTAAGCAACAGCTCGAATATCGATACACGTCGGAATTGGTTACTTACAATGAATGCCTGTAGCTCTACGAGAGATGGCGCGGCCAGTATGAGCAGATGTGGCACGACGGGCCCTTCAGCCACTTCGTCTGGGGCGCCAAGCACATCTCGACCCAGCTCGCGCGCGGCTACGTCAACTCCCAGCTGTACATGCAGGGCACCGGCCGCTACACCGACGAGGAGGTCAAGGGCTTCGCGTCGGACGTCGTCATGTCCCTGAACGGCTTCTGCGAGACGTCCCTGTCGAAGCTGTCGCTCGACTCGCGCGAGTCCCGCGAGCCGTTCTGGATCCTGGGTGGCCAGCGGCCTTCCGAGGCGGACTTCGTCGCCTTCGGAAACCTGGCAACGGTCTTGGGTACCTCTGTGTAAGTTGCTGAGCGTGAATCAGATGGCGGCGGAGAACATCGGCTAATGACACAATACAGGAACCCGGTCCACGCGGCTCTCATCCGCGAGAAGCCCGCCCTGGTCGAATACATCGGCCGCATCCACGAGCGCTACTTCGCCGAGTACAAGTCCCCCGTGCACACTTGAGCTGGTCTAGGGTGAGATACCCCGATACCCATTTGCATTGGACACCCTAGGAATGAGAGAGAGGAAGGCTGTTCTGTTCTTGCCCTGTGAGTGTCTTGATTTTGGTGTCTGTAATTATCGCGAGAGAAGATGGTTAAGGGGGTTTGGAGGGGGTCCGATGAATACGAGAAATGGGCTCTGTGGTTGTGTGTACACGGTTGTCGAGATTGGTAATTCTTTCTTGTATTGATTTTTCTCTCCATCACACACGAAAAGGGAAGACGGGGACGGGGTCGACGGTTTTGGCAATGAAAGGTTGGCCTCCGCCCGGTGGTAGGAGCAGGACGAAATACCTAGCCCGAGTTTTCTGGTCTTCCTAGAACCTAATTATTGTCCGCCAACATTGCTTTGTTTCTTGAACCGTGTGCTATCAATAGTGGCTTGTGGGTTGGTTGGCTTGTGGGCTGTTCAATTCGACTGATTATTGACGAATGATTTCGTTGAACTAGATGTTCGATGACACCTGTGAACCTGTCTTAAACAATTGAGGCGGCGTGATGCAAACAGGGAGCATCGGATCCAGTATGAGGTGCACTGCATGATTTGCACTTACTTTTGGGATGAGAACTTTGATTATTCTCACGGATCTATGTGACATTAGCTTCATAGTTGGTCGTGTGCAATAGGCTTAGGGATATCGAGATGGGAACGTCATCTTTGATGGTATCCTATCCCCATATTGCTACGCTGGCCAATGATAATCTCTCGTGTGTAGGTTCCGCGCGACCGGCCCGCCGAAGCCAAGAACCTTATCCTCATTTACGCGAATTTCTGAAGTACTTTTCTAAGGTCGTGGAGCAGTCCTTTGCTCCGGCGGCTCCGCCTGGCGGGCTGCTCCGGTGAAGTTGGTCGGCTTTTGGACTACCTCCGTGTCCGAACGAAATACGGTTGTCCCCCCATCAACTTTCACATCAATTACCCCATTGGTCTCAGTCAAGTGATCAGCTTCAAACCATAGTACGAGATGCTGTATTGTCAAGCCTCACACATTTACGACGACAGCTTCAACCACGTCGAATCAACCTCACCAAATGTTGCACTCACTTGATCTTCTACAGCCTCAAACCCCAAAACATCACTCGCATCCAGGACACTACCAAAATTACCACAAAGCTAAGAGTATGAGCTTCCCAGGTGCCCGGACTTAAGGTGCCGGCTTTTAAGATCGGTCTGGACTGAGCACCTCACTTGTGGATGCCGCCATCGTTAAAGGCACCGATAATGCCTCAACTTACCTAGGGATCTAGCGCATAGATGCAACGATGATTGACCGATACGTTTTACGATAGGTCCTGATCTGTTTTAAGTTCCCGAAATTAATGACATATAAGTTCTGCTTACTCGCTTTTCTGGTGCCGACGAAACCATCTCAGCAAAACCGCACAAGCTCAATCACTTCACCTCCCCCGAGCCATGTATTCCGATCGAAAGAGCATCCTGGTCACCGGTGCCAATGGCTATCTCGCTCTACATGTCATCAAAGAAGCGCTCAGCAAGGGCTACGATGTCCGCGGCACCGTCAGGTCCCAGAAAGCCGCCGATAAAGTCCGCGCAACATTTCCTGCAGACTACGGAGCCAGACTCGCAACCACCTTCGTTGAAGACTTAACCAAGCCGGATAACTTTCGCGATGCCTTCGACAATAATACCGTTGGCGTCATTCACGTCGCAAGCCCGGTCCATGGCCACGTCGAAGACAACGTCCGAGACATGCTAGACCCGGCCATCAAGGGCGCAGTTGGAATCATGAAAGCCAGCAAGCTGTACGCCGGGCCTTCGTTCCAGCGCGTGGTGCATACTTCTTCTTTTGCCGCCATGCTAGATGTCTCCAAGGACCCACGAGTCGGATACGTCTACGACGAGTCCGATTGGAACCCGACGACCTTTGAAGAGGCCGCTACCATCCAAGACCATGTGGCCCTCTACGTAGCTTCCAAGGCTCTCTCGGAAAAGGCTGTCTGGGACTGGGTGAAAGACAATAAACCCGACTTCGACATTGCCTGCCTGAACCCAGCCACGGTTTTTGGCCCTCACCTCGAACCTCTTAAGAACCTCGATGAGGTGACGTCGACATCGAAGCTTTTGTGGAATCTCGTGGATGCGAAGGAAATACCGAAACTTCTATGGGCCGGAGCGATTGATGTTCGCGATACTGCGGCTATGCTGGTGGCCGCACTCAAAACGCCTGCTGCGGGTGGTCAAAGATTCCTGTTGGCACATCACTTTGACTGGCAGACCGCTGCTGACGTCGCCAGGGAGCAGTTGTCGGAGGAGATTGCGGAACGCATTCCGGTGGGAATTCCTGGTACTGGCAAGGCTTGGGCACTGGACAGTCTGTACCAGGTGAACGGACGCAAGGCAGTTGATGTACTGGGTATAGAGTATCGTCCCGTATCGGAAACGGTGAAAGATACCTTGGAGCAGTTCTTTGAGGTGGAAAGAAGCACCAGAAGCTAGAAAACTGTATAATCTAGCACAGCAAAACGATCTAATGGTTTCGGACGGATCTTTCCAGTACTAGACTTTTTAGAGCAGGCAGTGAGAATTTTCAAGATCTAGAGTTTCAACATGTACCTTGTTCCATGGCAAGACTCTGCTCTGTCTACCTGAACATCATTCTCAGCTTGCTTTATAGCCACCTTACTCAACGGTGGATACATGAAGCGGAAAGTAACACTGATCTTTCGCACCTTCTAGGTGTCTGGTGATCTCTACAACCCAAGCTGCATTGGAGGGCTAGGCACAATGTTACTCAATCTCAGTGTATGATGCAGGCCGGACACACTGGACACAGAGAATGCCAAGGGATATCCCCAAGAGGCGGTGGATGGAACTTGGACTAGGATGCAGGGTTCGGATTTACGCTTTGAGAGGTTAAGCAATCCCGATTCCCACCTGTCGCGGAAAATCATTCGGACTTAGCGTTGTCAGAAATACAATGTTTTGCAAAGAACAGATGTATTAGCTCCTACCAAGAACGCAAGCCTCCGCAAGCTTCGTAATTCCCAAAAGCTCACTAGCTTATCAAGAGCAGCCAAGACCCTCAGCGCCATGATGATCGCCCTTGTGGCCGGACAGTTCCATATTGCATCGATGAAGTGAAGCCGAAGAACCCGTGCAAAGGGAAAGTCTGGAAGTTCATACGCTGTTCGAGGCCTCCCTCCAATCTTAAGCATGCGAGCGCTAAGTTGTATAAGAGGAACCTGTATTTCGTGTGGATATGTGAAATGGAAGTGAGAGCTGGCAACTGTTGGTCCTCCTCTTCATTCTGTTCTCACATCAAGCAACCACGATCGAAATGTATCGCAGGATTATCGCGTTATTTCTCTTGTGCTTCGCCAAATTGGCTTGGTCTCAATTCCTCAACTCTTCCGAAACTTATGAGTACATCGTGGTGGGATCGGGACCTGGCGGAGGCCCTTTGGCGGCCAACCTTGCCAGGGCAGGTCACTCCGTGTTACTAATCGAGGCGGGCGACGACCAAGTCGACAACCAGAACTCATACATGGTCTACAACAACACCCCCGCGATCAACGACCCTTTGACCAGATGGGACTTCTTCGTCACCCGGGATCTCCCGGAGATCGATAACACTTACGAGTTCACCACTTGGAACACCACAGAGGGAGACTTCTATGTAGGGCTCGATGCTCCTGCTGGTTCTGAACGGCTCGGGGTGTACTATCCACGAGCCGGCACCTTGGGAGGCTGTGCTATGCATAACGCGGCATCCATCTCTCTTCCCGCAGACAAGGACTGGCAGGATGTTGCCGATATCACTGGAGACGAGTCTTGGTCACCAGCCAACATGCGACAGTACTTGGTTCGATTGGAGAGATGCAACTATCTCGTCAACGGCAGCGATCCATCACACGGCTTTACGGGTTACATCGATACATCTCAGGGTGACTACTCATGGGCACTAAATGAGTCCGACGTTACCACACTGGCCTGGTACTCCTCTCTAGCTCTTGGCTCACCTTCGAACATCAGCTCTGCGGAGCTGGCTCAACTGCTCGGCAGAGATATCAACTCCAACGACGTCAATAGAGATGACACTGTTGGCGTATTCACCGGTCACACCCACTCGCGAAACGGCGTGCGATCCAGTCCTAGCAACTACATTCGCGCAACGCTGGCCGATGAGAGAAAGTTCCCTTTGACTCTTCAACTGAACACTCTTGCGACCAAGATCATCTTCGGCAATTCGACAACCGCAGGAGGAGCGCCAAAAGCAGTCGGCGTTGAGTACCTTCAGGGCCAAAGCCTTTACTCAGCTGACCCTCGCCGTGACTCTTCCAACCAGGGAGTTCCCGGACGAGCATTCGCATCAAAAGAAGTCATCATCGCCGGTGGCGTCTTCAATTCCCCTCAACTGCTCAAACTCAGCGGTCTCGGACCCGCCGAGGAACTGGCAAGTCTGGACATTCCTTTAGTCAAAGACCTGCCCGGAGTCGGCACGAACATGCACGACAACTACGAGGGAGTCGTCTACGGCACATTCGAACAGCCAGTCGTCGGCTTCTATGACATGTTCATGGAAACGTCGTTTGCGAACAGCACGAGGGACATTCACTTCTACTGCGGCAGCATGAACTTCATCGGATTCTTCCCCGGCATGCCTGGCTACAACCCAAATGAGTTCGAGTGTGGGTTCATGCAACTCCACGCGCGGAACATCAACGGCACAGTCAAACTCAAGTCCAAAGACCCTCGCGAGATGCCCGATATTCATCTCGGATTCTTTTCGGAGGGCGACGATGCTGATCTTGACTCTATGCTGGAGGCCATCAAGCTTGCGAGGTCAGTGTTGACCAAACTTACGGACAACACCTTCACGGAGCACCGTCCTTGCCGTCAAGGTGCTGCCAGCTGTACCGATGAGGACCAGAAGGCGTTCCTCCGAGCTCAAACTTACTCTCATCACGTTTCCGGGACGTGTGCTATCGGTGCCGCTGATGACCCGATGGCAGTTTTGGATTCAGAATTCCGCGTCAGGGGCGTCGACGGTCTTCGGGTAGTTGACGGCTCTGTCTTTCCAGTTCAGCCTGGGGAGGTTCCGAGTTTGGCCACCTTCATGATCAGTGAAAAGGCGCTGGACTCTATTTTGGGAAGTGAAAAGAGGTGAAGGTTGCCGCAAGCTTAGTGATAGCCTTCTAAGGCACGCGTACATGTACTCATGCCACTGCTTCAAACTATGGACATGTTACACTTGGGGCATTCCCATAGCTATTCGTGTTTACGGCGAACGTCAAATGAAACACTCCATGTTTATCTGAGAATTCGCATTTTCATCATGCAAGATTGCACCAAAAAGAAGTTGAGATTGCCATTACATTATCGTCAATAGCTATGCCGCTTCCGTCATAAATATGCTTTAATACAACCAACATGTGATATCACCAAGGTCCCTGAGGATCTAAGACCGTCTAGAACCAGTGCCACTCATCCAGCTTCGGCATGACGAAGCGTTCACCATCTCTGGCCTCGAGATAGTCTGTGCAGTTATTCTTGTCGGCAGGGATAGTGGGTATGCACTCCGCCTCGCAAATGGTGCCGCTCTCAGGAACTTTGCCAGTGTAGAAGAACTCGCGGATGATCTTGATGATACACTGGCTGGGCCCGGAAATCATGCCATGGCCAGCACCCTCCTGAATTACCACAGACGAACCCGTGTGTCCCTTCTGCACGGTGAGAGCATTCCTGAGAGGAGTGATGGGGTCGTAGCGGCTGGATGTGATCAGCAGCGGCGCCGCAGGAGCCTTGGGATCATCAGGGTTGGCCGCGGGCGATGTGAACGGCCCGGTAAAGGCGTACGGAGGGCGGATCTTCCGGTTGGCACAAGTTATCGGGATAGCCCCTGATACGCTCGGCCCAGCAGTGGGAGACTGATCTTTGTGGTATTCCACCAAGTCTTCGTAGAAAGAGATGTTGCGGTCCAAGATGGAGTCATCGATATCGGTGCAGAGAACGCCGGCCAGAACATCCTCGCCCCAGACGTAGAGAGGGTCTCCGGGGCTGTCGGGAGCATCGCAAACAAGACTGATCGAGTCGGCGGGTAGGATCTGGATGAAAGCAGTGTAGTTTCCGCTCAGCAGCGCGTCCAGACCCGATGCAAGGATCTCAAAGTCTGTCAAAGGGTTGTACAGAGCCGAGAAGATTGCCTGTCGCACATTGGGCGATGTCAGGATCACGGCGCGGTTGTTGAGTGAGAGCGGAATGGGGTTAAGGTCTAGCTCCTCGAGAAATTCAGTGACGCGACCCTTGATGTCGGCCGCAGACGTGTCAGATGACTCCAGCAGAGGGCAGTCTTCACCCGCCTCGAAGCAAGTCGCGTAGAAAAGATCAACAATGGTCTCCGCATCGTTGATGTTGTTCTTGAAGGCCTAAAAGATTCTTAGCAATACTGTATCATGAAAGTATGGCAAGCGAGATTGAGGGACTTACTCCTGTGACCCAGTCCTCGCCATCAATAACGGCATCGATGAGAACCCTTCCAATACGCTCAGGGAACATGGAAGCGAAGGTGTTTCCCAGATAAGAGCCGTAAGAAATACCAAAGTATTGCACTCTGGGCTTCTCGGCATCAGCAGGCTTCGTCTTGTTGGAGTTCTTCCAGCGCAACTCGTCGATTCTGTCCGCCATTTCGACCATATCTCTAGCAACTGACGCCGTGTTCATGTGGCCGAAAATGCTATCGACTCCATCTTCCTCGCAGAGCTCGCTCTTGGCCGAAGCAGCCGCCCAGTGGTAGCCAAGGGCCTCATCTATCGGGCTCATGCCATCTGCGCGCGTTGAGTCCAGCTTGCGAGAAAAGTAGTCGCCCTTGTAGCAATCGGCATGAGGCGTGCTCATGTTCACACCCCTAGGGTCAAAGCCGATAATCTCATAGTTGCGTTCGCCACCCAGAAGCTTCTGCAGAGCCGGGCCGAACGAATACGTAAATCCCGTGCCGGAGCCGCTGGGGCCACCGGGGTTGATGAAAATGCTGCCGGCGAAGCTCGGGTCGTCCTCCGGGACGGTGGCCGGGAGCTTGACGATGGCAATGGCTGCCGTGCTGTTCTTGGTGGGCTGCGACCAGTCGAGAGGGACTTCCAGACGGGCACACTGGAAGCTGCCGCAGGGGTGGTATTGCAGATCTTTTGTTGGTTTGATGTTTTTGAAGCTGAACTCTTCGGTTTCGTTCGCGCCTCTGGGAAACAGGGGTCGATTTACCGACGCGGCCTGACTAAGGCCTAGTAGCGACCCAGCTAGAAGAAAAGAAGAATGCATGTTGACTCAGGTCTCTGTGCTGATTGCTGTTTCGAGTTGACCCGTGGATGTCAGAAAAGACAGACATTGTTACAATCGAGACATCCCGAGATATTTCAATGTTTTCTTTCAATTGACTTCCACGTCTTGAACATGCTCGTCGGGCGACTAACACAGTAATCCTGCAGACATTGCGGCTTGGCCCTGCAGCTTCGCTTGTAGGATCATGATGCCAAGTTCACTCGCTGCCTGGCAGAGAGCATTACCCCTGCCGGTACTGCCACTTCGATTTCCTTCATTCAGCCTAGTGTAACCCGTCAGCTTGTCCAGGTTGGCTGGATCGCGAATGCCCCGCGTAATCAGATGGCAGTAGGCTATGTCGCAGTTAGTGAATTATCAAATCCTCCGCTGCCGTCTCTGCGCCGCGCCGCCAGCCGACAGCTGAGGCCTGAGACTTGCGGCTTTTAGGGGAATATTACCTGCTTCTAGGAAATACTACTTACCGCATCAGTCGATGGCTGCCCGGCATGCCAAGGCGGTAGGAAGCTAGGCCGCGGGGCTGAATGGAGGTGACGAAGCTGGAGCCTACGTCAAGCTGCCTTGACCGGCCGGCCGCCCGCGTTGCCCGGGGCGCGGAGGCTGCGGAGCAAATGCCGGTGTGTAAGCTGACCCGACCTTCCCCTCAACTTCAAGGCGTCGCACATGGTAAGATGGTAGGGTGCAGACCGTTCCTCAACATTCTTGTGTAGCAACGTAAGCGGTCAAAAGTTCCTTTCCCGCCAGCCGCCTCAGCTGTTGATTATGATGTGAGTTCCAATTCCAAGATCTATGCCCCTGTAGCGACTTGCGTGGTCTGCTGAGCCGCCACGCTCGCCAATGTGCGTTTTTTCGCCCGAAATGGCACTGGAACTCGACCATTACTCGCCTAAAGCTGCCACAGATGAGTCAATACTGACTTGGACATAATGCAGAATTGCAGATATGCAAAATTGCATCTGCAAGGTCGGATTTCAAGTACGATCTCAGAATATGAGACAAGAACGTCTGACTCTAAACTCATGACGGACGCGGGAGCTCGCAAACTTCCGTGGTGGAGTTCTGCTGACAGTAGAGACAGCTGTCACGCTAATTTACATGGTTGATCACAATCGGCTTCGCCCAGTCGCCTAAATCCTTCGGAAGGACAAAAATACGAACCAATGGAATAACAGAATTACTCAAGATCACGCTGAGGGGCTGGCGTCGTACCGCACAGGTGACGTAAAATGGTTGCACAGCCTAAGAGTCGGATTTCTACTTATCGGAAACTGAGTTTAGACAGTTTGGTGTACGGATAGCTTTGCTTTCCGTGATTCTGGTTAAGCTATCAAAGAGCGAGCCACATGTGGCGCGCCAAGTCATTTACTGTGTCACTTCTGTTAGTCTGTTCATAGAGTATGATCACGAATTATACTCAAGCTTTTATGGCATCGCTCATTACATTATGCATTTGTGCAAACAGTGGTATCATTACATATGAAGTCGTCAAAGTATGCCTCTTTCCTCCACCTGCATTTGTGCTCCCACGCAACCGGGCCCCTGCGCAGTGAGATGTCTCTAGCGGGCAGCTCCAAATTGATTTCGCTTTTCGCAGCGTATGAATACCTCTCAGAGATTCTTAGGCTCAAGCTGCTCCTCAGGTGCCTCGACAACGCGGCGGCCGCCCTTGGCACGCCTGTCAGCGTCGAGAGACTGAGCGAACTTGGATCTCTCTCGAATGACAGGGCCCTTCCAGTAGATGAGATACACTGGAATTGTCACGAAGAATGCAAGGCACGCAAGAATCGTGCTTGCGTACTCCGTGTGACGCGTCTTGCCGACATTCTCGTACAGAGGTGTCGAGTACATGGCAGCGATACCAGCGAGGAAGTCACGGGCGAAGCCGTTGCCTCCGGTAGCCGAAGCACTGTAGGGGCCGTACGCTGCACAAGCATTAGTATGCCGAGTCATTCTTCTTCGTCTGTACTCATGACTTACCAGCAATCATGTAGTCAACCGTACTCATGTAGATGGCGAAGTTCGCGATAGCGATGAGACAGGAGAAAATCATAGGCGCGATCCAATGAGACTGAGGGGGTCCCATGGATGTCCACGCAAATCCGAACAAGCCGATCGTCTCGAGAGGCGCAAGGTAGAGCAACCACCTGAGACGACGCTCCGGGGGAAGCGCGTCGGAGCCCTTTGCCTTAATGACCCTCTGGTCCCTGATGATCCAAGGGACGTACGACATGTAGGCGATGATGTATCCTATGTTGATGGGAATGAAGGCCCAGGCCGTCTCGAGAACACCGAATCCCCACTTCTCGAACACCGGGTTGAACCCCTCCTGGAAGGTGAAGATCAAGGCGTCAGAGAAGCCAGACAGAAGCGAGCACGATAGCACGATGGGTTCGCGGAGGAACATCTCAAAGGGACGGATCCAAGTAACTGCGAACTCGTGGGCTGAGAGTCGGGGCTTCTTGACTTCGTTGGGTCCGTAGACGTTCGGCTCGATGCCGGCCTTGCGTCGGTGCTTAGCCTCGCGATCCATGATGATGGTCGAGCGGCTCTCGGGCATGAAGAAGTGGATGGCTTGAACGGTAACACCGAAAATGAGCTGGATCCAGAAGTTCCAGTACCAGGGCAAGAAAGCCTGGATTGGACCTCCCACGACGGGGCCGACTGAAGTGCCGAACACGGAAGACAGCACGACGAAGAGAACGGCCCATTGTTGGTCATCGGGCTGGTAGAGATCTGCGACCATACCGAGAGTCACACTACCGCCAGCTGAGCTGAGACCGCCCTGTTCATCATTAGTACACATAGTTCACGGTGAAAGATTCGAAAGTTTACTTACCAGAGCTCTGGCAACAACGATACTGGCATAATTGGGGGCTAGCGCACCAAGAATTTGCCAGATGTTCACCAAAAACAAGGAGCATCTAGATATTGAGTTAGGCTGGTGTCGGATTTGTGGATGAACTGAATGACTTACTGCAAGATCTTCCATCTTCCAAACTCTTCACTCCAGGGAGCCCACAGCTCACATCCGAAGGCATAAAGAACTAAGAAAGCACACTGAGAGGCACGGGCAGCCTGCTCACTGATGCCAAAATGCTCAGAGATGGGTGTAATAGCACTAGGGTAGACACTAGTGTTGAAGTTCATCGAAACCTGGACAATGAAGATGGATGAAAGAAGCATCCACTTCTTCCATGCCGGCCACGAGTAGCCGAGCAGATGGTAGCAGTCATCTTCCGAGATGATTCGTTTGCCGTCAGGAGTGTATTGCGGTTGATTGCTCTTTGAAGTGACGTTCTCGTGGTTCGTTACGCCCTCGGATTCCTCATCACGGCCCGGTCCGTCTGTGAAAAAGCCACCATTCGGGGCAGTTTCCTTCTCATTGTGCCGTTCCGGTTTCTCGTCAAAAATCGGACCGACTCGTGTTGCGCTGCTGTTACGGGTAAGGTTGGCGTCTCCAGCAACGTTCCTGCCTGTTCTGGGTTCGTTCGAAGATGGTGGTGTGGACGCCATACTGGCTATCTATTCGGAGGTAGCTCCGGCTCGAAGGTGCCGTGTGGCCGGGCAAGGCTGTAGTAATGCGAGAGGTCCGGATCAAAACTTCCGGGAGGCAATCGTGAATGGCATAAACGTGTGATGAATTCCGAACCCGCAGTTTATTGTGATGATGTGATGACTGATAGCGGTCCCCCGGATTTCAATACTTAAGGGTGTTCGAGGGCTTTATCAATGGTCGGGATCTCCACGATATGGAAGATAACCTCCGACTTTAAACTGGAGTTATGACGCTATCGTCCCATGACGTTGCTGTTGGTAAGCCAGAAAATCAGCGGTAACGAGACCCTGAAGGATCCAACGCCCCAGTGTTGGATACCTATTCTGGACGCTGTTCTCACGTTATTCGGTGTGTTTTGATGGAGTCGTGCCACTGCGGAACAGAGTAGCAGTTTTCCCATTCCATCTTGGTCTCTGGTCGGATTCTAAAGCGCGAAAAACCGTTTCGTTCGCATCAATACTGGACCTTGACATCATAGCAATGGTGTGGGTTTGTCCGAATTGCGGGCCGGTGGTGGGACAATGACGGAAACCGTGGAGCATGCGGCGGGTGAGCCGCATCTTGGATCGCCGATAATCACGGACCTGAAGTGGGTTTGCGCCTCTTCGGATTTCCCAAACCGGGAACCCGATTCCGAAAATGTGGTCGGTGTTCGAAGCATCAACAGCGTTCGCACGCGAAGTTATGTCTAGTGACGGAGATGAACTATGTCTAGACCCCAATCTTCATTCTCTTGATGGTCTATCGCTATGCGCTATGATGTTAGACTGTGATCCAACAGTATGGAGTTGACAGGAATAAGAGGAGCTCTCCCCGTGGGGGAGAACAGCACTCGTCGGTATTCTTTTAAGAAGAAGCGGTCTCGGCGTCGTCATGGGCCATATTGCGGTTCCTCTGATTAACTGAAGACCAAATCCATTTCGGCAGCTTTCCAATGATGAAGTCGGTCAGATGACAGGCCGCGCAACAATCCGCAAAAACCGGGGTTTACTGAAGCAACCATCAGAACTTGGCACTGATGTCCAAAGAAGCTTTCGATATTTCTTGTCCGACAAGACGCCAGTAACACAAGCAACGTTTCCTAGCACCTTCCAAGAGTTTGCCATTCCATAAACTTGTTCTCGGCGTTAACGTCTTTCGCCCAGCTCGCCACCGTTCTCACGCGCAACCAACCGATCGACGAGTGGATCCGGCGACGAACCCACAGCCAAGACATTTCTCTCGTCAGCGTGAACGCAAGACCCAAAAAGGCTGCGACGATTGAGAAAAAGTGCCGAAGTAGTTGCGGACTTGTTTGCTTGAGATGGGAAAACGATCTTCCCAGGAAGAGACGCGGCAGATCTGAGGATCCGGGCTTTAGCTCAACATTCGAAGCCCGGAAACTCCAATCAAACTGGCGATAACAGCTGGCGATGACCGGTACTATTTCATGTTTGCTGCAGGCAAGTAATAACAGTATGTGACGGGGAAGCCTGCCTAATCACGACAACGGTTCCTGAAACTTTGGATAAGGCGCTGCCAGAAAATTCAGTTCTTCGTTTAGCATTATTTTACAATTCTTAGTTATGATTACAGACTTTTCGCTTTCTCGATTGTCGATATCCTCAAACAACGCTAAGCTAGCGGTGGTACGAAGACCTGGAGCTGACGTAGATCTCCGTCTTGCGAATGATACCCTTATGACTTGAATCATCACGGTCATCGTCCGTCTCCAACTCCCGGGTACCAGAAGCAGCACGTTTGGCTGATGCGTGGTACGTTCTCTCGTGGTCGGTGATGGAGCCGAGTTTGATGGCTGGTCCAGCACTTCCGAGAACATTTTCGCTCTGTAATATCACACGTGGTCAGCCAGATCCGGGTACATTTCTGGTGGACGTGGGCTAGAGATGGAAGACAAAAATGGGAAGCTTAAATGCGAGTTATACATACCTGGCCTGAGTATTTGTAGTTCGCGTCGTGAGAGGAGCCGTAGTAGAACTTGAACAGCTTGCGGAGAGGAGGCAGGGAACATCCAATGATCCCCAATGCGCATTCCAGATTGGATGTGATGCTAATGACACCGAGATGGTCTAGAGTAACAGCTGAGATCAATACGTGGATCAGGAGACAGACAGATGAACAGGAACTTACAGCCAATCTCGGTAGGATATGTTGCCGTATCGTAGTATTTCAAATACCTGGCACGAATGTTACTTGGATGTCGTTGGAGCAACGTGAGAATTCATGATAACGTACGGCATTCTAACACAAGTCGCTATTGAAGCGAATATTCCCAGGCCGAGAATAGCGCAGACCGATACCTTCTTTCTACGGGACATTTGTAGTCCTGCGACGATGAAGAAGGGAATGGTCGCACAAATCCAGTCGGTCGCCATCTGGATAGCGGACACGATGTAGCTGACAGTTTGGAGGCTGATGACCTTTTGACATGTTCCTCTAAACACCATGGTCAGTCATTTTGATGAAAAAGCCTTGGTTCGAGAGAAGATAACACTCACAATGCTGGGTTCCAGGATGCTGCAAGCGGGGCACAGTTGGCGAAGACGAAAACCAGTGCAAGAATCGCGACTATCACCATGATGGACATGTTGGCCGCCATCAGAATCACGACAGGCCTTCTCTTGTCCAGTCGCACGCAGGTGAATCCAATGGCACATTTGATGATGGTCGAGGAAATGAAGTAGAGGACCTCCCAGTACAACTGGCACTCGGAAGCGCGAATCAAGTAGAGGGGTGACGGGAGGTCGACATCGTGGGATCCAACTCCATAACGAGACGCTTGAACCGCGAAGACGACCGCTGGTATGAATGGGACCTTTTGAGTTGAATGTTAGTTCGCCGGTTTTCAACGCGGATGGCTAGAAACGCAATCGCTGCTTCGGGAGGCCAAGGTCTCGTCTCCTGGCTTCGGGATGACTTACAGTCCCAACAACCGCTAACCAGTCTTCGATACCCCAAAGTCTCGTCGATGCTCCGGACAAACCAGCACGCACGTATATGCGAAGCCCAACGACGATGACACAGATAATACCAAACACTATGGCAATGAACTCAACCGCAGGCCCCAGTCCTTTCGGGGTAAGCGGTTCAAGCTGATAGGCAATGGCCGAAATCTGCTCTCCCGTCATAGAGGCGGCCATCTCGATCCTCAACCGTGGGCCGTTGCCCGCAGTTTCGTCGCCGCCGTGCTGGTTCGGTTAGGTCTGGCGGCGCGTTGACGTGCAGGGAGAGGCGTGCTTTGCGTCTGTGTCGACCGGAGTTCGTGCTAGGAATACGAAGGAAAGCCGGGAACCATAGCCACATGGGCCACATCGGGGAATTGGTAGCATTATCAATCAGCTCGATGATCCGTCGCGAAGTCTGGGGAGCGTCAGCCTCCATGCGCTTTCAGTCGCCTCTTCCTGGTCAGGGTGGGTTCATCGCTCCTTTGGGCCAAGGGAGAGAGGACTTTTCCTGTCCAACCCCACAAACCGGCATCAGGAATATGACTAAGTGCGAGTTGGTGATGTTCATCTTGGACGTCCCAGGTTGGAGACTGCGTCCAAGCGAGCCACAGGAAGCCAGATTCCGGTAAAGAACAGCCCTGGGAGTGGACCAGCTGTCACTTTTCGTCCGATTTTCTTGGTATCAAAGCCATGGCAAAGTACAAATTCGTATTTGCCCCTTTTTGCCGAGTCATGATGTTGATACCGGTACATCGGTTTGCGAATACAGAGTTGCTAAAGACTTGCGCTGCACCGGCTAAGATGTCCGTCTCCAATCTCTTAGACTCGTTCAGGAGCTTCTTCCTTGCTGTGATCAACTCTTTGACTGCCGAATATGACTGGCGGCCGTCTCGAGTGCGCGTGCCGGCCGCAAATTGAGCAATCTGTTTCGACCCGAAGGCAGGGCTATGACAAGAAGATGGTCTGTCCAGTAGGAACTTCACAATTGATCCGAAAGTCACAGGGAAATAGATGAATCTAGCTGTACTATAGGTCGAGGTAACGAAGTGCCATGTATCCCTGTGAAGAAGCCGCTCGATCATGACTCGGCTTCCCTGATGCCTACTGCGACGTCGGCGGAGACCCTGGCTAGACGCCCTCGCTTGAGACGTTGACATGAGAGCTTGGACGATGGTACCATGCAGCCGGTTCTCGCTTGATTGTCTTGATTTCGCTTTCGCTTTTTGAGAAGTCGTCGATGTTCACTAAATATGGGAGGAAGCTCCTCGACCACAAATTGAAGATGTGTTGGCCACCTAGTCTAGAAAACATGAAGTTGGTAAAAACACAACTTTCTTAAGCACGGCCGTTTTAGTGCAGATCAGGTGCAGGGAGTAGGCCTTCATTTTGGCTAGCATAAGATAGAGACTGGAGTATTCCAAGAGCCTGGACACCAAATTCGCTCGACGTTCATTGCTGAAAATCCTTACTGGAGGGCTATGCAGGGTCTGGACTTGGACCCTGGAAACTTCTTCCATCTTCGGCCTAGGCTGCGTGTTGTTCTTCACAAGGCCCAGAAACCAGTCCAACGGGCGGCAGTTCCGCATCCCCATCCGCATCCTCCCGCCCGTTGAAGAATGGTGTTGGTGCCATCAAATCGTACGTGTAAGTGGGGATAGTTGCATTTACCAGGGGTCCTCTGAACTGACCAGTTAGAAGGCGTTCATATTTCATTAGGCTTTCCATTTTCCTACCGAAGTTCACGGATGCCCCTCTAATAGACAAGCAATCGTTTTCCTCAACACATCGCCTTTAGATCGTCCTTCACGAGGAGTCAGTTCCGCGAGACATCGTCTACGTTGAGCCACCATGCTGGCCACCATTCTCGCAGCAGCGGCGCTGCTGAGCGTCTATCTCATCGGCAGCGCTATCTACTCAATTACGCTGCATCCGCTGGCCGACGTCCCTGGCCCTAAGATCTGTGCGATCACCCGCATACCCTACTGGCTCGTGGCTCTCCGAGGTGACGATATTGAATGGATGAAGAGTTTGCATGAGAAGTACGGCTCCGTGGTTCGGTTTGGTCCTACAGACCTGAGTTACACGGCTGCTCAGGCATGGGATGATGTCAATGGACCCAAGGTTCAAGAGAAGGCTCAAGAATTCTCCGTGCAGCCGGTCAACGGTAATAACTTCCGTCTTGATCGGGAATCGCGTCGCGATTTTGATAATTTGTTTTGATTCATGTAACTAACATGGGCCAGGTGTTCCGAGCATTCTCACAACTAACACTGAGAATCATGCCCGAGTTCGTCGACTCTTTTCGCCCGCTTTCTCAGAGCGTGCCTTGAGACAGCAGGAGCCGCTATTCCGCAAATACGTTGATCTTTTCATGTACAAGATCTCAGAGGTTGGTGAGAACGGAAAGAAGCCTGTCGAGATGATGCAACTTCTGAACTTCACCACCTTCGACGTCATGGCCGAGCTTTGCTTTGGACAGCCTTTGGGTCTTCTGGAGAAGAACGAGTTCAGCCCTTGGGTCAAATCCATCTTCGAGTCGCTGAAGATGCTGCCGATTGTTTCCATCATCAACTACTATCCTATTCTTAACGCTATCTTCACGCGTTTCGAGCCGAAATCTGTTACGGAGCAGCGAGTCACTCACTGCAGACATTCGGAAGAGCGCGTCAACCAGCGTCTGGAGAACGGTTCTACTCAGCCCGACGTCTGGAACTTGGTGCTTGCAGCAAAGGAAGGAAAGGAGCTCACCATCAAGGAGATGCATTCTAACGCCGAGCTTTTCATGCTTGCTGGGTCAGAAACAACTGGTAAGTCTCATTTGACAAATTCCAGAGCTAGGATGGCCATCAAGCTAACTCTTAACGCAGCGACACTGTTGAGTGGCTGCGTCTACCTCTTACTCAGCCACCCTGAAAAGATGAAGACAGTGCTTGCGGAGATCCGAAGCAACTTCACAACCTTGGACGACCTCACTTTCGAGCGTTTGGCCGAGATGAAGTACCTCAATGCCTGCTTGAAGGAAGCACTGCGCGTCTACCCTCCCGTTCCCATTGGAAGCCCGAGAGTGGTCCTCGAAGGTGGACAGCAGATCATGGGCAAATGGGTACCTCCCGGCACGCGCGTCTCGGTTCATCACTGGTCAACGTATCAGTCTGAGGCGAACTTCAAGAACGCCAAGACCTTTGCTCCTGAGAGATGGCTCAAGACAGATCCGACTTACGCTGGCGACATGCTCGACGCTCACAAGCCGTTTGGATTCGGGCCGAGAGACTGCCTGGGCCAGAATATGGCGATGCATGAGATGAGACTTATTTTGGCCACTCTTCTCTTCTCCTTCGACCTTGCGCTGTGCGACGAGAGCAAGAACTGGATGGACCAGAAGGCATTCGCGTTGTGGATTAAGCAGCCTCTGATGATTACTGCAAAGCCCGTTGACACGCAAACCAGAATGAAGATTTGAAGGGACCTTTAATCCCAGAGGTCAACGGCTGTCTAGACTTACAAATTGACATAGACTAATACTTAATTGGCATTGAAAAACGCTTTGGCTTGGTGCATCAATTCATGCAGTGGTATCAATGAATTGATCTCGAATTCGGTTCCCTTTACAGGCTCAACATCTAACTCACATGCCACTTGTCTCCAACTCTGAATCCTTCAGGAAACGGGTCGGTAGGGTGAAGTATGACTTGCTTGAAAGCAGTTATCCATGCACTTCCCTTGACTGCGGGGATGATAGCATCGTAATCCCCAACCTTGGCTTCACCCCGAACCGTGCCGACGAACTCAGTCCCAATAATGCTGCGATGGCGAAATGACTCTCCGACGGCGAGCTCTCCCCGCTTGTGCAGCACCGCAAGCCTAGCACATGTTCCTGTTCCACAAGGGCTTCGATCCAGTCTTCCGGGAGACACCACTACCGTATTCACTGCCGTCTTGTCACTACCAGAAGTGACAAGTGGCTCGGTGAACTCAAAAACAGTGACACCACGGATCTCTGGGTTATCCGGATGTACTGGGTTGGTCTGTGCCTGGATAGCTCGTTTGATGCGTTCCCCCAGTTCGACAAGTTCTCGTCCGTTCTCTGAGGCAATCTTCAACCCCACCGAGGCAGCATCGACGAGCGCATACCACATCCCGCCCCAGGCAATGTCAACTTTGACTGGGTTGTCGAAGCCGGGAACGTTGATCTCCAAGTCTAAGGCGTATACGAAGGCTGGGACGTTCTGGAACTCGGCGTACTTTGCTTTCCCAGCTTCGCACTCAGCGGTAACCGTCACAAGACCGGCAGCTGTGTCCAGCTTCAATGTCGTGATCGGCTCTTGCATGGGTACCATTCCCGTCTCGAGAAGGACGGTGCTAGTTGCAATGGTGTTGGCGCCAGACATCGGCGGATATTCCTCGTGTTCCATTATGATGAAGCCGGCATCCGCCTCCGGATTGCAGGGCGGGAGCACCAGGTTGGTGCACATGGCCGATGACCCACGGGGCTCGTTGAGCAGTAAGTTTCGTAAATTGTCTCTCTTCTTCCAGAAGTGCATCATCTTGTCAAACATTGTCTTGCCTGGAGCGTCGAGAACGCCTCCTACGACAACATCGCAGACCTCGCCACCGCAGTGGGCTCCTACAACGTTGAAGGTTCGTCCAAACGTCATGATGGACAGGCTGGGGGGTAATTGAGTGTGGTTTAGCAGAACTAGGGGGTGTTTTGAAAGACGGAGAAAATAAATGCAAAGAATCTGAACCCTCAGAAATATGAAATGACCAAGTAAGACTTTATCTTCATGACCTTCTCCATTAATGGCACGAAGGGCTGTTGTACCGAGTCGGCTTGTGGGGACCGAGAAACCCCGGATTATGGCATCCGACCCGGCCGGGTGGACATCCGGGCGGACCGGGCGGACCTCTGTATGTCACCGGGAGCTCTTCCGGTGCCCGCGTGTAGCCTCCGCGACCCACTGAAACTATTGTGAGAGGGGTTCGGGCCGACGCTGCTTATCTGCCCGGGGTTGCCTTCTTATTCTGCAGTAAGTTAGTGCCCCATTTGCGAATGATCGATGGAAAAGGAAAGCGTTCCCGGATATAAAGACTGGCTTATCTCATCAATTACTTGGGATTCTAAGTTGGTGTTTTACCCCGCACAACGATACCAATCCGTGCTCATCATCGTGATTACTCTCGAGTTTGAGTCCTCAGACCCAACCACCACGATCTTCCCGTCCATCCACATATCAAAGACAAAATGGGCGGCCTCAAAATCCTCAGCGACTCCGTTGTCCACGACATCCTGATCAACCTGAATAACGATGGCATCTTCCGACTTCGAGACTCCCTTCTGAAGTGCTTAGTCGACGTCTCCAACGGCTCCGAACGAGACTACCAACCTTCTGTCGGCGTGGTGAACCGGCCCGAAGGCCAAAAGTGCCTCTTCCGACCGTTCTCTTCCTCCGCAAGCTTCGGAACCAAGATCGTCGTCACACCAGCGCCATCTTCCAAGGCCGCCGGGGCTCTACACGGCATCGTCACTCTCTGCGACCAAGATGGCTATCCCACCGGCATCATCAACGCTGAAGAGTTGACAGGCTACAGGACGACTCTTTCCGCCCTGATCCCTTACATCTGGCGCCGTTATACCGACCACATCGTCGTCTTTGGTGCCGGTAAACAAGCGCTCTGGCATCTACGCCTGGCGCTGGCACTGCGAGCAGATGAGATCAAGTCAATCACAGTCGTGAATCGTTCCGAAGACCGGGCGCAACAGCTGATTAGCCGAATCAAGGAGGAGAATGCTCAGCGATGGAAGTCTTCAACAACTATTGAATACCTGGGTTCGTCGCAACCTGATTACGACACGAAGATCCGGGAACATCTCGCTATTGCCGATGCAATTTTTTGTACTGTCGGAACTACAAGCCCGTTGTTCCCCGCCGACTATATGACGAAAGGAAGAAAGACTGCTCGTTACCCGTTCATTTCAGCTGTTGGATCGTGGCAACCAGACATGATCGAATTGGATCCCAACCTGCTCATCCACGCTGCAGGCGATGTCGGTGAGGGATTCCGAAGGAGTAAGGAGTCAAAGGGGGCGGTGCTCGTTGACGATCGCGAAGGAGCCATGCATCATGCTGGCGAGGTTGTTCAGAGCAAACTTCCTTTTGAAAGCTTCGTGGAGGTTGGCGAGGTGGCGCGTTCACAAGAGACCGGGAGTAACCCCGAGCTTCTGAGATGGATCGCAGAGGGGCTGGTCGTTTACAAAAACATCGGAGTCAGCACCACCGATCTTGCGATTGGAAATGCACTGTTGGCTCTTGCTGATGAACGAGGAGCTGGGGTGTCTGTGTCTGACTTCTAAAGGGTGACCCCCCATATTGTTGAAAGTAGTTAATTCAACATTGAACTCAAGACTGAACCTGCCCATCTAATGACGCCTTTCTTGCCACAAAAATGTCCCAATCTTATGGCTTTTGGATGTGCAACGACTACTTGAGACTTGATGAGACACGGCGCGATAGATACATAGAGACTCAGTGAGATTAACAAGTCTGCGCCGAAAGCAAGGTGTAATGGCTGGTGAAGCCCAAGCTGCCTCTAGCTCGAGTATCACCTTTGCCGTTGTCCGTTCCGCAACGGGATACGATGATGCCCATATCTGCGGCAATGTCTCGGCAGTACACACTGACTTGGGAGAATTGCTGCACTCTGATCAGTACAATCGTGGTCACTTCAGGCAGAAAATCGGCAAAACATACGTTGTTGCATAGGTACATGCTGCAGTTCGGCGATGAGCACGCAACTCTAGCGCAGGTACTCGCAGCAACACTGCAGTAAGATGTACCCAGAGCGAGCAAGTGGCTGATAGAACCGGCACACGAGGAGTAGTAGCTCTCAACAGCGGCTCCAGTTTGGCAGTTGACCTGAATGGTTGTTAGAGAAGGTTCTTTACATCGCAGATCGGATGAAGCCAGAAATAACACCCTCTCGCTTTACGCGGGCGAGGCAAGACTTACGTTGCCTTGTCTGGCTTCCAGACCTCGCTCATCAACACCACTACCAAGTGAGTCAAAGTCAGGGTTCAGAGCGAGAATCTGTTTGTAGATGGATTCAGCAGGTCCGGAGAGGGTCACGTTGGGGCCGCCTGAGGTGATGAGACCAGTAAAGATCATGTCTGAAAGGGGCAGAAGTCCGTCTTTCACCTCTTCAGCGGAACGAATGCTGTATCCCTTCTCTGTAGGAGAGGCGAGGACCTACATTCAAAATGTCAGCGTCGTCGAAAGCACTTTCCGAACAAGGTGATACTAACAGCAGTCGCCAAAACGGCGAAGGTCGCGGTGGTGAATTTCATCTTGGTTGGGGCGACTTGTCGGAAATCTCTTGATGAGCTCAAGGTCTTGGGAACAACTTGCCAAAGTTTGGCGTCTCTTTATAGTTTTTTCATGGAGACTGATCCTCGCCAGATTCCGAGGGCTGCCTGTTGCCTTGCATCCGTGATCTCGGGCCGCTCCTTGTAACACACTCTGACTGGGTCTATTTAGGCCCTTGGCTGAAAGGTGAGCTTGCCGCTTGAGGCAGCTCCATCAATATTCTATACTAATCGAGTGCGAGCTGACTGCAGGAATCAGTTGCTTTTTGCATCTCAGTCGGTTACAACCTCGTAAGGAGCCGCTTGCCTCCGCCAAGCGTCAGCGCCATTGGCTGTGTCGGAAAACCCCTACACCATGCGTCCTTAGTTCAGGCCCGAGTCCGATGGGTAGCAATGAGAAATATTATATTGGGCATGATTATGAACTTATATGGTAATAATTCATATGAGCGCATGCTCAAGTGTCCTCCGGGAAGATCAAGGTCACCCACATTCAATACGAGATGTAAACAAGTCAGGTACAAAGCGACACTGGAATGGCTTCTTCAACATGCACCCACAGTACTCAGTACTGATGATTTGATGTTTTGAAACCTGAACTTTGTTTCTACTTTGGGTTTAGAGAGCCGTTCTAGAACGCAACCGTGGTTACCTTAGAGCCATACCAAGCGGTCTCCATGTTGAAACCAACAACAGCAACTCATACTTCATTACATTACAGTATCCTATCATTACATCAGTCGTGAAGCATAGCGCTCGTTGAAAACCCTAATAATCATGACTGTAATACCCATCAGACCCAACAGAGATTCGCCTTGAGTCATAGGAATCATCGGGTTCCAGGCCCCATTGCCACGAGACAAAGTCGTGGTACCCATGCTCGCTTGGGTATCCTCTGGGCAAATACTTCTCCGGAGGTCCGCCGAAAACCGTACCCATCGCTGTCTTCATGATACGATCCATTGTGGCAAAGGCAACAGCCACGCTCTCCGTCGCCATGTCTCGGATCTGGTCGCCTCGAGTCCATCGCTTCCTCATCTCATCCGTCGTCATCTTCTGCCAACGGACCATATCGTCGTTGATTTCGATGTACATCCGCTCCCACATGCCAATATGCTCTTCCGGCAGCACGATCTGGCGGTCGCCGTGCCGCAGTCTCCAGGTCCAGGTGTTCTTTGGGGCGTCCAGCTGTTTGAGATCGCATTCGAGTGGCTGCTCCGCCTTGACGAGCTTCTCTTCGGCTGAGTACTCCCTCGGGTATTGCTCGTAGACCGCCGTCACCGAGCCGGTCGTGGTCTTGTACTGATCGACGACGTTGGGGTCACGCCCTGGCCGGATGTCGTCCTCCTTGGGAGGGCTCTTCTCAAACATGAGCTGCCATCCTCTTCCCGACAGGGCTTTGCATTGCCATTCACCAGCGTCGTCAAGGCCAAGGCCGTGGTACAGATATCTGACCCTGACCGAGGGATGGACAAGCTCCTTGGTGTTCTTGAGTTGCCGTTTGCCGATGTCGTCCATGTATAGCCCGGGCTTCCGCGTAGAGCCCTCGGTCCACTGCTGGGTGGCAGTCCGGTATGGCAACGTGATCATGTTCCAGGCAGCGTCCGGCAACGTTGTGGCGAGGCTATCCGGACTTGTGATCTTGCCCAGGCCCCACGGCCGGGCGTCGATGCGCGACGGAACGCTGCGGAAGATGCGCTTCATTTCTTGTTTGCTGAACTCCACGCCGATGGACGTCAGCTGGTCCGCCATCCCTAAACGAGCATTGTTAGTTTGTGTACTCATCGTCACATCTGGCATCGTTACGAACATGCAAGTGCAATTTTGGATATTTGCTGAGCATCGGATCCTCCTCCGACGTTGCTGTGGCATCCCGGGAACCAGACCTGCCGTAGCTGGGTGTTGTTGTTCCTTGGGCCAAGGTTCCAGAGAGTTGGCGCAAACGAAGTGCGCCATTCGTCTAACGCAAGGGCGTGGAATGCGTGGTCGACGTTGGGGTGGATATCGAGACTTGCGAAACGAAGCTGTGATATATGTGAGTATTCATGAGCCCAACCGTTAGAGTGTGTTTGGCATCAGGGGCTCACCTCAGATGCGCTGCGACTTCCTTGCCAGAAGCCCCACGGCAACTTGGGAATACCAAGGCTTCCCACAGTATCCCAAACACCTAAGACAATGAACTGGGTTAGCGAGTGACTTGGTACGAGTAAGATCGGGATACTTACCAACTGCCTTTACCCTGCCCTCGACAGCCTCAAAGGTCGTCTGAGCCTGCATGCTGCTTCTCCTGGTAAGACACATTTGATACTAATATGGTCAGCTGTAGACCTCAAAGAACGAAGAATCGTTAAACAAACTTCTGAAAGCTGCCCCCGATAAGCCTTTGCCATCTTCCGAAACTTCATCTGTCCATTCTGCTTCTTCATCTGCGTCATTCTCCTGAACAAATCCTTCTTGTCGTTCTCGAGCTGCTTCTCCAGCGCCGCGGGGTTGAGTTTGCGCTCATAGGCGGCATAGAGCTTAGCAAACTGGGCGCCGATTTGTTTCTTGCGCTCGTCGGACTCGATGTTCTTATGTTCAAGCCTCCTCTCGACTCTCTCCATCTTGTCCATGAACTCTTTCTTGATCTTTCTTTCCAACTGTTCCACCTTGAACGCTCGTAAGTGTTTGCTCGGGTCATACAGCAAATCGCTGGTCCATTCGTTGAAGGATTGATAATCTTGGTAGATGTCGCCGACATGGCTAAGCCCGGCGCGGTTGAGGAAGCCAAGCGAGCACACCATGGACGAGACGGAGCGGGCTGTGAAGGCGCCACGCGAGAAGCCTACGATGATGATCTCGTCTCCCGAGTTGTAGTTGTCGCAGATGAAGCGGTAGCAATCGACGATGTCCTGTCAGAGCCTTTATTAGTTGTTATTTACCTCTGAGCTTTTGCGACGCGTGATTACCTGTTTGACTCCTAGACCGAGCAGACCGCCCAGCACACTGGCGGTCTTTGACTCCTCTGTTCCTGCCCCGCGGTGATAGTAGACGACCTGTGGCATACCGGTGCAGCATTTGTGAGCTACTGCAGCCGATAGACGACTGACGTTGGTCGGTACTGAATCGCCGCCGATATTCCTAAAGTGATTGGTTAGATCGGTACCGAGAGCTGAAGTTGTAGCCACGCACGAGTTGTTCCATGTTCCATCGCAGCATATGACAAGTCTCTTCTTGTCCGGGAAGTTCTCATCATCAGACGCCGCAGCGTGATGAGCGCAGTCGACAAAGTTGTCCATCGATAAGCTGTCCATTGAGGGCAAAACCGTCCTCGGGTGCTGAGCCGCGATCTCGTGCAAGATGAGCAGAGGTCTGCAAGTTCTCGAAGGCGACCGAAGGAGAGCGCGTCGACTGTTTATGTTTACCATGCCACCAAAAACAACGAGCTCAAAATAGCTGTCTCAAAACGGACGAGAATGAGCTAACATGTGATCGAGCTGCCTGAGCTTCATCAGATCGGCGCGCCACTATCAGGGCACTGAGGTTAAGCCACGTCGGGCTCCCGCTGGCTAGCATCGTTAGCAAAATACCCATGATGGAGAATGCGCCAATCTGCGACTAGAACGGGACTTTAAGGAATGTGGCCTCGTTAAGGCCGACCTCGTGGGTAATTTGAGGGAGTTGGTGGCTTTCACGCATTGTCCATGGCTAAGCCCGAAATAGCTAACGCGATGAATCGTTATCGATGGATGAGTTGTTCTGGGGAATCGAGTTTCGAGAACCTCCCAGAGCGCTCGGTCACATCGCTATTTTTCTGCGTTGTATAAGTGCGTGTTCTTTTATTAGATCGCCTTGTAGAACTCTGGCTGAGTGGTATCAGCTATTCAAACTCTTGGAACCACGGTGGCAGCATGAGTATCTTATAATCGGAAGTCTGCATGTGACGAATTGCCTAAGAGAACCAGCACGCATTACCAAGGACGGTCCGCTAAATTGAGGAATTCAGCGTCATCATTCACAGAGCCTCACTGAGACAATGTCTCGTCTAGACCTCGGATGAGGAAAAGATGTTGCCAAAGCCACTACGTATTTGGGCTACTACTCCCGGAGCGGAATATCCGACCGCCTTAAAGCTTTGAAATTGTGCCGTATTTTCACAGCTACATCTGTCCCTCTGTCTTCTCCCTCAAAAAGTCGAGTAAACGGTTTCCTTCACGAATGAAAAGATGTGAAGGCTAGGGCCTTCGTGATCACTCGGCAAGACCCCGGTCATGAACGGCTCCGGCGTCGGTGACTCCCCGGCGCTTGCTTGGTCACACGTGCTGACGTCCAACACACAATACGGATCTTCGCAGGACCAACAGGCCACTCATTCGCGAGGTATCTCCAATCTGATCCACTACCAACACAACCGAGATGCAGTGGTTCGGCGCGGTGTAGGTGGTTGGGCGGCGCGAAGACCGGGGTGAGGAGAAGCTTCCCCGCATACGCGGGGGTTGAAAAGCGGCCGCCGGCCGGCGTCTACACCAGAAAGTTTTCGCGTGCGTTCTCGGAACGTCAGATTCAGCCAGGAATACCTCTGCGGTCTGAAAGTCAATCTTGGGCGGGGTTTTCTTGACGGGAGTGCCTTGCTCGACGAACTTGCCAAGTGCACCATCGTCTAGGCCAGTGAAGATGACGGCCATCGACGCCAAGGGCTTTGGCCCCCGCGACATCGAGTCGCCTGCGATGAAAGAGGTTCGTGATAATTCAGAACGATAGTAACTACCCTCATTTGTTCACGCTAATGGTGAACAGGACATTGCACCATCCTCTCCGATCCCGTCCTCACCCGAAGAGCAAAAGGCCCTGATATGGAAACAAGACAAACGCATCATCCCCATTTGCGCGGGCATCTACTTCCTCTGTTTCCTCGATCGCTCCAACATCGGAAATGCGAAAATCCTTAACTCCTCGACGGGCCACGACATGCAGACTGAGACCGGGATGTCGAACTACTCGTTCACGCTCGCTTTGATGATCTTCTTGATCGCCTACGCCGTCTTCGAAGTCCCATCCAACATCCTCCTCAAGAAACTGCGCCCGTCGCGATGGCTCGCGTTTCTCATGTTCTCCTGGGGTGCCGTCACGATTGGTCTGGGAGGGGCGAACAACGGTGCGACCGTCACGGGAGTGCGATTTCTCCTCGGTGTCTTCGAGGCGGTGGGTTTCCTCATTCTATTGTGTTTTCCCGTCGACTAATTAACAAATATTTGATCAGGGCCTGTTCCCCGGACTGGTTTACTATCTCACGTTCTGGTATCGGCATAATGAACGCAGCGTCAGAGTCGCCATGATTCTCGCCAGCGCCACACTGGCAGGAGCTTTTGGCGGTGCGATCGCCTACGGCATTGGACACATGAACCAGGTCAACGGCCTGTCCGGCTGGCGCTGGCTGTTCATTCTCGAAGGCATTCCCTCCTGCCTGTCAGCGATTTTCGTTTGGTTCTTCTTGCCAGATTATCCCGAAAGCGCAAGCTGGCTGTCGGAGCGGGAGAAGGACCTCGCAATAGAGAGACTGTTCCACGAGGGCAGCAAAAGCAGCCACAAGACCATGACGTGGGAGGATGCGAAGGCGACTCTAACGGATTGGAGGCTGTATGGGCATTACGTGATCTACTTCGCCCTCTCGGTTCCCTTCTCGTCCTTGTCGCTCTTCACGCCGTCGATCACCTCGGGATTGGGGTTCGTGGATTTGCAGGCGCAGCTGATGACGGTTCCCCCGTACGCTGCAGCATATGGTAAGACCACATCTTGCAATCGAATCGCCTCACATTGAAATCATGGACAAAATCACTAACTTCTCCTCAGTCGTTCAAATCATCGTTGCCTTCTCAGCGGACCATTTCAACGCGCGCGCCGTCCACTCAGCGGCGCTCGCTCTGATCGGCGCAATCGGCTTCGTCGTCTCCGCAGTCCTGCCCCCCGATGCATACCACGCACGCTACGGGTGCCTCATCGTCGGCGCCTCCGGTGCATTTGCGTGCATTCCGCCTCTGCTGGGTTGGCTGACGTCTAACTTGTTCAGCACGGCGTCGACGGGACTCGCGATCGCGCTCAACGTCAGCATTGGTGCGGGACTCGGGCAGATCCCGGGCGTGTGGGTTTACAAGGCGGAGGAGAAGTCGATCGGGTATCCGACGGGCCACTGGTCGAATGCGGCATTGCTGTTAGTCGTGGTCGTTGGATGCGCGGCGTTGAGGGTGTACTATGGTTTGGCGAACAAGCGGTTGTTGAGAGAGGCGGAAAGAGACGGTACTCAGCCGAGGTTGTTCAAGTATTGAACTCGGGCAAAATAATGTTAATTCTGGGTAAAATAATGGGTGGGAGCGAGAGCCTCGGAATGCTTAAGGTTTAAGTCAGATGTATGGCAAGGTTTCAAGCGATTGATGTATGCATATAGCTGTCAACCAGGTCAGGGAGGGCAATATCAATCTCAGTTTGATACCGACCTTTTCAACGCTGAATATTGCTTCCCGTGCTCAACTTCGAGTCTGTCGCAATCTTGGCTCGGTGGAGGCCACGATCTTGCATCCCCGCTTGCTAGCGGGCTCACGATACATCGGCGTTGTGGCAGAGTGGTCTAATGCGCAAGACTAGAAATCTTGTTCCTTCGGGAGCGTCTGTTCGAATCAGGCCAACGTCGAGATCCTTCCTTTTTTGGTCTTTCTTTATTGATGGACGAGTGATCCAGCGGCCATTGAGGAGCTAGTAGGTGGTTGTATGCATATGATGTGGGAGGGTCGCGTGGTCGGCAATCCAACCTTTTCGGAGGCAGACATCCGTGATTGGAATGGTTTTTGGGATGAACGGCAACCAGCGGCAATGGATCCGATCAGTGAAAAAAAGTATTCTGTCGCTATCTTCCGAACCGTCAATCCTCCATTGGCAGCACCGAGGTCACTCATTCAAGCGTAGTGACTTGCTCATAGATATGACAATTCAACATGGAATTACACCATGAGCTTTGCTTCAACTGGCGTGTTAGATAGCCGTCTCTTGCCAGCTTGATAAGTATCAGGCTTTGCTTGAAGTTTCGCTGCTCAGGAGACAGCGGCCATCGTCTGGTGCTGATTGATATTTCCCCCTTCATCGACTAGCCTGCGACCCTAGGTTACTTAAAACTCGTTAAAGTGCGAACTAGCAGGGGTTGCACTCCAATACGATGTCCCCTGAGGCTTCCTCAGGGATATCCAAGACAGCGGGGAGGAGGAACAAGACCGACACCAGCGGGATGCCGAGCAAGGGATGGACCTTGCACTTTTCGCCGACTCGACACCGTCGCCTGAACCGTCGACCATCCCCCTCCGACGAAACGCTGGCGCTGAGTGATGTTCCCTTCCGTCGTGAGAATAGTATTCGACAGCTCAGTCGGGGACTGACTTTGTGAGACCCGTGTCTGACGCCAAAATCGAAGCTGGATTAGACAAACGCCACCTGAGAGCGAAAGGGGTGAATCAGTGAGCAATTGAGCCCAAGCTGGCTCACGGAATCAGTGAGACTGGAGTGAGACACATACCTGCCCGCTGCTGCAAGGAGACTCGGCCATCATGCCCGCATTCCTCAGCAGCAACATGCAGACGCGGCGCGCGCGCGTGCTGCTCGTCGCTTTCGGCATCATCGTCTTCCTCATCTTCCTTCACAACTCACAACTCGGCGGCGCGGGATACCTACCATCAACATCCGCAGGCCAACAGGCCGCCAGCGCCTCTCACAACGGCGCCGGACAGCCGCCGCAGCAGCAGCACGGAAGTCAAGACAAAGATGCCGATCTGCCGGTCGCACACGGCGAGCCGGATGCCTCGGGCGACAGGCTCAAGGCGGACGCCGACGGCGAGGATTCGTACCGCGACAAGGACGGCGAATTGGCCAAGAAACCCGCATCTGCATCCGGGGCGACACCGGCACTGCCGACTCCATCCTCCGGCAGGACGCCCCCGGAACCCCCGGCCAGCCCGCCTCCCGTCTCATCGGAGCCGTGCCCCTCCTTTGAGAACTGGATGCGCACCAGGCCCGGTCCTTTCTCCGAAGGCAAGCGCAAATTCCCGCTCAACAGACCCCGGCCAGAATGCCGCACCTTCACCACGCCCCCGATGGAGAATCTCATCACTCGCATGAAGACGGTCATCAAGGATCCGGATCTGTACCGTCTGTTTGAGAACGCCTACCCGATGACGCTGGACAGCATGGTGAAATGGCGCGGCTTTGCCAACGAGACGGATAAGTCGACCGGCGAGACGAAGGTTACTGACATGGAGCTCACGTATGTCATCACCGGTGACATCGACGCGCTCTGGCTGCGCGACTCAGCCTCGCAGGTGTACTCTTATTTGCCGTTGCTGGAAGCCTCGAAGGACAAGGACTCGCTCGCGAGTCTCTGGCGCGGGCTGATCAACGCGCACTCGCGGTACATCATCATCTCGCCCTACTGCCACGCCTTCCAGCCTCCGCCTGAAAGCGGCATCCCTCCCACTCATAACGGTGCATACATACACAACCACCCGATGCCGGCATACGACCCCGAGAAGGTCTTTGACTGCAAGTGGGAACTGGACTCACTCGCTAGCTTCTTGCAACTCTCTGTGGCGTACGCGGAGAAGACGAACGACTGGGAGTTCTTCGGAAAATACGTATGGATCGACGCCGTCGAGGCAGCCGTGGACGCGGCCGGCGCCATGCGTCTGGGGACCTACTCGAAGGAGGGCAAGGTGGAAAAGTCGGCCTGGACGTTTACCGGATGGACGAACCGCGGAAGCGAGACTCTGACCAACGACGGCCTGGGCAACCCCATCAAAGAGAACGGCATGATTCGCACGGCGTTCCGACCCTCCGACGACGCCTGCATCTTCCAGTTCCTGGTGCCCGCCAACATGATGTGGGCCAAGTACCTCGAAGACGCGTCGGAGATCATGGCCAAGCTGGACGGCGAGAAGGCGAAGAACCTGACGATTGCGATGCGCGAGCAGGCCTTTGGAATCAGGCAGGGGATCGAGAAGGACGCCATCGTGCACCGGCCTGGGTTCGGAGACATCTTCGCATATGAAGTGGACGGCTATGGCGGGGCGAATATGATGGATGATGCCAACGTGCCGTCGCTGTTGGCGATGCCGCTTTGGAACTTCACCAAGTCCAAGTTCAAGCTGCCTAGTCCGGCGAAGGGCGAGAAGGAGAGGGACTACTCCAAGATTTACCAGAACACGCGGAAATTCGTGCTCAGCGACGCCAACTCGTATTTCATGCGCGGACCCGTCATCTCAGCCGTGGGAGGACCGCACGTCGGTCCCGGCAAGGCCTGGCCCATGGCCGCGGTGATCGCAGCTATCACGGCCTACGACCCGATCTCCGGCGTCAAGGATGTTGAGAAGGAGGTCGAGGAGCAGGTGTCGATGGTGTTGGACTCGACGGCGGGTACGGGAGTTCTGCATGAGAGCGTCAACAGCTGGGACGAGAAGGACTGGACCAGAGCATGGTTCGGATGGGCGAACGGAGGATTCGGAGAGTTGATCTTGAAGATGGAAGAGCAAGTGAAGAAGGCCGATGGAAGCGGCCTGCTTAGCAAGAGTTGGCAGGGAGAGCCTGCAGCTGCTCCTCCGCCAGCATCGCCAGCCTCAGCGGCAAGGTAGCGAGTAGATATTTGATAAAGCTGTGTAATACAAAACAAATGTTATTTATCATTGGATCCAAAAGCAGTGGTATGTGGAATGTCAATCGTGGTTGCGTCGGAAGTGCTTAGATGAGTTAGCCATATTATTGCGCCTTGTTTGTAATTCGGTCGGGGCCCAGACGATGCCATTGAACAAATGAAAGATAGCGGAAGCATTAGAGATGCAGAACAAGCAAAAAGAAGAGAAATTTACGAGCGAAAGAAAAGAAATTCGACGTTGGCCTGATTCGAACAGACGCTCCCGAAGGAACAAGATTTCTAGTCTTGCGCATTAGACCACTCTGCCACAACGCCGGATCATGCCAAAGAAGGCGCCAAAACAATTTGTTGAACCTTCCTGCTGTGAGCCCTGTGAAACCCTGGTGTAAGCGGCGGGCCCCGTATTTCCTCTCTATCGTCAGTGTTCTCTTCTCCTCCTCTTCCCTTTCTTCTGTAGAATTCGAGGTTTCAGAGGCTTCTTCCTTTTGTACAATGGCCCCATCTTCGTTTGCGCTTCTCTCGTGTTGAGCTTTTCACTCACCGTGGCATTCAGTCAGTCTAGCGCAGCCTCTGAACCTAACCTGGCGGGAAGAGATACAGGGGCTCGCACACAGCAATCCAAGTCAAGCTACATCGTCAGATCGGCGCTCATTTCTATTTCATTATCTATAACTGTCTCTAGGAAGGCAGTCAATCACACATATTTATGCCCTGGAGCCTGTGGCACGCCGAGTTGGTCCATCGGCGGCGGCGGCGCCATGCCCTCCAACGCAGCAGAAGCCCAATCCCCCGACGGCCCAGCCATGCCGTCGACGAAGAGCGACGGATCGACGACGTCGTAAAAGGTCGGCCCCCAGCCAGAGTCGAAATACCAGTTGTCTGCCATCGGGACATTACCCGCGAGGTTGTCCTGCATCTGAACCTCCCCGAACCCGGCCTGCTGATCCTCTTCCGCCTCGTCCTCTTCGTCCCCTTCTTCGCTCTCTTCGTACCCCTTGGATATCGTGTCGGACCACCTCTTCTGCCTGATCTGCGCGATCCGCACCTTGGTCGCCCCCAAGGTCCAGATGTTCCCCCGCCACGGGCCGGAATCGACCGACACGGCGGCCATCGCGGCGTCCACTTCCTCGAGTTGTTCGGCCACCCTGTTGAGAATATCCGCAACGTCGATCATGAGCTCTGGCTGTCTTGATAGTTGTGTCTTTAACTCGGCAAGTACCTGAGGCAGCTTCATATCCGACGATGTCTCGGCGTCCCAAGACGGTGTGCCCCTGGCATTGGTTGACGGCGTTGAGGCCGAAACTGGAGTATTAGGATTAATCGCCGCCTCCATGACTGCCAGCGCTACATTTGGGTCCCCGGTAGACGGATCGCGGACCGTCCTTTTACTCGGTGGAGTGTCGTTGCTCGCGGCGAGCCATGCCCAGCGACTCATCATTACCACTGCGAACATCAATTGTGACGCCATTGGCAGGGGACATGGGTAGAATGCCGGGACCGGGATGGCTAGCCAGGTCTCGAACCATGCTTTTAGGGCGGCATTCGCCTGGTAGAAGACATTCAAGGCAGAGTTGTGGCCAGAACTCAACGATGCGAGAGACTTTGAGAGGGATTCCAGGAGGTCTGCGTCGATTGTGGGGGGCTCGTAGAGTCGGAGGCGGGCGGTCGCCATCTGAACTCGGAGGAAATCTGGGAGCTTATTAGCGATGACCATGAGGATAAACCAAACTCGGTACTGACGATTCTTTTGCAGGCTTCGAGGCATCTGGGCCTCCAACTTGTCTAGCTCGGCCTGGAAGCTTGATGCGTACGCGGAGATTGGTGCTTTGGGAACACCCACTCCGTCATCCCAGTCTTCGTTGCCCCGGATCTGTGAGATCCTTTCCGCGAGTCGTTGTATCCGCACCATGTAGATGACATGCATGTCAGATTCTAGCTCCTTGGCGTCCTCGAGTTCGCGCACGCATTGCTCCATGTATGCCGAGTATCTCATTGGGTCGATTTTCTGTATGTCCAAAGAGACGCTTTCTAGAATCAGCACTGAATCCTTCCTCCAGGGACTGGGTAGCTTACGATGAACTAAGGTACCACACCGCCAACAGCAACCTTCGTTCCTCGTTCGTGCGTTCTGGCAAAACAAATGGGCGCATGACTATAAGTCGCGTCCGTTCCGTCACGGCTGGGCTTCGCTTCAAACCAAGCTCCCCAATTAAGCAAGTAGCGTGCGCCACGATCTGGTTGAGTTGGGAATGTGCGATGCAATGGTGCTGGAACCATCCAAGTATCACCACCAAGCCCATCAACAGATCTAGAGATCGCTCGGATCTCAGTAACACGTGGTCCGCGATGTGGTTGAGCAGTCGGTACATCTGTCCCCGCATGGATCGTGGACTGCGGAAGCATGCTACCATCCGAATGCATGCCATGAGGAACGGTCGTGTCGCACCGAGGGTGCTCGCTGATACGTGGCGAGGTACTATCACGAACGGGAAATGTGGCGCCATCTCATCTCGGTAGATGGCCAACAAGCTCTCGTCCGTATCCGGGGGAGGGGGGGCCTCTCCTGGCTCGGTCCGGCATATGCATGTTGGCGGCACGAAACAGTTGTATATCGCGGGGATCTCGATGGGTCCGGTATCAAGCTGACTTGCCGGCGACAAGGGTGAAGTCTGGTGATGCAGGTTTGGGTTCCCGGGTGGAAGTTGTGTAGCGTAGTTGGCTACGAGATTTGTACTTCGAGGAAAGGCGCTTGATTGGGATCCAGCTAGTTGATTTGGGAGCCCGGAGGCGGTTCCGGATACTCTTAGGGAATTCACAAGACGATTTAGACGCTCCTCGAGCTGGGTAGTTCTTCTATGCCCGGGTTGTTAGCCGGCTCAGAAGAGCCATCTAAAAGTACAATTTCTGACTCACGAGGGCTTGCTCTGCCTCTTCTTTCTAGGCTTGTGTACCTGATCCGTACAATTCTTATACAGCCTCTCGCACCTACAAGTCCCACAAGGAACCAACAGATCAGCTAACTGTCTCAAAAGTGTCAACTCAAGCGAGTCAGAGACCTCGTCGTCGAGAATTCACAGTTGCCTCAATCAGGAGAATATGCGTATCAAAGCTGAAAACCGGTCGTATACCAACCAGTCATCGTGAACTCTCAAGACGTCAAGTCGGGCCCGGAGTTCTGGGGAAATGTCCGTCTCACGAACCGGAAGAAAAGAACTTTGGGTATCGCACACTCATATTCATCGAGCTTGGACATACCTGTCGCACTTAGATCCAGGCGTCGAGTTGGACCGAAGACACTTTGCCTTGGCCGTTGCGCAGGGCGCGCAAGCGGCGCCCCATCGAGCTACGGGAGGCACCCGTGGCCGATCCGGGGAAGAACCGTTCGACCCCTCTGGCGACATTGATGAGTTTGGAGACATCTCCGGTTCTCAAACTCGGTTGTCCGTGAACTTGACGTTGGTGGTTGAAGTGTTGGCTCGGGGACTCCGACGGACAATCAGATGTCGTGCCACCTCCGCTTGATCCACGTTTTTGAAGCTAGAAGACGATGTCAAAAGGCGCGATCCAAAAGTTATATCAACCAAGGCTGCCTAATTCACAATCGTGATCAGCAAATGCAAGAGAAGAAGCCCGATCCTTCGTAGGGCTGCGCGTGCGCCCTTCGTGTGGTCCGCAGTGACACTATTGTCTCTTTTGATGCTTGATGTTCGACCGGAGTTTTCACATGAAGACGAAAGTCCGATCCCTGTCGAGTCTGGGTGGTGTAACGCGGAGCTTCCGCTAACGTTATGGCGCGGAATGCTGCCGTAAGCGGTGAGTCCTTGGCGTTGGGCTTCTGGAATCCTTCGACAGAGTGCGATGCTCGGGGTTTGCTGATGGGCTAAAGTCCGTTCCAAGCGGACGATCCTGACCCCTGTTTTACGAGCGCTCCTCTTCTGGGATAGTGTCTTTTAGACGGGCTTTATATATCCATGATCTCAGACGCGTTGTCCACGATGATGCGTCGTTTGACTGCGCCTTGGGTTGTCGAACTCGGCCGTCGTAACCGGGCAAACCTCGTCGTTCTGAGGATGGCCGTGGTTGCTCCGAATACCGATGGACCGGATTCCTGAAAGATTTCTGATAGGTTCCTGATCGCAACCATGACGAGAGCCGGCTATCTGAGTTGTCTCATTGTTGAATGAGGAGCCATAAGATGCTGACACAGCGGTCTAGGCCGAATTCGTGATAGCCTATAGTGCGGGCCGTTTTGCCATGCATAACGGGGATGGTGACGATGTCTGATCCCTACACAGCCCCCGACCTTTCCTAGGTTGTCGAGCCGTAACGATCATTCAATGATTGGATATATCTGCCAAGACCCAAATAACTTCTTCGACGTGGATGGAGCCTAATGATTGATGTAAAGCTGAGGCATTTGGTACGGCCACCAAAGCCACAACAGAAACACGTTGCCGGGCGTCAGGCCGCGCAGGTCAGCTACTTATCTTACGACAGCAACGGCCAGCACTTCATACGAAGCTGGGACACCTCCGGATACTATCAACGAGATGAATGTCAACCAAGAACTTTTGGTACAACACCATCACCACCAGCCACGCGATAACGGGCTTCTCCGGTCTTCGAACTTTCTACGTTGTTGGCCCGGCTTGGCATGCTTTGGCCAACACAATTTCTCGACATCAGCGTCAAAGTAGGGTATTTGGACCAAACTCACTCTTACGGAACAGGTTTTTCTGCGTCAATAACCGCAGTCAAGAGTACGAATGTATGAGTGGCTCATTGCACATACGGTCAGCTGACGGCGGCCAGACTGGGGCTGCTCGGGCTGGCCGGCATGCCCAGACCTGAACTCATAATTCTCGCATATAAGAAAGTTCAGTCTTTAGATATGATCGGACGAGTTAAAGGACCCCAATCACTACAAATTTGAGTGCAGTAAGCCTATTTTAAGCATGCTCAGTGACGGACGTCAGAATTATAGTGCTCAGCCGCTGTACTGACTCGATTACGGGCTCAATCTGACGCTGTGCCAAGACCTGTCAAGAACCGACGAACGCATTAACGGTACAGGATGAAGGCCATAAAACAACCTTCATATTGAACTCTAAACCTTATCCCCAAGTTTATCCTCAACCTCAGCTCTCTCAGCGTGGATACATACGATGCGTGAGTTATTGGCCCACTCGCAGAGCGTCTCCAGAGCGATTGACTCCTTAATGTAGGAGGGCTTGGCAAATTATCCTCTGGAGATGTCCGTCTGGGCTTGCAATGGTGAAAATGTATCAACTGGAATGGTTCATGATATAAGAACATGTTCATCCCACCGGTAGAACCTCATGTCTAGACACTCTTCACAGCATTCTTTCAGCTTCTCACCTTGATACCACATTCGCTCGGTTGTCTCAGTCAACCATTAGTCATTCTTTTCACTTCGCTCTTTGAATAGCCATCATGCATTTCAACTTGAACATCGTGCTCATCACGGCGGCCATCCTAGCCCAAGCTGAGGGTGGCTTGATCGGCGACCGCCAGGCAACCTGCAAAAACTGCCCCCTGAACCCCGGAAACGTTGTCAAGCAGATCTTCGAGATGGTCACCAACCGACAATCTCACACAGACTGCAGATGGGAAGCCACATTTGGCCTTCCCGAGGACTTGGGAGGCCCTGAGAAGCCCAGCTACGATCATCTGAGTGAGTACCCATGAACATCCTCAGATCCAAAGACGACGGTCTGACACATCATAGTTCGCGTCAACTACAACGAGAAGGACAACACCTGCTCCGTCGAAACCAACAACCGCGTCGAGGCCATGGGCGACAACATCTACTGCATCCAGGGCGGCTGCGGCATCAAGGAGGTCACGGATACCCACGCCGTCGTGGCCTGGGGCGCTTGCGTCATCAAGGACACCGTCAACTTCACCCCGGACCAGGCCATGGGAACCCGCGAGTGCACCGACGCTCAGGGCGAGATCAAGTTTGCGAGGTTCCACGACAGCGACCACTGCGACGGGTCGGAGATGCTGAGTGCGAGCGTTGGAGGGCGGGATCACAGGGATTTCTCACCTACTGAGAGATCTGGAGGTTCTTTCTGGGGAGGCGTCGTCACTTTCTGCAGTGCTCTCAGCAACGGCTCTTGAATTGGATGGCTGGAAGTCTAATCTGAATAATATACATCTTCTAAATCCTTCTCTTCCGCGTCCGTCTTCTTCCCTACCCAGGTGAGCTCGCCATCACCCATGACGCCAATCGTGAAGTGTCGTGTCTGGTCATGCTCCCTCCGAAACCAACCCAACCGGAATCGAAGGCCTGAAAGCTGTTCGTAAATATCGTCCTTCGAAAGCTTTTGTGAGGGCATGTGTTGTATGGCATTGGAAGGAGAAAGCAGTGCGGTGGTCATGTTAATACTACCAAAACCATCTGGAGCTAGTCCCTTCGCGTTCATATCAAGTAAACCCCTCCGCCAACCAAATCGGCGGCGTAAGATCGTTGAGAGTAGCGTGACAAGGTGGACGAGGGCGACAATGCTCAGTATACCAACAAGCAAGTACGTAGCTGTTCGGTTCTGAACAAGCTTGCGCCTATCCTTATTGACCACTGCCTGTAAGGGGGTTAGCCCCTGGGCAGGAAATGGTGCCGCAAAAGAGCTTTCCCCAACTTTTAGACGGCTTTCCACATTGGCAAGTTGTGCTGTCAGAAACCCTCGGTTGTAGTTCAGAGTATCCAGGATATCTTGCTCTCGTTCCGGGTCACCGAACACCTCTACCGGAAAACTCCCGTATGGCTGTATGAGAAGCTCGATTAATTGTTGATTGATCCCGTGCTCTTGCAACAAGCCCTGGAATCCTACTTGTATTCCGGTGTCGGTGAATTGCAGTGAAGAAATTGGCGGATCCCAGGGCGTGGAGTTGGAGGGGTCGAAACGGGGAGGCTGAGTCTGGTCGAGTAGGAGTTCACCGCCCACCATCACCAAATGCGTTTGTGCCATGACTTTGACCCATGAATAGTCGCATATCCATATCCGAGAGAAATCGAAACGTTGGTTGGTGTGGTCTCGTTCCCCCCAGAAGTAGGTTTGGAGCAATGATGGTGCAAATGTCATTGAGACAGAACTTCGTTTGCTGGAAAATTCGATGGGTTGACAATCGTAATCGAACTTGAGGTCGAAAGCGCCGGCAAAGTATGAGCTATTGGTTGGGCTAAGGCCGTTTCCGACACTCTGGGTGGCTTCTATCGTAGCTGAGCTTCCATTCAAGCAAGTGATCGGTATAGACACCTCAGCTGTGTAGCTGTTTGCTGATTTTTTCAGGTTCTTATATGACGTTCGGTCAGATGTAACGTTGATCTTGCACGCATTATCCTGCAACTTCTTGCACGTGCCAGTGAACCTTGCTGCCGGGACTGTAATATCGACCGAGATGTTTCTGGAGGCATCGAGAGTTGATGGTGGCACCTCGCCAATAGCGGGGAACACTAAGTCGTCGAAGGTGTTTTTTGGATACGTGAACTTGCCCTCTTCTCTTCGAAACAACAGACTACTAAGCGAATTGAGATATCCTCTCTCGTTGGCGAAATCCCTATCCTTGTCGGGCCATGTCATATTCTTCTGGCCGAACCAACTATTCTGTTCCAGTTTTACATCGATGTGTTCCGGGACAGACTCGACCTGGAATAGCACGGAAGCTATTGTGGTCAGAAGTGCACACATAAGCGCCAGAGCTTGCGACAAAGTAACCGACCAAACCCCGGATCGAATCGACTCGCTGAAGGCTCGGATACCCAGCATATCCAGCATGGAAAAGTCCAGTTGTCGCGCATTGCATGAGCCGCTAGCGAGGCTATGGAGTGTCGATAAGCCCCTCAATGCTGAATCGTAGGAATTTGCATATAAAGCAATCCCAAGCATAACAAGTGCCGGAAGTGAAGTCCACATTAAGTCCCAACCACCATCTGTTGCAAGCACCCCTTGGTATGTCTCAGATCTTGTGAGAGTTACGACAAGAATCGCAATTACACCGAGAACAATGACAGTAAAGCCCGTCCGGTTGGCCGTGATCAAGGCAAATGGTACGAAGCTTTTGCGAGTCCAGTCTTTGCTGGACTCGTTGCCTTGAGCAAAGGCCTGACCCATAAGCTCGGGATGATCTCGGATGAATATCAAATTTCCAAGCAAAGTCGCCGGGTCCCTGTGGTAGATTCTGGAATCCTTGCGGTGCCAAAACAGCGCGAATCCAATGATCGAAACCAGAAGGAAGAAGACCGCCAGCATCGAAAACCCAATTTGGCTGTTTATCAACAGTCTGGCAACTCCTACTAATCGCTCACCAGTGACTATGGTGTCTTCTTCACTCCGCAGGCGATAGTGGGCGATCAATGGACCCAGGCGGTTCGTCAGACCTATAACGGAGTCGTACATTATTTCAGTGGTCTCCTGCGATGTGCTCCCATTTTGTGGAACTTTGCCCTCGAGTCGCGACCAGATGTCGACCGGTCCGTAGTTTCGCTTGCCAGAACTCCAAATGTGAAAGGCCCAGTTCATTGCGTTTTGGTGATCGACCGACTCTCCCAGTGTTTTGAAGAAATCTGTATTGTGAAGCAACTGGGCCTTATTTGATGCTCTGCTGGCAGTCGGACTAATTCCATCATCGACAACTGCAACTCTGGAAATCTCGAGCGTTGACGTGCAAATGACGCCGGAGGCATCTGTGATTTCGGGACGAGTCGAGTTTTGTGGAGATTGGATGACTGTGCTGGCGAAATAGATGAATTGTCGGTCTCGCTGAGGCAAGTTTCCACATGGACGAGTATTCGCGAAGGTCCCGTTTACGGTCCAGTGCTCCTTCATCTTCTCCGGGTACGGGGTATAGATCAAAGAGGCGCGAAATGGGACATTTTTGCAACCCTCAAAGTCAAGAGCAAAGTCAACGTCGTGTCCTCGGAAGTTCTTCCGTCCGCGACCTAGTGTAACATTTCGGACCGAAAACGATTCCAGTTTCAAGCAGTGCATGCTGGCGGATAGTCCATCGACCAGGATGTTGATCGGCGAGTTCGGAGTGCCACGGGGGCTGAATCTTTGGTATGCAAGGTCGCTGGTGACGCCGAATGGGTAGGACATGTTGAAATCATTCATTGCCCGAGCTGTGTAAAAGGGACTTCTGTCAGTGTCCCAGAATGAATCTTGGGGGCCGATATCCGACTCCTTGAAGGCGTCCAAAAGTTTGGCATCGGCTGGCTGTGATGTGTGAATGTTCACGACTCGGTATAAACCTGGTGCGAGAACGATTTGGACCTTGATGAGAAGGGATGCTGCGACGACGAGGAACAGGATAAAATGCTTTCGACGAAAAGACTGAATGAGCACAGTTGGCGGTATCATTGACACATAGTCGAGATCGAAGTCGGCCGTCTTGTGCGTATGCCCTCTGCAAAGTGCAATCCATGGCATGTATTTTGCAGCCTGTAGCTCGACCCTTGCCCAGAAGCCAGCTATTACTGTGAGGACTACCAGAAGGGAAACTCAGTCAGCACAAACCGGCTTATTGAGACTACCGTTAAAACTGCTGATGGTCTTACCTGCAGTTGGGCCGAAATGCCACACAAGGTGATATCCCAGCTTGGCAGTGAAAAGACCTTGGTTATGCCGCGAATACCACAGCATGATTGAGAGGGCGATCAAGAAGCTGACGAAAAGACCCAAGAAAATGGCAAGAATATTAGCTCGGAGCCAGAATGGGTACCAAGTCGCATTCTCGTTCAGATTGAACTCCTCCGTTCGGGCCTGCTTGTCGCCCTTTGCCGTTGACTCATGCGGCGTGTTCGTTCCAGGCTGCCCGACATTGTCGATGAGTCTTTCATTTTCCAGCCTTCCCGCATCGTTCGGTCGTCCCAGTCCATTGCCGACAGGTGAAATGGTCGGATCTGCTGCTGTTGGGGGCTCTCCAACAACGACAAGATCTTGTTCGAGACTCTCCCTGGCGTCTTGTCGACAACGAGCTTCACCGGGCAGTCCGCGACGTAGCAAGGGCTGTTGATCGGTTGTGCCATGGTCCATTTTGGGAGTTAAGTCGCGGTGATGATGGAGTCTCTCCGTCGCGAAGGCACAGGTGGCAGAGCAGGAATTTAAGGCTGAGCAGATCCGAGCAAGGGGTGGCGACCTGCTCATCAGCTTATTTTTGTTGACCAATAGATACGCGATAATGCGGCCAGACTACCAGGCAGGATTGCAACTGCATGAAAATCCAAGCTGTGCCGCTGACCTGCCTATGTTTCTGAGACATCGGAAGCCGCTGCTGACTGGTTCTCCCTCCTTCCCCTGGACTTGCTTCTTCTGATGCCAGACGCGACACTGCTCCGGAAAGAATCCGGAAAGAAGGCAGTCTCCTACGAGTGAAAGATGATCAAAGATTGCTACAACTACCTGACCTATTGGCAAGAGAGGTATCCAAATCACTTCCCAGAAACACCCTTCTCCTCGTCCCTACCCCTCCGCCTGGGCCTCAAAACCGCCAACCGTCTCCTCACGCTCTTCCTCTCAGCAACAGCAGTCGTCGCAACAGGCTGAGACAAAGACGACCGCCGCTGCCGACTAAGCTGCGTCGACGCATCAAGAGACGAAGGCGGCGAGCTCGACACCGCCGCAGCCTTGTCCCTCTTCCTGACCTCGACGAATGTCCAAAAGTTGGAATATACCTGCTTCGCCTTGCCCAGCGTGATGAACTCGTAAATCTTTAGGGATATGCCGCACAGCAGCAGGGTGCCGAACAGACTCAAGACTGTTGAGATCGTGTTAGTTGGGATGTATGTAGTTGGGAAGCTTTCGGAAAGACTCACAACATGCGAGAATCAAAGTTCCCGCTGTGGTCGGACTCGCGAGGCCCTCGATGCTGACTTCGAAAATGCCCGTTGCCCAGGACAGAGGCGCCTGAAGTCATCGTCAGCCTCTATCAATTCACCGAGTCCGGATACTACTTACAAAGACAACAGTAGCCCCGGTGAAGATGAACAGGATCTTAGACTGCTCGCTAGCCGACAACGCCTCTTCAATGTTCGCCTCGCGCTGCCTCAAGTCCAGCAACGTGGTAATCTATCCATCAGTCAGTCTCATCGCACCAAAAACCACCCATTCTCCAATACTCACCGAATCTCGCACACGATTCGCGTCCTCCTCAATCCGGTTGAAAAAGTCCAGCGTGGGATGCTTAAACACCCCCTTGGCTCCCTCCTTCTCCTCCCTGCCCATCTCCCCGACCTCGGCCCTGCGAAAGTCCCCAAACACCCGCTCCTGCGACCGCAGCACGCGCTTGATCATGTTGATTTCCTCGCGTATGTCGTCGATCTCCTGCAGCAGCTCGATCTCGGCGCGCAGGTCGTCCAGGACCGTCTTGGAGGTCCCCATCCCCTTGATCGACGCCTTGAACTCCGCGTACCGCTTCATCGCCTCGTTGGACTACATCTGGTCAATATTTTCCGCGGAGGATAGATTTGTCGGATGTGGGAGGACTGACTACGTGGGCGATGGACGCGGCGAAGACGTTGCAGTAGCTCTTCGGCCCCTCGAACTGGAAGTGGAACTCCTCCTCGCTGTACGCCACCGCGCTCTCCAGGATACTCTCCACGATCCGCATCATGTCCGTGTCCTCGGACCGGAGATCCCTGATACCCAGGACGCGATGCTTGATGCTGTTCAGAAGCGTCTTGGCGTTCTTGTTGTCCCATCGATCCGGGAACGCGCTGATGATCGTGTCTGCGTACAAGTCAGCAACCCTCCTTCAACAAAGGCAACTGAAAGGAAAGCCTAAGACTCACTCTCATCAATCCTCCAGACCCAAAGCTGAGAAACACACAGAATCTGCTTCCGCCTCTCCGCATCCATCCTCTTCCGCTCCTTCGAAATCTTGGCCTGCACGCTCGACGCCTGGTCCTGCCGCCCTGCCATCCTCCCCAGCTCCGCCTTCGTCCCGTCCGTCTTCTTCTGCTTCGAGCTCGCCTGTCGCGAGAACGTCCTCTGCGTGTGCCTCTCGAACGGACTCTGCTGCGTCGACGGTTTCGTGTCCTCGATCAGCGGCGGCGGGCTGATCTCCGGCTCGTCCTCGCCGACGCCATCCCGGGCCGCCAACCTCCCCTCGACGCGTCTGAGGTAGCGAAACAAGACTTGTGAGTCGTTGCGTAGGGCGAGGTCCGCCGCACTGAGGGCCTCGTGGTATGACTGGTCCAGCGGCCTCGGGACGTGGTATTCCGACTTGGTGAAGCTGGCTCGCAACTTGGCCAGGGCGTCGAAGTGCGCGAGGTGAGGAAACAAGTAGTGTTGAAGATTCGTCGGCATCGCGCTGAGAGGATGCCGTCTTGGTGCCCCCGGGGGAGCCCCGCGTCTATCGTTTCCGCCGCCGCCGATCATCTCCAAAGGCCTCAGTAACCTAGTCTCGTCCCCGATCTGCACATCCTGCAGGCTCTTCTTCGTGCCCTCATCGATGTCGACGTCGATTACCGGCAGCACCATCGAGAACATCCTCGTCCGCGGCGTCGCCGCGGTCCCGGCGGGTGGTGTCGTCGGGCCGAGCCCGACACCCAGCACCCCAAGCCCGGGATGGACGACCTCCGCCGAAGCAGCATCCTCGAGTTTGAAATGCGGCCGCCGGTAAAACTCCCCGGTCCTCATCTCGTGGAACGTCTCCTCGATGAAGGCCATGATCTGGTTACACTCCCCGTCGGTGCGATGATCCATCGCGCAGATCCTCTGCACCAGATCCATGACCCACGCGACGTTGTTCGCGGGCAGGTGGAACCACCTCTTGATCGGCTTCTCGTCCTTGACTCTCGAAGTATACGAGCTCTTCCTCCTCTGCTGAGACTTCCTCATCTCCTTCATCGTCAACCCACCAGCCGTACCGCCCGCCGTCCCAGCACCACTCGGGGGCGACAACAACGGCGACCGAGGCGGGCTCGTCGCGGGACTTCCCTTCTGCGAAACAACAGGGCTCCTAGCCGGACTGACGACCGGACTCTGCGCAGGACTCCTCGCGAGCGTCTTCACCGGCGACGGACTCGTCGGCACAGGCCTCGGCGTCAACCTCAGCTCCGCCTCCGGGTCGTACAGCATGTCCCACATACTCAGACTATCGAAGCTGCAGTCCGACGTAGGACACCAGAACAACCCCTTGAAGTGCCGACACGCGTCGATCTCGGGCTCCTGGTTCGGCTTGCTCGGCGGCCTGCACCTCTTGGGCCTGAAGTTCGAGAGGACCGACTGCTTCGGAACGACCTGCGGCGCGTTGAAAAGATCCGCGATCGAGTTCCTGTTGAGCAGCTTCGCGAGCGACTGCGGCGTCTCCCCCGTCGAGCTGATCACCGTCGGATCCGCCCCGGCCTCCAGCAGGTCCCGCACCATCACCTTGTTCTCGTTCTTGACGGCGTGGTGCAGCGGCGTGCAGTCCTCCGTGTCCCTCAGGTTCACGTCCGCGTCCGCGGCGAGCAGGCTCGCCACGACGGCCTCGTGCTCGAACATGACCCCCGCGTGGAGCGGCGTCTGGTCGTCCTTGTCCTGCAGATCCACGTCCGCGCCCGCCGCGATGAGGATCCTCACGACGCCGTCGTGGCCCTCGGAGGCGGCCTGGTGGAGGGGCGTGCAGTACTCGCTCGACATGCTATCGACGTCCGCGCCCTGCTCGACCAGCATCCTGACGATGGCCTCGCGGCCGTGGCGAGCCGCGACGCTGAGGGGCGTGAAATCGTTCGTGTTCTGCGCCTCGATAGACACGAGGCCCGTCTCGAGGAGGAGCATCACCACGCCCGAGTGCCCGCCCCGCGCGGCGTCGTGGAGAGGCGTGTCGCCCACGGCGTCCCTCGTAGCTGGGTTTGCGCCGGATTCCAACAACACCTTGATGACGCTCTCCCAGCCGCGCCTCGAAGCGACATGCAGCGCCGTCCCGCAATCCTGGTTGGGCGCGTCGACGACGGCCCCGTTCTCGATCAAAACCTTTGCGATGTCGGCGTGGCCGTTCCTGCTGGCTTCGTGCAGCGGCGTCTCGTGGAAGCTCTCCTCGGCGCGGACGTTCGCGCCTCGGGCGAGGAGCGCGCGGACGACAGCGATGTGGCCGTTGCGGCAGGCTAGGTGGAGCGGTGTGCATTTGTCCGCGTCCTGGATGTCGACGTCGGCCTCGGGGGTCGTGGCAAGGATGGCGTTGACGATTTCATGGCGGCCTAGGCGGGCGGCGTGGTGCAGAACTGTGCGGCTGTCCTCGTCTACGGAGCGGAGGACGGAAGGGAGGGAGGAGATGAGTTGTCGGACGTGGGTTGCTGTGTCTGGGGGATTTGTCGCGATAACTTCGATAAGTTGGATATAAGCTGGTCATGTTACTCAACGGTTCGAAATGAGGATGAAAGGGTTCGACATGCCTTCTTTCATGGGTGAGTGAGACTCCATGGCTGTTGGGTGTGCTGTCAACGACGAAAGAAACAAAATGGGATGGATGCGGAACCTAGATCATGAACAATGGGAACCCCATCTATAAGCCACCGATCGTTCCCGCGACCGACTCAAGCCATCCCGCTGACAATTATCGTGAGGCAAATGACACTTACACGAGCGACTGTGACGGGCCTCATCCGACCACACCACCAAGACCCACAAACCATCTCCAGACCAGAGCAAGACGGGGTCCTGTCTTAAATCTGACAAGCGCGGAGGGCTCTCCGATTTTGCTGTGTCGTTTTTTGAAAATGGAATGTGGTCGGAATAGTCATTCTGCACTTTTGCAAGACACTCTGCGCCTCTCACGTGGGAAATCTCTGTTGTTGGGGTCACATTGCAACCACTACGAATGACCTAGTGAACCTTTTTAAGCATTTCATCGTCCAACCATTACGCATGACCTTTCCTCCGCCTTTTCCTAACCCTGCGCCGTACTTTGCTCTCACCGACCGACACGGATAACTCCCGCTGCTACCAGCTTCTGGATCTTCGACCTGATTTCGGGGTTCTTCATATGCTCCGTCAGCGCCGCCGGGTCCGACTGCGCTTGCTGGAGGATAGACTGCATGATGGGGTCTTGCATGATGCTCATGATCTGTCACAAAAGTATTAGCTCCCGCACCACGGGTAGAAGGAAACGTAGTCTCAGAACTCACCTCGGGGTCGCGCGCCAGACGTTCCCTTGTCTGGTCCTCCGTCTCGTTCTCGCGTGCGGAGTACATGGCGTTGAAGGCCTTCTGTTGCTGCTGCTCGATCTCACGAGCGTTGGCACCGTTGTGGTGCTCAAGGTCGACCTTAGCGGCCTCGGTGCAGGCATCGACACACTTGGAGTATTCACGCATGCCGTGGAAGGCCTGCGCCTTGCGAATGTAAGCGCGGATGAAGGTGGGGTCCTTCTTGATGGCAGTGTTGCAGTCCTCGACGGCACTGGGGAATTCGAGCAGCTTGACGAAAGCGGCGGCACGGTTGCTGTAGCCTCTCGGGTCGTCGGGGGCACGCTTGATCATCTCGCTGTAGGCAGCCACAGCGCCCGGCCAGTCACTCTCCTTGAACTTCTTGTTACCCTCCTCACGCGCCTCCTCGGCCTTGGCCGGGTCAAGGTAGGCGAGACGAGCCTGCTCAACCTTGTTGCGCTCGGCGGCACGCAGCTTGCTGGTGACGTCAGGCGTACGGTGCTCAGTGAGCGACTTCTTGTAGTTCTCGATCGCGGCCTCGAGGTTGCCCTGCTTCTCGTACGCAGAACCGATGCGAGCGTAGGACTTGGCAACCATCTTGAAGTCGGCGTAGATGGCACGACCCTCCTCAACGGCCTTGTTGCACGCCTCGATGCACTTCTCGTAGTCGCCCTTCTCGAAGTATGCGGCACCCAGGTTGTTCAGGTAGGTGATGTCCTTGTGCAGCTCCCAGGCCTTGCTGTAATGCGCGATGGCTTCGTCGAAGTTGCGCTTCTTGTAGTTCTCGGTACCCAGGGCCTTCTCCTTGTCGGCAGCCTCCTTAGCCTTTCTCTTCTCGATAGCCTCCTCGTCTTCCGGTTCGGGCTCGGGCGCGGGCTCGGGAGTGGGGGCCTTCTTGGGGGCAGCGGGCTTCGGCTGGGCAGGGGCATCGGGCATCTCGGTGTCCTTGGAAGCGCCGGGCATGTCGTCGGGCATACCCATTTGCATGTCAACGCCCATGAGGACGCCAAGGACCTGGAGCATGCGGGGGTCGCTGAAGAGATCGGGGGAGCCCTTGGGGTTCTCCTTCATTTGTTGCAGCCTGGCCATGAATGAGGGGTCGGAGAGGAAGGAGCTCGTCTTGGGGTTGGCGGCGAGCTTCTGGAGGAGCTGAGGGTCGTTGAACATGTTGCCGAGGCCGAGACCCGGGTCGCCGGCGTCTGTTTCTGTTAGCATAGTTACGTCTTGGTTCTGACGGAAGCGGAACCTACCACCACCAGCCTCTGCCTTCATGGCCTTCTGCACAGCGGCGAGATCCTTCTTGAGACCGGCATTGTTGGGGTCGACCTTGAGGCCCTCCTCGTAAGCATCGTTGGCGGCGAGGAGGTCACCAAGACCGTAGTAGGCAGTTCCCTTGCGTCCCCATCCCTTGGGCCAGTCGGGCTTGATCTCGGTCGTCTTGTTTGCATCTTCGAGGGCGTGTTCCCAGTCCTTCTTGGAGGCGTAAGCGGCGGATCGGTTGCTGTAGAGGATGTGGTTGTCGGGCTGGAGGGCAATGGCCTCGGTGAACTTGGCGCTGGAAGTAGATGCGTCAGTAGAAGTCTTCTTGTAAAACTCTTCTCGAGAATACTTACACAGCCTCGTCAAAGTTCTTCTCGGCAATGGCCTTGTTGCCGAGAGCCTTGAGCTCGTCTGCGGAAGCCATGACGGAGTGTGTGTGTATGTGTGCTTTGTGTTTGCAGTATGTACGAACTTGAAAGAAAAAGAGAAGCTTGAATTACAATCGCAACGTCGAGGGTATTTGGAGAGGGGGTATTGAGTTCGATCGTTGAGAAACTTTGGGAGAGAAAGGTGAAGATTGGGTGGGTGGTGGGGTGAGGCGAACGGGACGAAGGCAGAAAGAAAATAGCTGGAGCCAGAAGCTCACCACCAAACCGGTGCCTTCTAGCTGTTTCGATGGGTTGGTGTGGTACCGTTTGCTGATTGGGTGGAAAGGGCCATCGTCTGGCCAGTGCGGGAGGTGGGGTTCAAGGCTGAGCCCAGCTCGCGCCTGCCACCGCCGTGAGCTGCTTTACCCCTCGCTGGGGAAGTACCCAAGTACCTTGAGAGTCTTACCTAAGCCATGCGTTTACCCAGTTTTCTCACTTATCAGATTGCCATGAATAGATTTCCTTTCTCAGCGGCAGTATTGTATTCTCATTTACGCCAACCTCAGCTCGCTTGCATTGAGGCCGCAAAAAGCTATGACTGAGCCAGTTGTAAAGTTTATGAAGAGGCAGAGAAATACTCAGGCGAGGAAACGTTTCGTATCATCAACCAGAAGCCAGTACGCCAGCTCGTCGTCGCGGTGCGAGGTTCCGGAAAGGCGGCGCCGCGACGAACGTATATTGAACGTTCAGAAAAAGCTTCCACCCGCGCTCATGGGGGAATTAGTACGGATTATACAGAGGGCGAACTTTCGAAGTAAACACACTCACATTGAAATTATCTATGCTTCTAAGTTCCGATACTTGTCACTTTTGACTGAAATACCACGAAATTAGCATTCATTAATATAGAAGACTCTAAATCAATGTGTTCAGGTCAAAAGAACCAACAAACTAATCAGCCAGCCACCGAGTTCCCGTTAGTTCTCAACCGCGTGGTGTCTGCCTGCAATCCATCAACCCCGAAACGTCGCCCGAATCCAAATCCTCCCGTCTTACCGACCCCGAACATATTCAACCCGACAAATTACAAGCTACCTCACCGGAGTCCCGTCAGCCAGGCAGTCATCCCTCCGTGCCGGTTCCCGAAACCGTCCATAAATGACACAGAGATCCTCATCGCCAGAATCTAGGTAGCACGGATGAACTCCCATCTCCAATCGCTCCAACACCCGAATCCATCATATCATAACACAGCAGCCATGTCTTCCCCTCCCGACCCCGAAGTCATCCTCTACGATCTCGCCTGCACGAAAAACATCTGCTTCTCCCCCGTCGTCTGGCGCATCCGCCTCCTCCTGAACTACAAACGAATCCCCTACCGCACCATCTTCCTCGAATTCCCCGACATCGAGCCGACCCTCCAAAACCTGTAAGTCTAGCCAGCCATCCCATCTACTTCTCCCTTCCACCTCACTGACTTATGTCGCCAGCGGCATCCCTCCCCACCAGAACCAAAAACACGCCTACACAGTCCCGGCAATCCACCACACCCCCTCCTCCACCCTCCTCATGGACTCCCTCCCCATCACGGACTTCCTCCTCGCAACATACCCCTGCCCGCCTCACCTCCCCCTTCTCCCCCGTCCCGGACCCCGCCCTCGAGACCCGCATCCGCGCCGCCTCCGGCCCCGTGCTCCTCCGCTCCATCATGCCCCGCGAGATCCGCATCCTCTGCCCCCGTGCGGCGGAGTACTTCCGGCGCTCGCGCGAGGCGGGGCTCAATGGTGCGAAACTGGAGGACGTGCTGGAGGGAGAGGAGGAGAGGTGGGAGGACGCGAGGGAGGGGCTGCGCGGGCTGGATGAGGAGTTGAAGGGGATCATGGCGGGGGGGAGGTTTCTGGGTGGTGAGACGCCGTGTATGACGGATTTTTTTATCGCGGGGAGTTTGCAGTCTGCTAGGACGGTGGATGAGGGTGTTTTTCGGAGGGCGGTGGTGGTTGAGAGTTATAAGGTGATTTATGAGGCGTGTTTGCCGTGGATGGAGAGGAACGATTGAGGTGCATGAGCAGCTGAGTTGCAGATTGAGATCCTGGCCATTACGTTCCATGTCATATGCCAGATTGTTCATCATCAATGAGCTTCTTACTCGACTAACCAGGCATCCTGGCCTCTCACTCCTTCTTCGCCAGCGCAACAATGCTAAACTCCAAATTCCCATCCGCAAACCCCAGAAACCGCTTCACACCCCTCTCCAACGCCCGCTCACTCAACATGTCATCCCCCTCCTCCAACAACCCCCGATCGACAGGACCATCCGACCCGCCCTCCAACTCCCACAAATGCCCGTCCTTGCCCTTGACGAACGCGATGAAGTGATACCCAGGCTTCTCCTCGGCGGGCGGCGCCGCCGTATCGCCCCTCCTCGCAGCCCTCATATGCGCCTCCTCCAACTCCTCGCTCTTGTACAGCACGTCCGCCCTCTCCTCCCACCTCAACGGCTCCGCCTCCTTCAGCAACCGATCGACCAGCGAGCCCTCCCGCACGTACTCCCTGGCCTCCCCGTTGCCGACGGCGTGGATGAGGGCGTACAGCCCGCACGCGTTGCCGATGGTCTGGCGGAACCAGATGACGGGCTCGTCGGGGCCGGCGCCGGCGTAGGTCACGCCGTCCTTGGCGGAGCGGGTCCCGTCCTCGGCGCGGACCTGGTAGTACATGGGCGCCGGGGAGATGAAGATGAGGGCGAGGGCGGGGCGGGGCACGAGGGAGAGGAGGGCGGGCTCGTCGAGGCTGTAGACGTCGAAGAAGCCCAGGTCCGGGGAGACGCCGAGGTCGTGGACGAGGGAGGTGAAGACGTCCGGGTTGTTTTCGAGGGGGATGACGACTTTCTTGCCCTCGGGCGTGATGTAGACTCCGTCGGCGGGCATGTTGGTTTGTGGATGTTTGGTCTTTTGCGTGGGAGTGATGTTTGTGATGCTGTACGATGAGAGGTTGTTCTGGTGAAAGTTGCGGGATCGTTCTTGCAGTCAGAAGGTGGTATGGTAGTTGTTTGACTTACAAAGATGCAGGTGCGTCTCGGCAGGGCGTGGAAGACGAGGTGTACGCAAACCGTGCCTGCCTGCTGGAACCCCGCACGCTGATTCGTCCGCGCCTTCAGATTTGGCAAGTCGCGACTACGACTTCGAAAACCTTTATTATTGTGATTTTTGAATTAATTACCTAGGACTGACAGGTCTTGTCTGGAGCAAAGCAGATTGTCTCCTGAAGACTAGGATTTCCCCAAACGGCACTCACTGCAACAAATATCGTGGAAAGCTCTATGTTAGTTTCCACGAGTATCAGTGTGCACGGGTTCATTCCTAGAGTCCTCATTAGTTCTCCCGCCTAGGGTCAGAGAATGAGAAGGTAGCTTGGTCCATGGAACGGACATCGTTCTTCAGACAGACCAAAGTCACCTCGGTGAGACTTGGGATACCACGCTCACGGTGTTCTCCGCAGTGCTTCCACCGAGACTCACCAGACCGCCGGTTCATCCACACTTAGACATCCATATCAGTTTTTATTGGATTTCCCTGAACACCCAGAAACCCTCCGAAGCCCCTCGGACATCGGCAGGTCTTCAAGGTCCGAAACCCCCGGCGTGAAGCAGCATTGCTCCGTAATCCAAGGGTCCTCTGCCCAATAGAGGCCGCCTCGGCCCCCCATCCCGTCGGCTGTCATGATCCCACAGCGGCATTAGCGGGAGCTCCCAGGTGAAACCGCGCCAGAGCTCCCTGCAAGTCACCCCAGGAACAGCTGCACGGGCCAATGAGGACATGCCTTTTAATCAGCCAACTTTCCTCGAACACCCCCCGCGCGCCACTCCTCTGAAGCTTGCCAGATAGAAATCGACGTCAGGCAAGCTCCGGAAGACGTGCCTGCAGCTTCGCCTCCGTCACGCAACCCGATCGTTCGAAAGGGCAACGACCTCAGCGAATCGTACGACTTTTGTCCGCCGTATATCAACGCTCCTCCGCCGCTCCCTTCCGGACCACCTCGAAATCCTTCAAAATGGCCGGGTACCTCTTGCTTGTGATCCCAAGCATCCTCATGAGCTTGCTGTTGTCGAGATCACCATTCATGATGACCACCACACCGCAAACAACGAAGCCGTGGGCGGACGGCCCCATGAAGCTTATTCCTACGCCGCAATATGTGACCAAGAAGGTTAGTCAGGAGTCGAGAGCATTGAATACCTATTGGCCCCACTGAAGAAGCTCATCTGACGGGGCGTCCAACAGACCGATCTTTTCACGACCGGCGCGACGCATATGTGCCTGCTGCACAACTCGATCCTGCGTGGTTACAACTCCATCTACCACCAGGCTCCCCTCGTCCAGGAGGCCGACAAGGCGGACTTTGTAGGATACTCCCAGGCCTGGTTCAAGTTTGTCAAGTCGCACCACGACGATGAAGAAGAGTCGCTCTTCACCAAGGTTGAGGACCTCTTGAACGACAAGAATGTCTTCGCTGAGACGCACAAGGAGCACGGTACGTTCCTGATATCCCGGATGACACCAGCCTTCCGGCTAACGTGATGATGCAGAGTCTTTCCTCGGAGGTCTTGCCGAATTCAACACTTACCTCTCTTCCCTCTCCTCGCCCTCCGACTTCTCCGGCGCCAAGCTTCTCGAGATCATGAATGGCTTCCAGGAGCCGTTCGAGAGCCACTTCCACAGCGAAATCAGCACCATCGCTGGCCTGGCCCAACACCCGAATGCACCCAAGGAAGGAACACCGGAGGCGGCGAACGCAACGTTGACGTTCAAGACGTGGGGCAAGAGCACCGTGACCAAGGCCGGCACGGCGGACGTGGTCCCATTTTTCCTGCTCAACCTGGATCGGACGGTCGAAGACGGACTCTGGGCGAATTGGCCGCCCATGCCGGCACCGATCAAGTGGGGATTGATCAACATCGCCGGCGCATGGCACTGGGGTTGGTGGAAGTTTGCCAGCTGCGACGCCGCGGGACAGCCGAGGGAGTTGTACGCGCTGCAGAACGCGCCGACGGAGGACAAGACCAAGGCCGAGCTGTGAGGTTTGCTGAAGAAAATACCTGTTGTGTTTCGTAGGACAATCATAGGGCGTTTGGAGGGGGAGTTTGGGACCTGGGTATCTTATTACATGTAAGAAACATATTGCGGCGAGCAAAAAAGAGCCAATTCCTGTCATTAAATCGCTGACCTAACTGGGATGTCTCGTCAAGAAACCAGGGTTCGCCGGGGTCCAGGTCCGAGCTCGTACGGGGAGGGTAGCCGGGGTGAAGGCAGGTGTTCGGCGACGGTACCACTTCTCGGCAGCAAGCCGTGCGATCGGCGGCGGATTCGATATTTGGACGGCTGCAGACGATGACCAGATGGACGCTAGAATATGATGATGCATCAGGCCCATGTCTCTTCCTGAGTGTTGCCCGTTAGCTCAAACCTTGATCTCACCGATGTTCTTTTCATAGCGAAAGACATGCAGGATGCAGGCCAAGAGCGAACACGACTGACGGGCCGACCTCGCTGAGGCCAGGGAAATGCTGATGATGCTGATGCCCAGCGATGAGGCGCCCACGAACAGCGCGAATTTAGAGAGGCGAGGCGAACTGCAATGCGACGCAACCCTAACGGTAAGGTAGCCGCAGATTGCAGATGCAGCGCAACCTTCGTCTCTGCCCCAATGAACAACGGCCGCTTCTGAATGGGGCTCTGTATGGGTGCTTTGCGGGCGGGACCGGATGTTGAGTCCCCTGGTCGCCGCGATCCAGAGCCATCGGACGGCGCAATCCTTCGCAAATATTCTCAAAATATCAGAGATGCATCGCGAAGATTCTTGGCGACTCCCCTCACACCGTTGGCCGCGGGACTTTCTCGTGCAGGGCTAGTCGCAAAGATCAACGGAAGCCCTGAGACGCGCAGCTTCCAGGCCATCACGAGAACCGACTGTGTCTCCAATGACGTTCGACAAACAGAGTCGTCTCGGTGTCTTGCTCGCGAGGCACACGACGGATGAGGGTACAAGCCGATGCCTCACCGTCATTTTTGACGTGGGGAGCAGTCGGGAAAGCCCTGTTCTGGCTTGTTCTTGGCCACGAACTGTAGACCATGGCGACCTTCTTGTTCTCGACGATTAGCCCGGTACTGACAAGGGAAGGACCCTGGGGAGGGACACCGGTTGTGCGTCGCTCCACCTGGCTGCTCATCAGCACTAAGGTACTGCATTCGTGCCTGTTGAATTGATACAGGAAATGTGTACTTGCTTGGTTGCTTGGGTGTCCCGAAGGTGCATTTGCAGCTGGTCTGCCAGTTGCAGTACGAAAGGGACCTGCCCGTCGTGGTACGAGGCGCAAAGAAGGCAAAGTTGGTGGCGGCGCTGCAGGGCTCAGCAGATGGCGGGAGCCAACGAGCGAGACATGGTTAGGAGATGAAGCCACTCGCTCATGGAAGTCGAAGTCGAGCTGGAAGTGTCTTGCAGAAAATGGGATGCGGGTGGAGAGATGCAATTGCCTTGGATTGGCTCTGTTGGTGGTAAACTTGCTCAAACACTCTCAGAATGCGTGAGGCAGGAGCCATAGCGCTTTTATCTGGCCTTGGCAACCACGCCCACATGCGCCTTCCTGAACATACGATAACGCACAAGGCAGGTCCAGGTCCGGTCTCGACTTTTCGCCTGCAACTTGAGGGAAGGAAGGAATCGACAAAATTCTTTTCAATATTTCATTCGTCGGTTTCTCTTCCTTTTAGCCCCCGCTCGCCTGCCGCATGAGGTGAACATGGGAACTGCCTCCAACATGCTCATCGGTGGGCTTCCAGGTTCGGCCATCTCGACAACCACACCAACTGTCTTCACGGTGCCTTGTACCTCCCCTGCCTGCCGCATCTTACATGCTCTTACCAGTTCTTTGATCCTGGGATGTTTCTCGGGAAGGAATCTAGCGCATGTGGAGAGGTAAGCAGGTAGGTACACAGGTCGGGTGTTTCCCTTCATGGCGAAGGCGCAGGATGATCCCGACCTTGTGGTCTTCCGTTCATATAAACCTCCCCTCGCAGTTCCACCGCCGTCAACACTGCTGAACGTTTCTTCTTCAGTTCATCATTCATCACTCAGACCCCAGTTGCAACAAGGCATTATCTGCTAGTATCGACCGTCAACTTCCTCGTTTTTGGAAAACATCTCCGATATCACAACATCCCAACACTGAACATCACATCTACCTCACACTCCAACAACGACCGAGTCAACAGAATGGACCACGGCGACATGACGATGGCCACAACCACGGCCGCCATGGCTGCCACTGGCACCATGTCTGGCATGTCTGCCGCGACGAGCACTAAGGCCGCCATGTCCATGGGAGGCAGCGGTTGCAAGATCTCTGTATGTTCCAACACGATACCTCACACCTCACGTCTCGCGTTACGGCACCAGCTAACCGAATTGAATAGATGCTGTGGAACTGGACGACTATTGGGAGCTGCTACATCTCGTCGAGCGTTCGTCTTCCCCCCGCGGCGTACCAAGCCATCGAGAACCTCGTCAAGCTAATAATAACGCAGTGGAAAATCACATCCAACGGAATGTTCGCCGGATCCTGCATTGGTGTCATTCTTCTCGTCATGTGCCTCGAGTTGCTTCGCCGAACCGTCAAGGAATACGACAGATACCTCATCCGTCAACACAAGGCTTCTTTTGCTGCCGGCTCTGGTGCCATCTCGCCTAACTCGGAGAATGCTGGCATCAAGGGTGCCGCCGCTTCTGTCGCCCCCGTCGCTGGGGCCGCTATCCCGCCCTTCCGGCCGAACGTCCTCCAGCAGGCTGTTCGCGCACTCCTCCACATGTGTCAATTCGCCGTTGCCTACTTTGTCATGCTGTAAGTTGCCTCCAATCTTGTAGACATCAGTATACGTAATTCGACACATCACTAACCGATCAATCAGGCTCGCCATGTACTACAACGGATACATCATCATTTGCATCTTCATCGGCTCCTACCTTGGCTCCTTCATCTTCCAGTGGGAAACGCTGTTTGACGTGACGACTTCAGCTACTAGCGAGGCGACCGTCTGCTGCGGTTGAACATATAAAGATGGGGAGAAAGATGTTTCTCGGACGGAGGGCAGCGGTGTACATAGGAGGACGGATATCACTATACCCATCGCAGCTTGAGGCTGCCTTCTCTGCTCGAACAAGATAGTTAATGATTAATAATACCAGGAACTTCCTCCGATGCTATTCTTCTGGTGATCCCTCTTCTGGCCAGTCTTGTACCGTGTTCTTCTCACATCAGCTGGTCTCACTCGGCAATGCCCATCCTGAAGGCTTTTCCAGATAAAGTCAATGACATCGTTTAGCTTAATTCCGTCACCGTGAACGAGCCGCTGCCTGCTTACTCTCATCCCGTTCACAGTCAACGTCCTCTCCGCGTCGGTTCTTTTCGCAATGAACCCTCAAGATCTAAACACCGTCACGCAGACCCTTGCCCAAGGGGACTTCCTACTACAAACTTCTCTCGTCCAGCTGGCTACATCAACCCAGATGGATAGGCAACAGCGGCTCCAATCACGACGTCCCAACCTTATTGGCCCAGGAAGAGGAAAAACTCAACCACCTATTCCGTCTTCTGCATTTCCTCTCACTCTTCCTAAATCCGCCTTCTGAGAAGCCATCGCCCCCGGCAGTGTGTCATGCGCTCTGCTACTGCGCCCGATACCTGCCGCTTGTCTCGCATCATCTTCACTTGAAAAGCGCTCTAGGTATTCGGAATCATCATGATACGCCGTCGACGAGTTTCGGAGTTTCTCAACGGCTCTAGTCAGATGAAGAGAGTAGAGAGATAGCTTATTGTTGAAGGACTGAGGTATGGAAAAAGACAGTTGCTGAACGTGGGAAATCATGTCAGGATAATTCAATTTCACATTGAGGATTATTCCACAAGAAAGATACCAAAACTTTCAAGAGGTTCAGCCTTCTTTGAGGGCAGCTCTCACCATTGCAGGGATTTTGTGTGCCTAGCTCAGACTCGATCTCGAATTTGTATTTCTCTACGCCTGGCGGCCACTAAGCATGTGTCCAGTCTCTCGTTTCAAATACAATTGCCTGCTTCTATCACTTACAGCCATACACCTAGATATCTATCAGATAAGCTAGGAAGTTCTAGCGCTATAGAATAACTAGGGGTCTTATATTGCCTCTTATTAGTAATAAGTACTCGAGAATGAGAATACTAAATATAGAAAGATTGTCTATCATTTTGACATTTGACCTAATAAGCTTAGTTCTTTAACACTATTGCAAAAGCACTGAAGCTCATCCACCCGCTCTGATATCACCTTAAACACATGACGAATATGAACCAAACTGAACTCGTTGCTCTGCTCCAACTCTAACGGCTTCAGAATCTTCTTCTGCTTCAGCGCGAGCTCATAAAACATTATTGCTAGATAGGTCTCGTATATCCTAATAATATGTGAGAAGTCTGGAAAATTAGCGCAAGTCTTTGTGGTGGGAACTTTAAAGAAGGCGTTCTAACTTACGTTCTTCCAAGCGGATTCTCATAACCTGTTGCTCCCCTTCATCAATTCGAGTTGCGCAGCAACCTTCGGGCAGTACTTTCCATAGATCGGGCGGCATAAGTACTTGAAGATGCGGCGACCTCCAAAGTTGCGGAGAAAGCTCCCTCTGGTTTGTAATGTACATCTCAATTATATCTTGAAATATTTGTTTCAGTTTCCTGCAAAGTTGGGCGTACAAAATGAAGGCCCGAAGAGTCATTTTGCTGAAGTCGAGAAAACGCGTCTTCGGTCTCTTTTCATCGACGACTGGACTCAACTTAATCGACCCCGCGGCGCGGAAATTCTGTTGCACAAAGTACAGAACTTTGAGAAAGGTGTCGATTTCGGCGATTGCTCCGGACTGCATGAGATGTGTCGGCCAGTTGTTGATTGCGTAATCCCAGAACAGTTCGCGTCCTCCTTCTTGAGGGTGACAATGTGTATGACTTGATTCGGTGGTTGTCTGGTTTAGTGATGCAAAGCACGCTTCAAACGCCATTCGATGAGCCGCGTTCCTGGAGATCGAGTTCTTCCATACCCGATTTGTATTTTCGTGAGATTGTGGAACTCCTTGAATGGCCCTTGTTGTGAGCTGTTGGGACTGGATGGTATCGTCACCTTCCAGCAGAAATTCCTTGGCGGTTTGGTGCAAAAGGTAGACTTTATCCTCGTGAATGGACACAAAAAGTCCACACAAAGACCTCAATCTGTCCTGGAAATCTTCATCAGACTCCAACTCAAGATCGTCAACGTTTTCAACAGTGTCCGCGTTGACAGCATAGTTCATCTCCGAGACACTTAGAGGCCTGCCAGCTGCGACTATCATGCAAAGAACCTTCTCGGTCGTTGCAGGATCAGTCGACTTGGACAATATCCTCTCGTAAGCCTCGTTGACGGTTGATGGGAGTGACAAAACAGCCGAGTCTATGCCGCCCTTTGTCTTCTTCAAGTTGCGCTTTTCCAAGTCTTCAAAGACGAGATCGAGCCACAAGTATGTTCTGTGCTCCATTTGGAGAACCGTATCCAGGAGATGGTTTTTGAGCTCGTCGTTGAGAAAAGTTCGGTTTCCGCCTATTCTCCTCTTTGCGAGTTTCGAGACTCGATGTTCGATGACGAGGTTGATCTCCTCAGCAAGAGCATCCGACTCGTTCTCTCCAGGAATATGAATGCTGAAGGAATTCGCCTGGCCATAGAACTGAGAGGTGATGCTGTCGTATGGCCGACTGGTCATGAGCCACTTCACGTTGTTGTCGGTCTCTTGGTCTCTCAGGAGATCTTTCAGTTGAGACTCTTCGCACTCATCCAACGCGTCGAGAACGATAACAACCCGTTCGGAACCAAGTTGCCCGGTCGCGTCGCTGAGAATCTTCCAGAGTGACGATGAAATGCCAACCAGACGTTTTCCATTCTTATCGTATTCCGGTATCGCATGTCTGATCAGGTCTGGGCGTAGCGTAAACAGCTGATGCAAGACTGCACACAAAGCTTTGGCCACGGTGTTCTGGTCCTGGTCCTTGAAGAAGAAGTAGCAAACAAGCGGCGGCGGACTCGCGGAGTTCGGGAGTATGTCGTCGACCAGGTACTTTGCAAGTACGGATTTGCCGCATCCGGGGTTGGCGGTCACCAGCAAAAGCCCGGAATCTTGTGCAATCCAGCGTCGATAGGATTGGTGCTTGAGAAACCATTGGCAAGTGCCCTCAACCCGGTCCTGAATCCTGCCCTTGTACCACTCGTATGGCTCTTCGATGCCCGGTGTGGCGAGCCGAAAGAGCTGATGACATTCGTTCTCTTTGGCAGAGAGTGTCAGTTGAAGCTGTCGAGAAGCTACGTCGAGTGATTTCTCTGAGATTTCCAGGTGTTTGTCTGCGGTGGCGAGTAGCCTAGTGCTCTGGTCGAGGGATTGCTGGGTATACTGCCGAAGCATTTCCAAGTCTTGCCCCATGCGGAGATTGTTGAGGTTTGCGACGACTTCATCGACAGAACGCTCTTGACCTTTGATCTCCTCGAGGAGGCTCTTCCAGTTATCGTGCTCGATCGAATCGCGCAGATAGGTCTTGAACTGATTCCGATAGAAACGCAAAACGCTTCGCAGTTGGAACCCAAGAAACAGCTGATAAAGTCCCACCAGATGCTCCTCTGCCGCCCCTACAAGGGCTGTGTCGTCCACTCTGTTCCAGAGGGATCGGATGGGGCGGTCGAGTTCGGCGTAGTAGTGCATCCTTGTCGTCACGTACGCGAACCCGTCACGATGTTCCTGATCTGCGTTGACGGGATTGATGAGCAGCGGGAAAACCAAGGAGACGCCTGCCCATGCTAGAGAGGCTTCCGGAGACGCTTGTATCGCTTTGTCGATGAATGTCTTGGCCCACTGCAGTAGCTCGGCTGCTTGGGCGATGCGGGCCGAAGGTGTGAATTCATGGCCAAACACTTGGTAGGCGACTCTTTTGCCATCCAAATGGTCCAAGCCCTTGCGAGCCATCTCCTCAAGTTTCTGGCGTCGCGCGTACGCAGATTCTGTAGCCAAGGTGTGGGAATTGTCTTCGGCCGGACTATCGGGCTTCGAATCTTCGCGTGCTGTAGGCAATTCTAGTTAGTGGAAATACGATACGGTTCCTGTAATCCTAACTCACTTTGTCTTTCCATCTCTTTGGAAAGAAGTTCGTCGTAGTCTCCAACTAGTTTGCTGTCTTCTTCCACCAGTCTTGCGTACGCCTTATCCCACAACGAAGGCTGGTGTGCCTGTGATGCATCTTGTGCCTCCGGATCAACGTGATTATCGTTCTCTCGAATGGATGTCGAAGCTGACGACGATCCAACCTCGTCGTCGCTGATCCTCAGGTTCTGCCTCGGGTCGACCTCGGGCTGCTCGTCAGGTTTCGACGGGGCCGGTTCAACCTTCCGAGGAAGGATGCGCCCGAAGAACCGTCGACCCTTGTCTTTTATTGCGCTTCGACTCATCCCTGGATCCGTGGCTGGATAGACGAAGTGAAATCCGCGACGGTGGCGTCGTCCACCAAGATGTCGGGTGTAGCTGGATGGATTCATGTTGGGTCGCCATCAGGCCAACAACATGACCCCTCATCTGCAGGTTGATCACGCCGCTTCTGAGCGACCAATCAAATGGAAATGCTCCTGCATTGCGATGCTCAAAGATGCCACACAGCCACAGTCTTTAGCGAAAGGTCACCTCACTTCTACACGTGAACTTATTGGTCCATTTGGTTCCTCAACACCACCAACACAGCTTCATCGACACAGCTGATATGAATGCGAAGTTCATACCGCTATTCTGACTAGACTTACACAAGATTGAGGCATCTAGCTGTAATACTTAGTATTCACGAATACGGCTGTGATGGTGCTGGTTGTATGCGTCGCTGTGTGAATTGGTTTCCTTTTCAGTGTGAGCTGCAGGTAGTGGTGCGAAACAAGACAATAGCCTTCGCCCCCATAGCCATTCCAACGGTTTTCGTGACGTTTATCGTTAATAATGATGATTAAAGTCCCAATCGCGCAGCTTCCGACCGAACGATCGCGGGCACTTCATCCTCTAGGCTCTTCTCCTGCGGCTTCCATCCAAGAACCTTCTTGGCTCGCACAGCAGCGCCGCGCGAGTTCATACCCCAGCTCGCCGCCTCGAATCCAGCTGACGACTTGACAGCCTCCTCGTAAGACAGAGCTCGAACCTCCGGCTCCCCGCCCTTGATATAGCCCTGCTTGTGTGCTTCCTTGCCAACCAGCGTCGACAGGTCGCCCCAAACATGCTCACCGTTCTCGGTGAGGAAGTATCCATGCGCTCCCCAGATCTCCTTGTCATCCTTGCGGGAAGGATCCAGCGCCGCCTCGACTAGCAGCTCGAACACCACGCTGAGGTCGTAGACGTGGACGTTGTTCCATCGAGAAAGTCCCTTGCCGATGCGGGGAGAGTACCCCTCCTTCAACACAAATGTTGCAAGCTCGTAAACCTGTCGGCCACGTCCGGAGACTGGGCCTCGCCCTTGGCCGTAGATTGTCGGCGGGCACACGATGGTGGTCTTAACGGAGTCTGAGTGCTTGTTGCCGGTCTCGAGGACGATCTGGTCTACGTTGCGGTGGAAAGCAGCGTCTGGCAGATTGACAAGCTCGTCAACTCCCTCATAGTCGTTGAAGACCTTGTCATCGTGCTCGCCAAACGTCTTCTTGACTTCAGAGTCGAAGTAGGTCAGGATACCGGTGCCGCCTGTGTGCAACCAGAATCCCGGCCGAGACGGGGAGTGGCCTTGTACGAGACCCTTGGAGATGGCCTTGGCGGCCCCTGCATGGTCCGAAGAGTCGGCAGTGTCTGACGATATGTTAGCGGTACGAGCATGGAGATCAGAAACAGTCGCAACCCACGAATCACGATATCTGCCCATGCTGCTTCGCGTTCGAGTATTTCGGGGTCATCCAGACCTCCGATTACGATTCGAGCGTTGGGAAACTTTTCAAGGACCTTCTTTGCCTTGTCTTCTGTTCGAATGAGGAGCGCATATTCGAAGTTGGGGTGCTTCTGGTACAGCTGGTGAAGGGCGTCGCCACCGATGTAGCCGGTCGCTCCTGTGAGGAAGATCTTGGCGGACATATTGATTTGGATTTGCGGTATGAGAGGTGCAGTCGGGCCCTGAGCTTCGGATGATCTTGGTGATTGTTATAACTGGGCTGGTTTGAGAGTGACTTGATGGCGTTCTATGACGTGTGTATGGATTTCTAATCGTGAGTAAAGCGCCCCGGATATTTGTTTAGCCACTGGCCTTGCCTCTCAGTATCTCCACCAGCTACTAACGTCCATTTGATTCTGTTCCTTACAAAATGAGATTAGTGCATTCTATAGCGTTACGCTGGTGAATTAAGCTTAATTCGTACCCAATTGATACGCAAATTTGGTTGCTTTCACGATGGCAAAATATCGAGGGGTGTTCTCGATGGCGGGGTAGGAGCTCCTGTTCGATTGCCCCTCATTGCCGGCTTTCAATTTCCGATCGCGTCAATATTGCCTCAACACCATCCAGTACCCAGTGATGTAAGGCTCTGATCAGTATGACATGATCAGTAGATACCACTTCAAATTCCGGTCCTGATCGAAGACCGTTCAAAGACTACAAGTCGGTTTCCTGCAGTCCCCGACCTCGTTGCTAAGAATTGAGAGAGGTCAAGGTCGTTCACCATATAGATTGGGCACTCGTAGCGCTTTCAAAAAATAGTGTTTGGTCCGTTCTGCATTTGAGAGTTGATTCAATCTATGAGGTATTGGCTTGCTTGGATGCGACATTGAGTGCATGTTTTGAGGCTATCTACTGAACTCGCAAGCTTAACCACCTGCCCATCATAAGTTCTGCAAACCGAGTCGAGATCCGTCATTTGGCCGTTCAATACGTAGAATTATGATCCTGGCCTGTACATTGTGAGCTTGCGCTTTTGGGGGAAATTATCCAAGTCGTTGCCATTCCTAAATCACAAATGGAACTGGGTTTCGGCCTCGGAAAAGAGCACTATCCGGAACGCAAGTGCGGAATAAACTCAAATTCAACTACACCAGTCATCGCAACCGTGCTTTCCCTTCCAATTATCAAGTCATCTTTGCACGTCGGATAGCCCGGGGCACATGGATCTTGCCACCAAGAACACCTCAGCTGCGCATATTCTCGGTTGGATTCAGCAGCTCATTGTTCATGTGAGGCTGAGAACTACACCAACAATGTGAATTTGAATCAAGTGCTGGGTTCTTTCCTCTAGCAGCCCTAAGAGGATAAAAGTTACATTACCTACCCCTCCAACATTACTACCTGCCGCTGCCTGAACAGAGTTTTGGGTTCTCAATTAGCTAATTAGTTCAAGAGTATCCTCCCTACTCCGTAATACAAGCGCCACACAACCCTACCTGTTTGCTATCTGATGTTATTCCTGCACAAAATCTAGACTATTTGACTTCCAAAGTTTCTAATTGGGGTAGTTATTTCCGTGTTGCCGTGCTAGAGTCAAAGCCGTCTCTACCAGTCAGACAATACTATCAAGGCGTGTGATTTCCTCGCGAAGATTTCCAATAAAGGAGACGCCGGCGAATTCACTCCAATGCACCTTTGGGCCACATCCGACTCAAAATTTCAGAGTAAAAACCACTGGAAACCCGTGTCAAGGATTGCGCTCGTTCCTCGGAGCGATGTTCTCACCAAGCTTTTGATGCATTCGCGTATACGCGGCCAACATCAATATGAGTCTTCCTGTTTTCCTTTTCGACATTTGGCCTAAAGGCCTTCTTGATCAGCGGGTTGTCATGACACTTCTGATTTTAGTTTTAGCGTGGGCAACAACTACGATCTGGAACCTGAGACTCCGCCTTCGGTTTCTCGGAAATGGCATGGGTGTTCTCCATAGGAAGAAAGACAAATACATGAACAAACCATTCCGAATGACCACGGCACTCGGCGAAGTAACTGTCCTGCCTCCATCTCTCATCCCAGAGATGCGCAACATGACGGATCTCAACTTCCGAGAAGCCATCACTACCGTAAGCTTTAGTTTGAACCCAAAGATTTTGTAGGGTTGTATACTCATCAAAGAAGGAATTCCACTCTACCCTACCTGGATTTGAGGTTTTCGGGTTCTTCAAGCTTCCAGGACACATATTGCAGACAGTAGCACGAAAGCAGTTGACGCAGCACACAAGTGGGTTTCCATCATCCCATACGGCGTGAACCAACGGAATAATGGATGGCTAACTAACACAGACACAATCTTGGAACCTCTTTCCTCAGAAGCTGCTTTCGCCACCGATTTGATATTCGGAAATCCTCCAGGTGACGTCTACTCAGCCCTCCCGGAGAAGCCATGAACATTTCTAACTATTCCTTAGGTTGGCAGCAGATTCCGGTGAAAGAAAGCATGCTGGATCTTATCGGACGGTTATCTTCCCGAGTATTCCTTGGCCCAGATCTATGCCGTAATGATGCATGGCTCAGGATCACCAAACGGTTCACCACCACCTCTTTCGCCGCTGCTGCCAAGCTGAACCTGTTTCCATCTACTCTAAGGCCGCTGATAAACTGGCTTGACCCTTCATGCCGGCAGATGCGGAGCTTCATCTCTCAGGCCAACGAGATTCTTCTTCCCGTATTTGAAAGTCGCTTGAAGGTGAGAGAGGCGGCCAAGATTGCGGGGAAACCAACACCGGCGTTCCATGACACTATCGAATGGGCCGAGATGGAGTCACAAGGCATGGCGTATGACCCGGTAGCCTTTCAAATGATCATCTCGTTCGTTGCGATACACACGACGTACGATCTCTTGGGCCGTACTCTCATTCTTGTGGCTCAACATCCGGAAGCCATCGACTCTCTTCGTCAAGAAATCATTCGCGTTTTGAAAGCCGAGGGTTGGTCCAAGACGTCGCTCAACCACATGAAGTTACTGGACAGTGCAGTGAAGGAGGCGCAAAGAATATGGCCAACAACAGTTTGTATGCTGTATTCCGTTTTCCATCGTTGTATGGAAACGTCTGACCACCTATCTTACAGTGACTCTACGCCGCGTTGCCGTCAAAGACATCACACTCTTCGACGGGACGTTTATCCGAAAAGGCAAACGCACATTCACTCATTGCCTCAACATGATGGACCCAGAAGTCTACCCAAATCCAGAGAAGTTCGACATACACCGCTTCAAACAGCTCCGCGAACAGAGCGGTGGCGAGAGCAAAGCGCAGCTTGTCACCACCACACCGGAGCACGTCGGGTTTGGGTATGGGATGTTTGCCTGTCCCGGACGCTTCTTCGCATCGAATGAGATCAAAATCGCGCTGTGTCATCTCCTGCTGAAGTACGATTGGAAAATTACTGAAGATTTCAAACCGATGATCATAGGCGACAGCTCACTCATAGATCCAGCCACGACAATTGCGTTCCGAAGGCGGAAAGAAGAGATTGACTTGGAATGTTTGCAGTTTGATGAGGGAGTTGCGTTTGCTGTTGATAATGGTCAAGTCTAACGTTGCTCTGTTGGACTTATGTGGCTTCAAGATTGCGCTACGGCAGAGAGACTCGTATGATGACTTGTCAATGTTTTTGGGTCAAGACATTGGATGTAGTATGCCTGTGAGGTTAAGATGAACTTGGCAGCAATTATACTGAAGACCTAGTGTGAAGCGACAGGTGTCCCCCCCTGAATATTCAAGATTCCTACCTCTCCGATGTTCTCTTGATTCATAATGATGTACGTGATGCCGAGCTGCCCAACCTGTTCTCGTATGCTGACTGGCTTACACCAGAACTAAGCTTCAAAGATCTTGACCATCATGTCGACATGAATAACTACTTCGAGTGGATAGAGACGCTTGATAATCGGAGCAGGCCTAGCAGACCCAGTAGATAGAGTTTGCTGGGGAGACGCAGGGTTCGCTCCAGCTTTGTGTAACTGGTTGACAAGTCGTATGATTCCCTATCGGTTCAGAGACCCAACGTCACGACTCACGGACGACCCATTCTGAGACGTCAACGCCCACGCGTCTATATCACCACGCCACAATGGGAATTACCATCAGCATCTGCTTCAATGTAATATGCCAGAAAAGAAATAATCGCTATGGATTTTACAACAGTTGGGTCCAACAAGAACTCTAACGAAGTCCAAGCCCAGGCTTGGCACAAGCATCAAGAAGTCGAGTCCAAGACCATACCATCAAGACCGCAGCGGCTTCTCTGGAACAGTAATCACTTCCAACAGGAAAGTAAACCTCTTGCGCACGCGGGAGACAGGTTCGGGGCATTCAAACCTCGTATGCCCCATCCCCAAGTGACGATCTACATCAGCGAGTCAAGCGCAGCACCCGCCCCCGACCTTCCGCAGACCGACATTTGACTGCGACGCCGCTTACCGATGCGTGAAATCCGTCAATATAAGATGCTGTTGAATAAACCATATATGATGGACTTGTCATCCAAAACGCCGTTCCTCTGAAAGCTTTCTCTCGTGACTAAGCACTAAACTCCTACTCGACCTCCTAATTCGAACGTACCTTTCTAGATTACTTAATAAAATGAAGTTTACCGCCCTCTTCGCTCTCTTGGCGCCTCTGGCCCTGGCCGAAACCTGGAACCTCTCGGGTACCTGCTCCACCAGCGAGACCTGCGAGATCGACACGCAGTACACCAGCCCGGAGGTCGCTTGCGGGAACTCAAACGGACACTTCGATGGCTCAGGCAACGGCGGGAAGACGAGTTGCACCCCCGCGGGCACCAAGTGCACCTACGTTTGGACGTGCTAGACGGCTATCATTCTTGAGAGCAGGAGAGGAAATAGTGAGTGATGTCTTGCTGGATTTGAAGCACTAGTAGCTTGTGGCTGACTATGTTGCTGTGAAAGAATAGTTGTAGTAATGGAACTTGTCGTCCTGAGTGGCTCGGATCAGAGATGGGTTACAGTCCGGTAGTGTCTTAACGAAAATCGTAATTCGCGTTGACTCCAGATTGATTTCCATCATGGCTGTAGTTCACCAAGTTCCCATGACAAGAACATTTAGAACGGCGTCATTCGTTGTATCCATTATCACATCATATGCGTTTTAAAAATTCTTCTTTAGAACACATGTTTCAATGCAAGTCATGGAAGTAAATATGTACCATTATTATATATATCCCTGAACCCCATCCCTCAAAGCACCAGCCTTAGAAAGGCCAGCATCCATAATCAAGGGAATCAAAGAAGATGAAAACTATGTATAGCACAATAGAACTGACAAGGCGATTCGAACGCAACAGGGAACCGTGTGTCCGCACTTTCCCATCCTCCTTCGGGTATCATCACTCCTCTTGTTCTCCATTGTCTCCGAGACCCTCTCGGCCTCTCTTTTATAGACTTTCCTCCCCTGTATCCAAAAGAAAAACAAAAAGTGCTTGTTTGGTCGAGCGACGGAATCCAAAGTCAGACTCCCAACGCGACCTGATGATGATGACGCAATCTTGCTCCGTCTGCTATGCGTATAATGACAGTAGGTATCCGAACGCTGATATGAACGGGGATGACATAGTGTCGAGGGAAAATGTCGCGAATTCGAGCCGTTCTCACAACCAGAGCAACCACCTCACAGCTCCAACAACACCCTGCCCAACGCCCCAGAATACTCTGAGGATCATCACCACGAACCACACGTACCACATGAACCCGACCAGCACCCACTCGACAGCGAGCCACATGGCCCGACGGACCCAGCGGAACCTACGTCTGCGTCGTCGGAGCATCTTCTCAATGACATCAAGGGTGTGCTTGATCTTCAGCCTCTGGCCGAGGGTGAGATCACGGCTCGTCTCGTCCGCTTCGTCGGCTGCTGCGCGGGTCATGGCAGACAAGTCGGTTGCCACGCGACGGCGTACGTCCTCAACCCGACGGTGTAGTGCAGGAACAGTGTCCGAAACGAAGAGGTCAGCGGACTTTTGCCACTCTTGGCCGGAGCATTGAATAGAGGTGCCGAGTGTTTTGGCGGCGTATTGGTAGAGTTCCGTTTGTGGAACGGCCTTGTTATGAGTGCTTGCCGGGTCAGGGCTGAGTTTGGCGATTTCGGGCCAGAAGACGCTTGCGACTCGCATATCGTTCCGTGACGGGCGTTGCTGGTTTGCGAAGACGAGGTGAGGCTCGTTGGCACGACGGGTGATTTCCATGGCCTTGATTCCAGAGCTGAGAACTAGAGCGCGAAGGCGGGCGATTTCTCGCTTCGACAAGGGTGCGCGGTCTGGTGCAGGGCTGTGGTCAGAGATCGACCAGTGGCGGCCTCGCTGGGAAGATGATGCGGGACGGCCTTCAGGCGAAAGAGTCTGCGGCATTAGAATAGAATTAAGCCGCTTGTCTGCCTCCTTAACCCCTGTGCTGGCAGCCGATCTCGGTTCGCCTTCGGATAGATCTGAAAGTCGTTTGGCCGAGCTGGGCGATGTGCTCGGCGATGCGCTCAGAATGTCAATACGCGGCGGCTTGAGTCTATCAAACCGAGGCGATCTACGACTCGGTGGCCGAGATGTCGGATCTTGGAGGATAGGCTCACTCTCGGTGGCCTTCAACTTCTCTTGGGAGACAGGCTGGAAAGTCGGCATGACATCCAGATAGTTCTTGTTGTTTTGCTGGCGGATCGATGCGGTTCTCGACAGCGGCGTCTCGCCCCTTCTTCGGCCTCTGGGCTCCGTGTCAGACTCATCTGTCGTGGTACCTTCCACCTCCGAATGACCTTCGCCGATATCTGACTCCTTACGCCAAATGAGGTCGCCCAGTTTCGATACTCCACCACGAATGACATTGTCGATACGAGCGCCTTTGAAGATGCCGATGCTGTTGACACTGCGATGCGACTTGTCGCTTTCCCCGGTAGGGCGTTGAGCAATCTTGCGAGAGGGGCTTCTAGACAACCTTCGCCGGTCGGATGATCTTCTGCGTTCTCCGGAGGACTCTGGCGACGCATCAAACGGCGTCTTTGGTGCACTGGCTAGATCCTCAGCGCTGGACCTCTCCTCCGAAATACGATCGCTTCCTCGTTCCTTGCTTCGATCTCGGAAGATCTGCTTAACTTTCGAAAAGGGGTTCCGAGTTGGTGAGTTGGCACGACTAGACCCAGGAGAAAGGTCCCCTCCAAGCGCGGGGATGAACGGATCCCCGCGAACTGCACCGTCCGGAGAGTTTGGTTGAGAGGAATCAACATCAAAAGAGCTTCGCCGTGCTGGCACGGGAATTTCCAAACTGGTCCTTCCCGTCCGCTGGAGGTATGCCGGTGTCTTTCGAGGCTTGTCCTTACTCTTCCTCTCATCAGACTCGCTACCCGCGATCGATGGCTTCCGACTGGGCTGGCGTGATTGTACCTGAGATATCAAGCCTGTGTCTCGTTCTGGTGTCATCCATCCGGAGTTATCTATTGTCCCGGGCTCGTTCTCTCGAGCCTCCTTAGCGATCATCTCGAGCATCTGTTTCTCCAGGATGTCTTGGTGACTACTCGTCAACGTTCCTGTTCGACTTCGTCTGTCAATCTTCTTCAACTTTTTCTTCTCACTTTCGCTGTCAGATCCGTCTGAGAAAGAAGATTTGCCAAGGCGCAGGAGGTCATGATGGCTATGTGTGGAGTTGCTATGGCGATGGTGATGATGACCGGTAAGGTCGTGAAGCTTCTGGCGAGCCCGATCTCGAGTGCTGCTGGCATGAGAATGGTCCGTATCCGACTTCGCAAGCCTGGGATAGCCTGTCTTTGGGTCGATGACCGGGTGATTCTCTTCCTCGTCCTTACGGCTAGGTGTTTGGCCCGACTCGCTACCGTATTCAGCGTTTTGCCTCGACAGAGGCCTGTTGATTTCAGCCGTGTGAGGGAAAATCTTGCGCCACTGCCGATCTTCAATCAACTGCTTATGGTGATCTTGTTCCAGCCAGTATGCATCGGCAAGTAAATCCGCTGGGTCAACGAACCAATCCAGCCTCGGCCTTCTCGGCTTGTTAGCGTTCGCCGCAAGCTGAAGAGCATTTTGTCGCTCCAGAGAGTCGGCGTCTGCAAAGGGTGGAACAATACAGCCGTCTGCACTGGTTTGGCCAGTGGCAGCCCACTTGGCCACATCATCGACCCAGTCGGTGACTTTCATGATGTCCCCAAATCCAAGGCCTTCTCCGTCAATGGCCATACGCTCTCGCGCTCGAACCTTTCTGTTTCGAATGTATTGTAACGGGTTGTATTGCCGTCCAAGCCGCAGATTTCCATCGGAGCTTCCGTAGGTCGGTGTCTTGGCGATCCCACCTGAAGAGTTTGGTGGACTAGCCGTCGTCGGGCGACTGGAGTGGTGTTGCTGGATAGGCGGTACCAGCTCTAACAAGCGTCTGTATTGGGCCATGAGCTCCAAGTGCTCCTTCGCCTTTTGCGCTCTAGCAAGTGTCGAAGAAGTAAAATGGTTGCGAAAAGTGCCCTCCCGGCTCATATCGAAGGAAGCTTGCAAGGGGCTGTGAAGCACGCCTGAAGACGGTAGTCGGGGCGTCAACGCCTTCTCAGGTCCTGGCGACCTGGTACGTGAAATTCTTCTCTGTTGTTGGTAGTGGCCCTTGAGGTTTGGACCCGTCGTGGCATCTGGTAACTGAGCCAAGGTTGGTACCGCCTGGGGGGCGATCCTCCGCGACGCCTGCCGCCGTGACTCGCTGAGGTTCAGAGCCATATTGACGATCTGCGTGGAGTCGATGTCAAGAGACATGCTGGTCGCCGGCGGTGCGAAGCTCGCGCCTGTCACGGGTCTACCGTTCGTCGCATCCCGTTTCCTGACGGTCAAATTATGTGTCGGCTCCGTGGGTGAGGAATCACCTTGCCTTCTCGGTGGGCTGTCGATTTCGGTCATTCCCAGCCCGGCATCGCGACCAGCGCTGGACCCTGACCTGTCCGACGCTCTTCCAGAGTCCTTCGCCCTGCGACTCGTCGGTGGATTGCGAGAATGTCGCCGGCGAACCCCTTGATCTCCGTCGGAGTCGTCATCGTTCCGTATGGCATCCTGCAAAAGGAACCCGCCGTTGGAGCGATGCCTAGGCGCCCTTTGCTTCTTCGTATCCTTTCCCACATATCCACTGGTGTATTCTGCTTCCCTCGGGGCTGAGGAGTTCGATGTTGGACGTCGCCCGCTCGACTCGTCGGGGGAAGGCAGAAGTGTCGTGTCGTTGAGGAGGCTACCCGTCGCGCTCGACTCGCCCGTCTCGTAGCTACCCCTGTTACTTCCCCTATCTCCAGGCATCGAATGTGGGCTCGGCTTCCTCGAGAGAACGGCACGCTGCTGGGCGGCATCCTTCTCCGTCATTGCGTCGAGGCTGCTCGCATGGCCGTCACGGAGAGGGTTTCGTTCGAGTGTGAGTTCTGGAGTGTCGTAGTCGTCGATGTCGTCGATTTCGCTGACGTCTGAGCGTACAGGTCGACGGTGCGGAGGTTACGAGGGAAAAAAGGGACGTTAACTGGCCGCGACGGACATCGTACTCCGGTCGACGTAAGGGGGGTGAGAAATGCGCAAGACAGTCAAGTAGGTAGTCAGGTATCCCATGTGAAGGGACGAAGGTGACGAAGTTTTTGGCAGAAAAGAAGCGCTGATTCGTCCGAGCCGAAACAGGGCATTGACATGTGCCAACTGAGCATAGGTTGGTGTCGATCTTGCTGCTGGAAGGATCGTGGCAGAAGCGACGCCAGCGGACAGACAGACACCCTTGGAAACCAGCAAGCTCCCTTTTCCATTTGCTTGGACCGACCTGACCTGACCGCGCTAATTTCTTTCTCCACTTGCGGTGACCCCACTGCGTCTCCGGTCCCATTATTTTCGGCAATTGCCGGAGCGGATTATCCCCTGGCTCCGACGGAACAAGTGGGGGTGGGCGGGGAAAGACGGGGGACGGCACCTCAAGCGAGCTGCGGAAAGCATGATGTGCAGCCAAGTTTCTTGCTTTTCACTGTTTTTAGGCTTGCGACGCGGTAATCCTCCATGTTGTTGAGCGCGCTAGCCCAGCACATAAAATGGGCCTCGATGCGCGCTAGTTCAGCGGACCAGACCGCCATCGCATGTCGAACAAAGGGTCTCCTGGCCGAACCACGTCTGACATCTCAACTGCTTCCTTGGCAAGCTCAACCGTGGAACGTCCTTGGAAACTTCGACGATGCGGGCGAGGTCAACGTGGATCATCGGAATATTTCACTCGCGGAGTCTTTCAACTTCATTTGCTTCGTCTGTAAGGCCAGATGCTCAGCTGCAGTAAGACAAATCAGCCCAAAATTGACCGCCAAGCTGCCAACGCAACATTTCGCACAGCCTGCATGTCTTCCACCAATAACGACAGCTACCAGGGCCCCCGATAGCCTGTCGCAACGGGCAAAATGCGTGTTGAAGTCTTGTAAGCGGAATGGGGCCCAGAGGCAACTCATTTTCAATGGAGTTGTTGTTCTCAACATAAGTACTCGAGTTGCTGTTTTCCCGGGCGCTAGATTCTTAGCTCGTCAGCCATCGTCAACGCTCTCTTTATCTAAGGTACCTCCCCAAACACTGCGAACAGTGCAGCAAAATGGCCTTAGTCACCAATCCAACATACCTCTTGGCTCCAAACTGGAATTATCAGCTAGACGGGCCAATCGCGCTCGGCAGTATCGTAGCCGACCCCTTCAAGCCACACCGGCCCCTCAGCAAGCCTACCACCGATGCCCCGATTCCAAAAACCGAGCATTCAGTGGAGCATAACTGGAAGACAGAGACAGAGAAGCTCCGCGATGTCAACGTCAGCCTATGGGCACAGGTTCTTAACATTGCCAACCTCAATATCGGCGCCCGTCGCAGCAAGACAACGACAATCACGTTCGAGATGTCGCAGCTTGATACCGTCTACTTCGGCGAAGATCCATCGAGCGAAAACATAGCATTGAGGGCGAGGGATGCGCGCGTCAAGACTGCTTTGAAAATCGGCAATCGGTTCCTTCGTGGTACCGTCTACATGGTTTCAGGCCTCAAGATCGCCCGCGGCTTCAAACTAACGCAATCAAACGCGACCGAGAGAGGAGGGCAGATTGGGGCTGGTGGAATGGTGACACCAGAAGTAAGCGTCGGTGGAAACTTGGATGTCACCACAGGCATGAGCAGAACCACCGGATCCGAAGCGGGTCATGATATCATATTTGCCTACCAGCTATTACGGATAACGACTAAGGGAAAGGGTGAAAAGCTGACATTTGAGCTGGATGAATTCCAGGATGATGCCGCTTTCCTCCACGACAACGACATCAATGATGACGAGGACGCCGGCCCGGAGGTGGAGATAACCGCTGTGCCACCAGCTGAATTGGCCGAAACCCAGAGGGGCATGACAGTCAAACCTGATGATGACCAGTACGCTTGGTTATTCTGCAGCTAAATTCCATGAATCAAATTCCATAAATTATTCGCTGCTCAATACAACGCCGCAGCAGCTTTTCCTTATTGGCTCGATTCAGTTCGCCATATTCAGCAAAAAGGCACAGGCATGGTGTACTGCTGATCTTGAATTACGTTCTTCGCGGCAAGCGCGCAACCGCGTGGCGGATGAGCGCAACTCTCTCGTTCTGACTTCGATTGTAGAAGAACTCGAAAGGCGCCACGTACCTACAGCGATGATCATGTATCCCCGTCTTTGCGCCCATTTCACACATGATGGCCTGGATACCGTCTTTCGATCTGACTGCTTTCAGTACGCGCTCGTCTGTGGGACAGCTGCTTTCCGCAAACTGTATGATGGTCGCCACCAGACCAGCCAAAATCGGAGTAGCAACGGAGCAGCCAGATATCTTCACACCAACGTTGTCGGGGTCAATGACTGGGTCGTATGGGACCTCGTGTCCCAGCGTACCGAAAAGCATCTCATGCCGGTATGGTTGTGGGTTTGGGCTATACTCTGATACGAATTCTCCTGCATGAGTGGTTGCTCGCACTGATATGACGTCCTGGTGATTGGCCGGGAACAACTCCATCTCGTTCAAGCCGTCGTTGTTAGCGGCAGCGAGGAACAAGATATTTTTGCCGTTCTTCTTACGTTGGAGAACAATTTCATTGATTTGGTTCTCGATCTGTGTTATAACACTCTTAAAGCCGAATGACATGGTGACAATGTCGGCGTTCCACGTTATGGCGGCATGCGACATAGCCTGAGACCATGTTAGAGACCCAGTCATACCATTGGTTTCTGCGGTGAAAGCTCTGAGCCAGCACCCAGCTTCATTTCTTACCTCAATCAGTTGCGGCGTCGCGCTTCGAAGATGCGCCGAACTCTTTGCGACTCGGCCGACATATATGTCCGCATGAGGAGCTACTCTCAGCAAGAGAGCTGCCATAGACGTCCCGTGTTTGGAAGAATCCTCGTCTAAAGGAACATTGCTCTCACCCGCCCAGTCTTGCCAATGTTGGGTGATGCCCATCTCGTCGACGGACAAATTACGAAAACATGACGCTTCCAGGTCGCAACCAGTATCGAGAAGAGCTATCTTGACCCTCCCGCTTGCGGAATTGGCTCGGCAGTTCTGTCTCATATATTCATTTATGGCGTCGACTCTGTCCAGCCATTCTTTACTGCTTCTTGTCTGCGAGTGAAAGATAGTTAGCGAAGTCTTTGTATCCAAGATTTCTATCTACTCACCGAAGCCGCGAGAAATTCAGGATCCCATATCCATGGTACGGTTACAGCCGTGATGGCCTCGTTTCTGACTTCAAGTGGACCTTCATTTACCTCCATTATGGGGTGTATCACCGAGGTTGAGGTGCTGATCTTCGCTGATTGGAACGCACCAGAATGGTTTCCTAGGTTTATGTCCAGTAAATTTCGCATAGCCATTGGCTTCGGGTTGCGGTATATCTCCAACCGTTGCGCGAGCGGCGTCACCACTTTGTTGAACAGCTGATTCTGGATCTCAGACCTTCCGCATGAATCCAGCATTTCAAAGGATTCTGCGTAAAGCTGGAGACAATGGTCGATAATCTCGCAGAATGTCGCGTCGATGTTGTCTTGGATCTCGGAGTGGACCAGTTCAAGGGCGCCAAACAGCTCTTCCGATTCTTCACCCGAAGCACCATCCCCATGTTGAATCTTTGTTTCAAGTTCAAGCTCCAAAAGAACCGCTGCAAGATGGAGAATTGAAGCGTCCCCATCATCCATGTCCAGCATGTGATCCACCGCCTCGTTCAAGCCGCCGATACTGAAGGACACGTAGGCGTCTGATATGACACGGCCGCTCCGCGATTCATCTGCCAAAAGATAGATGTACTCGGGATCTAGAAGCCTCTGACGGATGAGTGGCGTAGAGAAGGCTTTTACAAACGTCGTCGCTATCTTTACACCAAGTTCGCGCTTTTCATTGTGCTTGAGTTCCCTGTAGTTTGGTTTCGTTTGTCTCTGTAGATGCTCGTTATGGAATACATCTGAAAGAGTCTTTTTCAGAGCTTTGGGATGCTTTCGAGCTCGATCTTCTTTCGCCGGGACTTCTCGAATCCCCGTTTTACTGAACGCCATTCGCAGAGGTTTAGAAAAAGGACGGTTGCGCAATTTCCAAAGTGAGATGCATAGAGAGCCATCGATGCTCTGATCGACTTCGGAATGAGACCTGTCGAAGCCGATGTATGCTTGTTGCCATTGTTCCTTACTTTGCGATTTGCAGATCGACAACAGTATGTCAAATTCCATCTGCTCTGATGCGGAATGGTCGAGACCAAAAAGACGCAAGTTCCCGGTGTGTTGCCGCTCCAAATTCTTGCAGACAGCCTGGTCAAGAAGTTCGAACAGAAGTGCGGTAGTCTCGGCTTGACGACGCGATTCTTCCAAAGTTGCAGGCGGTCGCTGAGTGTCTCGAGTTTCTGATGGTGCCCACGAGGGTTGTTTGACTTCGTCTCTACTACGACTGGAATGGATCCTCCTCATTGTGCGAATGAAAAGACGGGCAGACGTGCTTGCTTGGTGGTATAGCCTTGGCTCGTTTCCGAATGATATCATGCTGGCAGGATTATCAACTTTATCTATCAAGATTGCGTGTTGAAGCGCCACTAGTTGGGAGAACTTTTCCAGCAGTGGCTGGGACGACGCAAGAGTGTTAGCAGATCATATCTTCGATGTGACAGTGAGATACATACCGTGTTGAGAGCATTTTCGACGGCTCTCTGCTTGAGAACGAGGCTTTCAAACATGAACAGAATCTGTTCGATCGCGTCCAAGGCTTCTGCCAAATGTTCTCCCAGAAGATCCCACTGAGCCTCCGCCAAGCTGAAGCTCACGCCGAGTTCTCTGATGTCAATGTCCAACGCGCTTTTCAAATTGTCGAGTGATACAGCATGGCAATCAGTATCGGATCCGACGGATCGAATGTTTGCCGACGAGAAGGTATCGAGCGCTTCAACAAATGTCGGATACACGTCGAAAAAAAGACGGCACCGGGCATCGTCTTGAAGCCGCATGATGGAACGAGATCACTGACGGCAAAAGTCTACGTGGTGTCAAGTCATCCTGGGACAGCTGAAGTGGACCGCATGCTTAGGCCGCATCAGGCTCGATCGAAAATGATCCGCAGATGAATTTATTCAAGTCAGGTGATTTTCGAGTTTACCGAGTTCGAAATGGTCAACATGCATGTATTAGATAAGCCGTGCGGCACAGGGCCAACAGAGAGGTGGGGATGACAAGTTCAATTCCTTTCAATATTCGTGATAGTCCTTCTTCCCTCCCCCGACACCAACTCGCCAAACCCAGCGATGAAAACATATGCTGTGATAACAACAGTCACGACTCGGTAGAGATAATTTTGAATCTTACAAGATAACATATTTCCCGCTGTCAACTTGTCGCCCTCCACCTTCAATGACAATGGCCGCTGTATCCCCACCAAGAAGCATCTTCACGGCAGCGTCTGCATGTTCGAAGCTTTTTCAGCGATGTTCAGGCAGTCCAACGATCCCTCAATCCTTTCGAGATGACGCCAGGGAAATCTGGAGTACCTTCAATCTCTGGGCTGCGTATGTTGGAGCTTTTGCGGCACCCAAAGCATCACTCGACGCCCGCCTGGCAGATCACGAAGATATTGCGGACATGATTCTGAAGATGCTTGCAATGATCGAGAGGAATCTCAGATATGGTAGAGTTTCTTCATGGCGCGCAGATCCTTTCACAGGCTGATTTTGATGCAGAGGCCGATCGCCAAATCAAACACAACGAAGGGGAGAATGCTGAGCCGTTCCACGAGACCGCTCCTGATCTTTTAGTCGGCCTGGAAGCCGTCAAGGCAGGAATCATCCGACTCAACTCACTCTCTGTGGCCATCCGAAGATCATCTGCAGGGATTGCGCAGCGCAAATTGTTGGACGGATCAGCTGTTGATGACATGGACCTTTGCTATCTTCCGCAACTTCAATCGCGTTTCCAAAACGCCAATCCCAATTTCTTGAAACAGGTTGCACGCTCAATCCACGTCAGAGGGAGATCACTGGGCTACCAGCAACGCCACAACAGGAAATTAGCAGAAAGCAGGCAAGAGCCAGCAACCTCACAAAAGTCAAACCTGGCAAAGGAAGAACATGTATCTGATGGAGCTGTTCACGTCAAAGACCCAACATTACTGGATGAACATAAGGAGAACGCGGCTTTGTCCGCAACAAATCCTTCCCTTGTCAACAAAGAGAGGTTTCTCAGGAGACTGAAGACTCCACGCTCACATATCAGCACTGGATCCTCAATCAAAGCCAGTAGCTTTGAAAGATTCGACTACCCTTCAAGACCTCGTGCTTCAGAAAATTCTTTATTCACTGCATGTCCGCTATGTGGTAGGATCTTGGATACTTCGACATTATCGAGCAAAGATTGGGAGTAAGTGTTCTACAAGCTAGAATCCCTGAAAGGGTAGACCTGACAACTCACAGAAACCATGTCAATGAAGACATTGAGCCTTATATCTGTCTATCAGAAAGCTGTGCCGACTCAATGCAGTTCTTTGCCTCATCCAAAAGCTGGAAAACGCACATGCACCAACATCACGGCCTGGAGTGGGCATGGAAGGTCCACACAACAATATGGCATTGTGATCTTCACCGAGATGGACAGACCGATCTATCTTCGTTTGACTTCTACAATAGAGAAGACTTACTGCAGCATCTCTTAGGTATCCATCAGGACGTGTGTTCCAGAACACAGGCATTGATCCAAGCACGACGTGGCCGAACAAACTTGATTCGTGACAGCTTTACATGTCCGTTCTGCGATTGTGTTCCCAACGAAGTCCAGCAGGTGATTTCTGAAAAGCCTTATGAGGCTCTTTCCAATCACATAGGGGCACATATCAAAGCTCTCGCATTTTGGTCTCTTGCATACCTGGACCCAATCGAAGGCGAATCGGTATCAGCAGAGTCTCTAGAAGAGAGTACTCACAACGAGGCCAAAGATCTTCCAAACAATTTTACTTTCGATCAAGATTCTGCTTCTGAGCTCATGAGCGACTGCAGCTTCTCCGAGCCAGAGGAGCTGACCAGCCCGGTGTCGTGGCCCACTGAAATCCGAAGGTCTTTCCCAAGCGAAGACAGTGTGTTGGCAGATCTGGCTGCCTCACAACTGAAGGTGCGGGGGCCTAAAGTTGAAGAAGACATAACCGGCGGTCAGCGAAACGAGACCGAAATGGCAAATTCTTCGCAGTCTTCTGGCCCTAGCACTACTCAAGCAGACCTTCGCCTTGATGAACTGCTCAGGAGTCATTTTCAGGAACATCCACTGCCAGAGGTGACGGACGGTTATCTGCCTGCCGGCTTCCTCGACGAGCTCGTATGCCACCGAACCGTAAGGAAAGAGCTTGCCATTGAGTTCGCTGAAGAGCTCGATTCAGACGAGCTGGATCGCTTAACAGGTACGATTTGTGGACACACATCGTTCCGGCAAATCTTCGCCCTTCTGTGTTTGATAGAGAAGCTGGGGTCACTTAAGAGATTCCTGGACCCAAAGACAGGAGTTCGGGATGAAGACCTTCCGCTGCAAAAGGTCGACCTCGATGAGAGGAATATCGACCTTCGTAAGCGTTCCGATCCCGAGGTTCGACTTAACTGCTTTGCGGGATGGCGCCATAATTCATTGAAGTCCTTCGACGATTGGCAATGGACCATGAATGTACCAATTTTGACGAGGGCAACCGGTTCCAAAGCACAACATCGAAAGTTCGCCGACAGAATCATCTTACCGCTCATCTCCATGTCCAGTCCCTATGGAGGAGGAAATGGCGGTTACAGCGAGACATTCAAGATCCAATTACACCCACGGCATCATGACTTCAATTCAGCCGACCCCAATGTGAGTACGACCACAGCCCATAAGTAGTTCGAGGTCTAACACCGCCACAGTGTTTCTTCGCGCTGAAGAGGGTACGCTCCACCGATACCAAGGCCTTTCAAAGGGAGCTTGAAAACTTGCGCAAGTTCGAAAACGACAAGTCGCACGAGCACCTCATATCTCTACTGACCACGTGGAGCCACAAGGGATACTTTCACTTTCTCTTTCCATGGGCTGAGTGTGACCTATCCAAGTATTGGGAGCTTGACAGTCAACCTGTCATGACTGTCGGCTTGGTTCAATGGGTTGCGAGGCAGACTACTGGCATGGCAGACGGACTTGCTCTGATTCACGAATATCCTGACCAAGTGGATGGGACTCCTGAGAATGCCGCAAGATATGGGCGCCATGGAGATATTAAGCCAGCAAATATCTTGTGGTTTAAGGACTTGTCAGACAATCGGGGAACTCTGGTTATATCCGACTTCGGCCTCGGTGATTTTTACTACGGAGCTATCCGATCGGGAATACCGAGCTCCGACATCGCGCGAACACCCTCCTACAGACCACCGGAGTGCGATGTAGAAGGTGCCAGTATATCAAGATCCTGTGACATCTGGACACTTGGATGTGTTTATGTGGAGTTTGCGACGTGGCTTCTTGGTGGCTGGGAGCTCGTTGAGCAATTCACCGATTATCGTCTGACAGGCAGCTCCATATGGGGTCAAACGTACATGTCGGACCTGTTCTTTGACATCGTCGACCTCCATGCGACTGGAAACGAGGGCATGGGTGCAATGGTTAAGCCAGAGGTGACAAGGGTGAGTTCATGCTACCCCCAATATTATGAACGAGGTTTTACTCACACAAAGTCAAGTGGTTTGATGGTCTTCACAACCATCGAAAGTGCACGAACTACATCCATGACCTTCTCATCTTGGTTCAAAACGAGATGCTGATAGTCGAGTCCATCAGCCGTAAACGCGCGACGTGCAAGGCGGTTCGTGATCGACTGAAGCAACTAGAAGAAAAGTGCCTCCAAGATACGTCATACTGCGAAGAGCCGGTACCTTGGCAGCTCCCGGAGTCGCAAGCGGAGTCGATGGCAGTGAAAATCAATCTCAGTATGGGGACACTGAATACGATAAAGCGCAACCATCCAAAGCTACGCCAGCACTCCGGACGCACGGAAGAGGCACCAAGGGAACGAATCAACCGTGAAAACAACTGGCAACCAGATGTCACAATGGGAAAATGATGTGTCTAGTATGAGTTGATGAAATACTGCATGCAGAGCATCACTGGCAAAGTCTAATTACCCTTAGACCCTCTCAGGAAAGCCTCGCAGACATGTACTGTTCTGCCCCGCGGACCGATCGCGGCCGTCTCGGTGAGAGGAAAGGGCATATTGAGGCGATCTTAGCTGCGCTTGACGAGTGTCGCGGGGTACCCTCTCCGGGGTACCCTCTTGCTTCGGCTTGATTTGAGTTTTTGCCGTATGAGTATACGGCGGGCAAGGGGTACCCTCTTGCATGAGAGGCTATGACGTGCATGAGAGAGTTTTGAAGGGGCTTTGACTTTTAAGATTCGCGGAGGCCATCGCAAGCCACACATCACCCAGCGGTGCCAGCACACGTCCAACGATCTTCATCATACTTCATTACTATCAGTTGAACTTCAGAATAATACAAACCTGACTCACAGAAAAATGGACTGGCTTCTTGATGGGTCTCTGCTCTGTGAATGTGAATCAGATTTCCGAAAGGTACATGTATTCAGATACGCGCCAGCGACGTCTAAACTCGTTCAAATAAGCGAGAATGAAGACGTAAGTGAGCCACCTCCGGAACTTTCCATATTCAAACCTCAACAGCCTTTGTTAGAAACCTAGAGAGTTGATCTTGGATGACGCATCTCTGAGAAGGTGGTTCCTCGAAGTGAGATGAGACCCTCGAGGCAAAGCAACGTAACAAATCTAACCGAAACTAGGAGCAGAATTTGCTTCAAAACTTCAAAGAACACAACAAAAAGCCCCAAAAGTCAAATGATGGCACGATAACTCTACCGTAGGTCGGCACTGGCTATTTGCCTCCACGATGTAGTCTGACGTTTACTCACCGTTTCGCGCGCCGGTCTCAACATGAAGACTGCGCTTCCTTGTTGTTGTTCTTGTAGTATTCAACGCCTGCTTTAAACCTCGATGAGGCATAAGGCGTCCGCGCCGGCAGTCTACTAAGGATACGCAGTCGAGCGTCGTTGGATTTTACAGTTTACCATTACCGATCTTCGGATTACTGGCCAGGTGATATAGCACTTTCGGTCACTCATCGTCTCAGGACCGGACGCACCTCCGGAATCTTCTTCGGCACTACCCCTGAGATTGAAAGAAATGTCCTGAATAGACTCGGGTTCGCGAAAAAATGCTCTTGGACACCCTCTATTATTCCCAGGAATCTTTGCTCAGTTGGAGAGGGGGCGAGAGCTGAAAGTTCTCGTGGAAGAAACCCAGATCGACTTGGAAAGCACTATCTCGACGTTGACCTTGAAAGATGGCGACGAAAAGGCGCCGCCTCTAATTGACAATACGAAGACGCTAAGTCTCTGGCTCATGAATACGGAGATACGGAATGGTCTCACGAATTGGAAGACGCAACTCGAGGAAATGCTCAAGCACGCAGAACATCTTTCCCAGCGACAGTCTGTCAAAGCCTCCAACCAGAGGAATCCTTATGGTCATTGTATAGAGCACATCAAACGAGTCGCTCGAGTGGGGCAAATGGTGAAGAGTCGTCTGAGAACTATCATCCACGAATACGATGAAAGCATTCGTGACTGCACGATGAGAGTTGACGGGATGTCCATGGCGACACAGCTTGTAAGAATTCCTTTTCCAGTCCCGTTCTTCCCACATAAGCATCGACTGACCCATCTTAATTCAGTGGCACGCGCAGAGCAACATGCATATCGCCTTGGACGCAAAAAGGGATGGGAAGCGCATCCAGAACATTTCGATGTTTTCGATGGTGTTCCTACCCAGCATGTTCGTTGCCGTGAGTTTATCCTACCATGATAAACTACCTAGGGTATCTTTATGCTTACTGAACATATGAATAGACCATATTTTCCACGGACTCCTTCAACTGGTTCCCACCTGAAGGACAGGCCATTATATCGCCGTACTTCTGGGTTCTTATTGTCTTCTCTGCCTGTCTCACTCTGTTCATTCTGGGTGGGTACTACATGCTGTCTAGTAGGGTACTGAGTCTAGCCAGACTCAAGCTGAAGTGTCCCTCATCATTCTCCCCGGTTTAAAAAGAATCTATATCTGGACAAAACACAATGCCTTCAACTTAATATGAATGTAATACCTCTTATGTGAACGGAATGGTTACTTATTTGACACATTTCGAAGTAACCAATTAGAAGAAAGAATCAACAGATTCACCATCATACAGGGACCTGATAGATGCATCCTTCTACGACAGATCCAGGCCAACATACGGAACGAGGTCTGGATCCTCTTTCCACTTGGATAGAAGCACTTGCCGGTCCCAGCCAAACTTGTGCGGATCAAATGACTTCTCATAACGTTCCTCCACGTCACCTGCGGCACGATAAATCTGCTCGGAGTCACGCGCCCAGTCCTGCTCGCGAAACTCGGCCGGCCAGCCATAATGTCTCAGAGCCTTACCAATTACCTGGCCAAGAACATCCTATAAATGAGGTTTCAGTTTTCATTCACGTAGGATTGAAGGATAAGAATGTGGTATGTGTGTAGAGCCTACAGATGAAGTGCTCCAGTACTCGCCTTGGCTCGAGGCTGGAACTAGCTCGAGGTCAAGGACGTCCTGAATCCACCTCCTCAGAACTGTAGGCGCATGATACATGGGCCAGTTTCTGTAGTGATCCGGGTCGTCCGGCCTTTCAACTGGGTAGTCATGAGGGAGGCCACCATAGCTTCCTCTTGCAGGAGCTTCAAAAGGTCCAGAGACGAATCGGAAGGCATCTGGAGAGATCGCATTGTCAGCTCAACAGCTCAAATGTCTATTGAAGGCTAGATATCAAGACAGAAATGATAAAGATACAAGGAGAAGAAAATTTAATGGGCTCACTGTGACTAAGATCCAAGATCCAGGCAAGTCCATCACTCTCATCAGGGCGGGCTAGGGTGACATCTTGCGGCAGGAGGTAGCTGGCGTCATTCGAACTATGCAGCTGGGTAGAGTACTGCGCCATCTCATGCGGATCGCGACAGTCCCTGATATCGTCCTTATCGAGGTAATTCATGGCGTCAGCCTCCGGATAAATGCGCATGCGTCGGTATGACGCGACCCGGGGATATGGCAGCCGTTCAACTAGCGAAACGGCCTCTGGGCTCATTCTTCTCTCTATTAGCAGGTGCTGGCTGTCCAGTTGTGCATGCCTCCCCGTCGCTACTGGCGGGAAGAGGATGTCTTCACGCTTCCAGAAGTTGAGCTTCATCAAAATGGCGTACATGTCAAACCAAAGAGCGACGAAATCGTCCTCTTGGAAGGCCGCTGAGCTGCCCGGAGCGGGCTGCGCCCAGACCAGTGGCGCCATATTGGTGAGGAGCGTCATCGTGGAGGTCGTTATGTGGAAGAAGCGTTTCGTAAAATTGATTGAAGTTCAGTCGTAAGTGGAAAGGATGGATTGAGGGAAAACTGCCACCGCATTTCCGTTTTTTCCGCCCTGATGTAGACCATCTCTATCCTTGTAAAAGTCTACAACTCATGAACACCCCTTTTTTGCGCCGGTGTAAATTATGTGCCGCCTGTAAACCATTTCGGGATCTCAAGCGAGCGCCCAGGAATACGCCAAGGCACTCTGAGCCCGGTTCCGAGGAGCAAGCACAGAAGTCCGCCTTGGCAACGACTGCAGTTTCAACCCCAATGATGATTAGAAAGAAGACCTTGTTCTATGGATAATGTGCTGAGCGAAATGTTCAAGGGTATGATTCCACGGATACTGGCAATTAAATAAGATCCTGTGATCTTTCAAATATCTCGCGACAGACAGTCAATGCTGTGCTTGGAGGGGCAACAGCAAATGCAGTACGCCGCGCAATACAATGCAGCTACCCCTATTCTTTTGGCTTGACATCTCGCCGTACCCAACTGCTATACATATAAAGTTCCTGTTTGCTGAACGGCATATCTGACCTGAAGAAACGTCATTCTTCTCGAACGGAATTTGCGAAGTACGGTGATAATATGTTTGACCTATTTGAGAAGAGCATCCGGCAGTCCATCTTCAACCGCTTAACAAGTAAGTACGAGATAAATCCGCGGCTATGTGTTTGTTTTGTCTTGTTAGAAAACAGCACTTTATAAATACACGGATGCAGACGTGCTTTGCTGTATTCCAAGACCATCTGATGCTGCAAAAGGTAACTAACTATCTGGTTTCTGAGACTCACAGACCATGCGTATTGTGATATGCTGTGTTGCTCGATAATCCTCATCTTGAGCAGTGGCACTGTTGAAGTTCATGGTGATGAACCAACTTAAAGGCAGGCCACGGTGGTTCAGGTGCGGTGGAATCACCCTCCGCCATATGGTCGTGCGACCGTGCTAGGCCGGCCGGGCGAGGAGGGCGAGCAGGGGCTCAGGCATCATCAGAAAGTTGGAAACCTCGCTTCCATGCTGTGCCTCTAACCAACATCATTTCTCCAAAGGACCAACAAAATCAAGCAGTAAAGATAGGCCAGGTTATTTCATGAACCCACCTGCAACGACCCCTGAGCATGTTTGGACTTTTATAGCCAGCCAACCAACTAAGTATCAAGGGTATTTCTGGGCAACGACGGAAATCAATCGTGGCTGATCCAGTCTGCCCCGTCCAGTCAGGCGATCTTGACCCTATCTGCCCAAGCATACATACATAAGGCAGTGCGACACGCCGCCCCCAGGAACCACACTCATGCTGACGAAAGTTTGGCGGTTCTCTTGAACGACTGCAAACGAACGCGTCTCAGTTGAAAACATGACAGCTCAAGGAGACGATCACCAGCCGCTGTTACGCAACAGTATCCGCCGAAAGCCTTTGCCTTGCGATCCAACAGTTTCGGATTCTCCAGATACTATCCAGAGTGAGCGGGCGCGGCAGGAAAACACTTTCTCCTCCACGGGCTGCTACGGGCTGGGCGCGGAACTAGACGCTACGGAGAGAGAAGGACTCATCGACGGCACGAGAACTACAGCTCCCGTGCATAAAGAGGCCACGGAAGAGTTGACGTTTCTCAAAGACAACGACACAAGCTATGGCGACAATTGGCGGCCTAGATGGCTGCGGATTTCCATGCTCGCATGCTTCGCCGGCTTGTTCCTCTGCGTCACAATTGCCCTATCCCTGTTGCTGTGGTATTCACAGCGAAACAACGGCCTATTCAGGAACCGGGACAATTTCGGATACGTATGGCGATTTGGACCGACAGCAGGTGAGAATCCCGAGACGAAGATAAAGCCTTCAGCATCGCAGACACTAACATTCATATCAACAGTACTGACGATTATATCTGCTCTATGGGCAAGGGTGGAATTTCAAATAATGAGATACACGCCATGGATCGCTTTACGCTGCGAGCAATCCCCCGACAAGGACCTCGACTACCTCTCGATGTTGCCGCCGGTAGCTCTTGTCCAATCTCTCCGCCGAAAGCATTATTCGGTTTTTTCGATCATTGCCGCGTCGTTCATCATCAAGTCCGAGATAGTTCTGGCCCCTGGTTTATTCACTACTTCCCCTATTCAAATCACCGAGCCGACCGATATCAAAATATTGGACTCGTTCAACCATTCATACGTGTTCGAACCGAACCCTGACATAGACCCAGAGCCAGCAGCTTATTACGCCGCCCTGGCTATCAAAGACTTCGACACGCCCCCCCCTTTCGGTCTCACTGAAGATGGCGCCCATCAAAAATTTCAGAAGGCAGATACTGGCCACCGAGCGACCCCAAACTCCCCGGTAAAGGCTGTAGTAGAAGGCTTCTTCGCTGAAGCTGAGTGTGCCAAACTAGAGAGCTACACCACCAAAGTTGATATTGACGAAGACGGGCATTGGATCATGTTTACCATTGACCTATTTTTTGATGGTTGCATCGGACCTGTGGCCTGGCAAGAGTCCATATACCCAAAAACAGACAGACAGAGGCCGTATGTGGAGAGCTGGTCAATTGATTCGTCCTCGAGTCAGTTGGACGACACGTCTTGTCCAAACCTACCACAGGAATGGGGATATTTCCGCTATGTTGCCAACAGGTTCAGGTTCTCTGATACAAATTGGTCTGTGGAGCATGTGTCTGCCGCCGCTGTTGTGTGCTCTGCTCGTGGGTGGTTCTCCATGGCCGAGGTTGTCGATGACGGGGTCAGTACGAATCTCACATCAGTGGCAAACGGGTCATCGGTACCGCTCCTCGCGGATGTGTGGTTAATTGTGGGATATGCGACTGAACTCGGCAACACCAACCCTCCGTTAATCACTCCTGATGATATTGAGGAAGCATTCGAAAACATGACTTCGGTTCGTAACATCACCACCACCATCGAAAGAACCAACCGAATGTATCATTCAGTGCTCAATCTCACCAAAAGACTCAGCCCTTTCATCGGACATTACCTCTTACGGCAGAACGTGATGAAGGTCGATGATACAGTTCTCGGGGAGACATCGACGGTTGTTGTGAAGCTGTCAGTCAGTCAGCAGGTCTGTCTTCCGCTGATACTTCTTTCAGCTCTTGTCACCACCTGTTTGGGCTACGTCCTTCTGGATACGGAGCGACATACCATATTGTGGTCTCGAGACCCAGCTACTGTTTTCGGGAGTATGCTCTCCCTTCATAGCCGTTCATGTCTTCGGCCGAATTTGGACTCCATCGACGCTAAAGAGTCATGGGGCAACCAAAAAACCTCTTGTCCGTTGGTCCTTGCCACATGGCCACGAACAACATTCACCGTCTTCGTTTGCGTCCTCGTCGCTACACTCAGTGCCATGTTACGATCATCCATGGCGCATGGCGGACTGATGACGGTCAAAGAAGAGGGTTATTCATACTTATTATGGACAGCACTCCCAGCGATGCTTATGGTCGCAGTTGCACTGTACGCGAGCGCATGTGATGCGGCATACAGGGGACTTTACACTATCTACACCCTCTCTGCTCGTCCCTGTAGTTCTCAACAATTCGACCTCTCGATACAGGATATTTTAGGTCTCCGATCTTTGCTGAAGTCGCTACGCCATAGGATCTGGACGACTGCGATGTCTCAGATTGCAGTACTCGGTTGCGGATTCTTAGCAACCTTGGCCGCAGTTCTTTTCTCGGTTGAAACAGTACCGAACGAAACGCCGGTCCAGATACAGCAGAACAGCTGGTTTGGGGATAAGGCTTTTGAGAATAACATTGAAGTTTACCAAAACCATCGAAGCTTTTTGCAAAGTGTCCTCGATAGTTGGGGCCAAGTCAATCTCACCTATCCCAAAAACACCTTTGGCGAATTCGTGTTTCCTGCTCTGAAAATCCCAGAGCTTCCGATCGATGGTGCAACCGAAAACATTACGATCCGAGTGTCAACACCGGCGGCCAAGCTAGTCTCCAACTGCGAGATACTGACGGAAGAAGATATTCACCTGAACATTTCAGAGGGCGATCGTTCGAACAACCTTCCTGAAGGGCACCCGAACCGAATCTGGGCCCACGCGTCGTTTCCGGTAACGTGTCCGAACGGCACCGCCTCGACTTATGGCACTCAAGAGCTCATAGCTTGGACTTGGAGCCAGCACGATTTTCATCAAGGCTACTTTGCCGGAACATTTGAATCTGCGGACAATCCCATCGATAAAGCTGACACCTGCAATGTTGAAGTTGGAGACAACAACGACTTGCTCGTGCCTTGGCAGGTGAAAACCTATGTATGGGGAAGTTGGGACTACGACAAGTCTTACCGTGTTCATAAGGATAGACTATCCTTCTTCCGATGCTGGCGATGCAACTACACATGGGCCCAAGTTATGGTCGACGTGCATTTGAAATATGTGAAAGGGGATTTCCTGATCAATCACATAACCCCTCCCGATTCGTCGACCACGCAACCCTGGAATCCGCCCTTTGCAATCCCTCTTCAAAATACATACCTCAGCAATATGGGCAGAACCGGCGAAGTGTACCCTACTAATCGTTATACAAATGAAGCCGGGAATATGTATGACTACTTCCCATCCCTATTTGGGCCGCAAAGGAAGCATCCCTTGGAGATACTAGGCGACCCAGAGTCTGACGATATCATATTGGAAGAGCTGAGGGCCGCGTTCTCTTTCACAAGCGCTCAGCTCGCCAATCTGGAGCACCGGCTAAGGATTGGAGAGGACTCATACTCTACCGCCTTCCCAGCAGAGGGACTTCCGCCCATCGAAGCGGCCATCATCGACGGTGGCCGGCGCCGGCTTGTACAGAGTCCTCCCATCACGTATGTTATCATCGGAATCTTGAGCTTTGTAATTATTATCAACGTATGGGCTCTGGTCTCTGATACCTTGCGGTGGATGGGAATCCGGAGTGGGCTGTTGAGCATGGATGTGAAGGGCCTAGCGCCGGAAGGGTTTAGCAGTATCGCCATGGTGACGAGTTTGCTTTATGAGTCGAACGCCGCGAGATACATCCCAGAAGCCACTGAGAGGCTGCCAACATCAGAACTTCATGGGCTGCTCGCTGGCAAGAAATTCAGGCTGGGTTGGTTCCGGAGGAAATCGGATCAGACGAGTCACTTCACTGTTGGTGTCATGGACGACGAAGACTTCCCCTTCATGGGCAGCAAGCTGGATTCAAAAACGGAGCACAACATGCCACACGAGCGCGTATTGAAAATCTCACAGAAAACGATATGTGAAGGCAGGGCGGCTGATGCAGCGGAATGAGTCTGGGGTAGAGGCAATGAACGTAGTTCTTGAGTTTAACCAATAACCATCGTAATAAGACCAATGCTTTTCTCGCAGGGTTATTCATGATTCTGCTTGTCTAATGTTCTGTTGCTCGTTATGTCGAGACATTGCGTTCAGAGGCTGCATTTCTTCCTCATTACCACTTTCATCTGGCTTTGATTTGAAGCGGTTGAGTCTTGCAAGTTCCACTGACATCGTCACCAGATTGCGAATCGCACGCCCAGCCAATCCCTCTTGCCTCCTTGAGTTGATGTCTTGGTACAATTCGAAGTTTGCAGTCCCAAATTCCACTACAGTTTTCATAAATCAGTTTCGCTCTTCGATGAGTTTCTCAATGCGAACAGCAGTTAACCTACACGCAAAAAGACAAGCAAATTTCAGTATGATCGGGAACCATACAGCAACAGCCACTAGTTGACCGAAGGCCCATTTGGTAATGTTGAGATCACCTTCGGAGCTCTCTTTGAGAACGTCAAGGAATATGCTGGTTTCAGCAACTGCTAGAATACACATTCCAAACGTGAACAGTTCTAGCAGTGCCCAGAGGCCGCAGTAGATCCATTACAGATAAGGTCTGATGGTTTCCCGCCATTTCGGTATGGCAGAAAAACACCGAAGCTGACTCAAAATATTACTGATGGCCTCGTTAATATGTGACTGCAAACGCGCACAGAAATCGTTCACTGTACCTCTTGGCCAAGCATGGATTCTGCACGAGATCGTACGCAGAATAAATGACCCAGTCGAGTGCCAAAATGGCTGAGATGAGGTATATCGGAAAGGGATACTTCGAGTTGAACTGAAAAAACCGACCTGGCTCTTTGATAGGATTCAGGGAGATGTCGTTATATTTCTGACAAAAGGTGCGAGGCCCCGGATGGCGTCCACAGCCTGTAAGGTCTACCGCTGCGTTCTGGAAATGAGGTAGTAAGGATTCAGGGTCCATGTTCTTTGGGAGGTGCATAAGAGCAACCATGATGACGTTGACGACCACAAAGAGCAGCATGTACCACCACCGAGTCCCTGATGCATGAAGAACCATTTGAATAAGAAGTAGCGGATATGACCCGGCCGCGACAACGCCCTTCAGAATGGTGTCATTGGTGATCCAAGATATGACGGTGGAGATGTTGGCAAGACCTGTGCCCTTGTTACCGAGGAACGTTGCAATTGCAGCCCCAGCCACGGTGATGAGGAAAGAAGCTTGAGTCTCTTGAAGGTCGGCGATTGAGGATGAGATTGCTCTGGTGAACCCATTTCTATGAAGAAACATTGGCTTGTCGCTTTTCATCCAGTTGGTAGTAAGCGTAAAAGAAGCGGCGAAGAAGAAGACCAAGCCAAACTGAAAGAAGTACGCAATCACGACCTTATGGTGCGTCGGGGTATTAGCGATCTTTGCATAACCAAATACGGATAGACTCACACCAGGCCCAGCAATATCGAAATCGATGCCTGGGTGCGCGGAGGCGCAATAGTTCCCGCTCATGATTTCTGCCAATTTGTCGATTCTACTTGTGTTGATGGGAACGGCCAAAAACTCAGCGATAGGAAGTGGACATCCACCAAACGTTGAGCAGGATTCTAAAGCGCAACCACGAAGCAGCCTGAACGGGTAGTCAAGTTTCCTCAGCTCGCCGAAATTGAGAGTGTGGTTCGCTTCTGCCTCATCAGCCTTATTGATACGGTCTCGTCCTGGGTCTTCATTCGGAAACCTTGTGAGGAGCGACAGCGTTGCGAGTGTGACACAATTCCAGAGCGTCTCGGGTGTTTCAAACATTAGGGTAACATTTCCGCACGCTTTATCGCAGTTGATGCTTCCGTCGAAAAGGTAGCACCCATTCTGAACCAGCCTTGCAGGCACGAGTGGATTTTGGATGACGGTGGAAAGCTGACCAAAGTATGCCTGTTCCCAGTGAAACCAGACGGGAGGAATATGATACCCAGGGACTGTTGAGGTGTTTGGCATTGCCTCGCTGAGGTTGGAAAATATCTGAATCGTTCTGTTAAACATGTTGTGTCTGTTATCCCCAGGAAAGGTTCAATTGGGTGTTATGAAGATGATAATGCGCTGGACGCTGCAGTCTGGCCAAACAAGTGCAGAGAACTTGCAGCGTCGAAAAGTTTGGGGTCAGACATTGGACGCAAATATATTCACCTTGCAGTTGGGGTTTCCTGATGTAGTCACAAACGATGCCTGTAAGTCCTTGGCAATTATAGACCGTGAACCGCATGCGCGGTCTTTAAGGGTTCCAATCGAACCTGTGAAGGTGGTCACGCATGGTGCTGGATTGGTCGATGCGACGTAGTTTTGATGCAGCTTATCCTTGCCTCCCACTCTCATTCATTTGCAAGAAGAGGCTGTGGCCCCCAAGCGTGAATCTTGACGTCCAAAACAAAAAAGCATATCAAATTGCAATACCACGCCATGGGACTTATACGCATATACATGCGATGTAAATTCATCAGTTTCTTCTATTTTTCTGCTGTTGTCGATAGCATGCCCTTGATCATCCAGCTATTTCCAAATATTTGTAATCCATCCGCCTGTCAACTCTTTAAAAGGCAGTGTGTCCAAGATATTTGGTTTTACTTTCATTCTATGTTTGTTATAATGATGCTGAAATCTGGATTGCGGTGTTTCGTCAGTTTGGTCGTAGTACGTTGTCGGGAGTCGTTTCAGGTGTTATTGAAGGTGACAGTTTGTCGCATTTGTACTTGTGTTAGCAGTTATCAAGAACTTGATGGTACTCTATTGCGAAATTTCCAGGGCCATATTGTTCCCGCAGGCTTATAGAGAGAATCGATGGATTTCTGATGTAGCGGTCGTGGATCACTTTGACCTCCATAGGACTGCCGGTGCGGTCTAGTTGTACAGATGCTGATCGGGATGACTGGGCTTCTTACATGAGATGAGTGTTTGGTGACCTGTTGCAGTCTGTTGGGTACGCCCCCCACTCCGGCTTCCTGTTTGCTGTGGCCTAATTCAAGGCATTTCGACTTCAACTTCTTGGAAGCTATTGCATTTGCTGCAACGAATCCACCGTTTGCCCCAGCTCATAATTGAGAAGGATGTGTGTTCCGATGCACGCGCCGCCTGATAACCGCTTTGGGTGCTTGAAGCAGGCCCCTAGACGTGCCAGATGCTTCTGAATCGATAAGACAGGCTCTGGGCAGCAGGTTATGTTGTCGCGGCAACGAATGCAAATCCGAATCTCGTTTAAACATCGGGAAGTGAGGAGTCTAGAGACAACACGACTACCTAATTCGTAGACACTTGAACTTGCATCCATCTACATTCGTGACTCGCGATAGTCCCAACATCGAGTTTATCAGATCGGGTCTGGTTCTATAACGTTCATTGTCGGTTTACTCGAAGCTATTTCAACATTAAATTGAGGCATATGCGGTAGTGTCTTCAAACTTCACAGCGGATAAACACGTATTCCTTGGTTTTCCAGCCTAGTTTCGCAATTTCCATCCCACCCTCCCTCGTATAAAGCGAGACCGGTCTGTCTTCTGCTCGATTCAGCTAATGCAATATTCTATGCAATAAAATGCAGCCACCAGCCCTTATTGCTCGGTTCAGATGCTAACCTAGAACGGAAACGTGTCGTATCAGCAGAGCAGGAAATCATCCGCATACGCACTCGCGGTTGGAGATGATGCATTGGATCTGGACGTACTTCATATCCTCTCTCGAGAGCATGTACTGAGTACATAGTTCAAGACAGGAAGAAGAGCTCACCGATAAATCTAGTCGTGTCAATTGCTGATTTGTTTGATGTACGGGGTAGTCTGACATGCATGGTGTGGCTGCATGATATGCAACCGCCCAGACTACGTTAACCAGTAGATCCTACATGTAGCCCTGTTATTTGGTGTTCTTGGTGACTGGATAAATATTAGATGATGAATGAGGGCTGTGCTCTGACCTGTTCGTCTGCAGCTGGCCGCCTATCACCACCACATCACAACATGGCGCAGTGCTGCCCGCTTTTGGTCTTACGTGTTCTGTCTCTGAGGAAGGGATCGAGATGACTTTCCTTTGCGCTGATTGCTGCTGTACTAGATGAATGCAGAGAGGCATTGGTGAAAATTCTCATTTAATCTCCCAACGTCAACACTTTTTATTACCATTGTAAGGCAGTCTATTCGTCTGGTTGAAACCAATGCTCACTGACCATGGACAAGTGCTGGTTTGTCCTGAAGCAAGCACACTACCCCGCCCCCATCAATGTGCAACTCAACAAAGCCCCAGAACCATCCGATGGCCCCTTACTGCTTGGTCACGTCATACCCGACCTATCATCTCTAGACCAAGTAATCAACTCTTCTGGACCTGTGTCTTTTCCGCGCGGAATAAGAATCTGGCCCACAACATTAGTTGATCTTCATTGGGATAGCTCATCGTCCGTGGAGCTTGGAGCTGATACTAAAACCGATATTCCTGTGGCTACTACTCCAGGTGTGGCTGTTGGAAGTGAAATCAAGCTTGCATTCCAGAGGACGGTCAGCAACTTTGCTCAGTTTGATCGATTAGATACCCACATTATTCAACCATCGAAGATTTATGTGGAAAACTGCCTGGATTCACCTGAGGTAGCTGCATACATTTCTGCGCACACAACTCTAGGAACCTGGAAGATATTTATGATAACCGGCCTTATGATCGCGAAGGGGGGCTCGTCGGAACGTCATGAGTCTCATCTTGCGAATCTAGACATGTCAGTCGGGATGTGAGTTCATACCTTCCTCTCGCTATCCGAAGTTGAATGTAACGTTCAATACTGAGCATTTCCACGACTCTAGAAAAGCCTTGGATAGTGTCAAAGCCCAAGGCGGATCGAGAGTCACATCATCGCGAAGTTCGAACCTGTCAGGGAAGCATGTCACAGATTTTATCTGGGCAGTGAGACTGTTGGAGCTGAAAAAGACCGTCTTCAGCTCTGAAGTATCTCAAAGAACGGTTGGGAAAG